ACTAGTCATCTGCCCAAATGATTTGGTGGTTCTTACCACTTCCCGTTTGCGTGCATGCAACTTCTTGCGACCGAAATTGAGAATGATTTGTTGAGGTCAAACTTTGCGTAAATTACATGCATCGTGCTGCGAAAAAAAAACAGCATCGAAGACACCGCGCTAAACCAACCCCCGGGATCCTTCGTCGGCAGGCGACTTGACAAAAAGTCTTCGCCAAAACAACAGAGCGATACCATGAGTGTGCGGTGGCGTCTACCCATAGATGTCATTTACTGCCATGAGGCGCATTGAACGCCGAGTATCCAAGCACAGTAGGTCTTGAAACATGTACCGATATCATCAAGTTGAGGCCTAGATCTTAGAATATGATTGAATATGGCAGAATCCGCTGGTACTTTTATAGTGTCTCCTAGTCGACCGATAGTCCCCGCTAATATAATCCGCCCTCCTGACTGCTACGTGCTCCTTTTGGCTCCCTAGCGAACTCTACCTCCACACATTATCATCACCACACAAATCTTCACAGACTCATGCTAAAGCGTAAATGACGGACCTTGTAATCTTTTCGGAATGCCCTATTAGCTCAATACTTAACCATTTTCATCCCTATGTCTATCACCACGACATATGTTTATGTTCGCGCCGCGGCCCCCTTCTAACAATAACACACAATCCCCTACATCGTTATCCTCTTGTTTCCTCGCCGCCCGCGAATATTGAGGCTAACCAGATATTCTAGAGCGACATCATAGGAGTCGGCAACACTGCCATAGTTGAACTTCTGCCCTTAGGGGATTAAGTGAAAAAGTTTTCCACACCCATTGGCAAGTCCATATGATAAAGGAACGGATAAAAGACCGTAAAATATTAGAGCATTTAAACCGCCGCGCTCAGAAACAGCCGTATGTGCGCCTTGACGTTTTGATCCGCTAGGTGTTCAAGACGACGCACTAGCTCGATAGTGTCTTCGACGCACTAACAAATAATCAACTACAATACACAGTGCAACACTTGAACCTCCGCTATCGATACCAGCACACCGACCTACGGTCGCATGAGTCAGGGGCCGGCAACGACGGGTACCACTAGCTACATATTGATAACGGGGAGAATCATGTAAATCAACATCTACGACGTACCACGTCTACTAGCGTGTCGGCTGAACGGACACGCTAGTGCGCCGATACTCAACTAGGCAAGCGCTGAACGGTCCGTATGGAGCGTATTCCTACGTGTACTTATGCTCCTAGAATCTACCCCGTCCCCTTGATTTTCTCCTATCACCCGTGTCCTCATCTGCCTTGCATATCTCTGCCATTGCTTTTGACCACGATGATGCAACTCGACGAGAACCTATATACGATTAACCACCTAGGCTATGGACTCCTCGAAGGTTATTTTGGCTACCTCTCGCCGGTGTCTAGCAAACCAGCTCCCCTCCTCCAGCTAATACGTTTCCGCCGCCTCTCTTCGCCGGCGGTCAGGAATGTAGCGGCCCCCAACCGAGTCCTCCCCCCGAAGAAACACAGCGTTACCTATTCCTATCATTTCTTTTAGATGATCAGGTGCAAACAAAAGGCCCATACCCCAGAGTTCTTACATGCTTGAAGCCCCCTGCTATAGAAGACGGAATATGTATTTATCTCTTATGCCGGAACTTGCGAGGGGGTTAGCTATTCCACGACAAAATCTCATGCTAGGCGAAGCGGGTCGGGGTTATATTGTGGGTTTTCGGGTCGAAGCCTTCTTCATTCTATATCAAATATATCACGTCCTATATTGAAGGATACTATACACGGCCTATTAGATGGAAGAGAGACTTAGTTCTGCGTTCATTTGATTTTAACTGGTTTACAAGTGATGGATAAATATGTAAATATAGTGTAGACGGCACGTTCCCAAGTACCCTAGCTAGTAGACATTATAATTCTGTATTCTCTGAATTCGTTCCTTCTAGACGGGGGGCCACGTAGATAACCCCGGCCCTGGTTAGCCTCGCATGACGAACAGACTCCCTATTGCCTCGTGCATCGAATACACGCTATTCGTAGTAAACGTGATTGGCCCGTTTGTTACGCTTGAGGTCCTAGAACTAGCATCCCGGTGCCTAGTAAGTACTCTGTCTAAAAGTACAGCTAAGATAAACTAAAGGAGGTTTAAAGAAAAAATGGTCTTATTCATTTTCTATCCGCACTCCCGGAGTGCCTAGAAGATGCAGCTAGATTAGCAGCCTAGATGGGTGTGTCTAGTGAAGTAGAAATATATATCAAGCATGAAGAAACGGCATTAAAATCATCATTTCTACCTATTCCTACCCTTTTCTTACTAATATTCCTTACTTTCACGCTTTAACATCATAGAGAAGGAAGTTTATAGCTATTGGCGACACGATCACGTGTCATGAACCCACTAGGCGACAACTATAAGAACGCAGTCGTACTGTAGATGTGACCCCGCTTCGGGTCATTAACACAAGCATCATGGCCACTTCTACGTACCTCCGCTTTATGCTTCCTGGCGGCCTAGACCTAGGTTGGCTAGATTTCGAAATTCTCAGCATCATGAATGACGACTTACTATGCCAACTCTAAGTCGAGTGTTCATTTGCTCTCTCAGTTATCCAGGACGAATCTCGTCGTCGCAAAGGCGAAGTTATTAACCGAAAATTCGTCGAGCGATTTTGCCGCGCCCGGAATGATCCATAGCAACCGCCTAATGATAAGGACGGTAAAGACGACAAGACGAAGTTCCTCATTACGCAGTATAGAGGAAGGCCCGAAGCCACGCATGTATATAGCCGCCTAAACTATAGTGACGCGGCAAGGGTCATCCGGCTCACACTTCGCTAGCCTCGCACCAGGACTAATCAACTTTACTCCCCTTATAGCACGACGAACGACTCGAGAACATCCCCGTCTCCCAATACATCCAATTCCGTTATAATAAGGATGATTTCTTTCCTCGGTAACCGCATGCCGGTAGAGTTTTTTAGAAATACATTGAACGCCTAGTCGCGAGATGGAGAGGTTTACGGCATGATGATATCTATCGACGTATGGAACCGTGACCTCGACAAACTCCTTTCTTCTGGTATTGTCCGAAGCGATGGTGGTTTCTATATGATGGGGGACACCGAAGTACCTCAACCTGCGGAAATGCCATCTCTTGACCCCCCGACACGACAACTTGCCCTAAGTCATGTACTGTTCATATTCCCTAAAGAAGGCGGAGACCCCCTAAGGTAGGTACCACCTACGCACTCTTGCCTGACTTCATTGGTTAAATGGCTATAGATATACGCAGAAGGGAACAGCACTCCAACCGGTACTTTTGCGGCTGATCCCGTTCCTATGGGAAGGGCCACTAAAACATGACCAGCCAGAATATCTTGAAATGGCACTTGAAACTCTATTGACAGCGTCTTAGTTTAGGTGCTTCGAAGATAAGATGGAATTTCTCATAACGGCCGTAGAGGTTTCACTCCTTATTGGCACCCCGCTTAGTCTCTTCCGGGTTGAATGTCGACTCCTCGCCTTACGAAGAATCCACAATAAAACAAAACTACCGCTATCACTATGGCCTCCAGTCGAGCGGTTACCTGCGGATAGCAACAGGTCCAACGCAATCATATAGAAGCTATACTTATTCAAGATATAAGCCATGGTTGATAACGGCGCTACTAGCGAAAACATTTAGGAATCCATTAGAATTATTCGGCCCTTCGACGAAAGATCTATATCATCACAAGAAAGGCATGTCTTTTTAGAGGCCCAATTGCTACTAGTCTAAACTCTTCGATTCGAGGGAAAATTTCCCCAAGCCTTATGCGTCTTCACCAATGCTAGGAAGGAGGCAATCGCTTCAGCCTACAGAAATGTTGTGAAGATTGGCACGCAATATTACGAGACATTGTGCGAAGTAGGACATTGTGGTTCTGCCATTCGACAGGTTGTCGAGGATGCGAAGGTCATAGGATATAACTAGAGTTTAGAGCAAGGGTATGGACGGCGTCTCATCTTAGCTCGCGCCAGCGCTTACCTCATGCATGCACTCTAGGATATCAAGGGTTCCGTCAGGCCTGATCTATCTCATTTACAAGCGGCGGAGACGGACTTCCAATGGCTGCATTGCATCTATCGCCGCATGCCCACGCCGAGCAACACTATCAAAATGAGATTGTTTTCTATCCAGTGTGGTCTTACAATAGTGTGCTATATCGAGGAGAAGTGGGAAGATGCCTCGTCTTATTAGGAGACAGCGAGAAACTCCGCCGACAAGCTCTATCCTAACAAGGGCTACGCGTTCATAATCATAACATATTCATTAAGTCAGGTCTACTTCCACCTCCGGCATGGCGGCGCAGTAGATATGTACAACGAGGCCAAAGAGCTATGGGATTCCATAAGGCCTACACGGCAACACTATTTTATTGGCCTTGGCTCGCTTTGGCTAGAGTTGTTAGGCAATTAGGAGGACCAACGATGCGGGGAGAGAATGATGGGTATATAGATCAACCCGCGATCGATAGCGTTGAGCAAATGATGAAGTTAGCAAATCACGATATATGAGCTGTTCTGACGTTTGATCTTATTCCTTCTAGATCTAGCTACGATAAGGATATTCCACTAGCTGTAAAGCCAATGCTAGTCTTGCTGCAGTCTTGCTAAAACCATCCCAACTAAATAAAGACTGCCGGTTACTAAAACATAGCTAACTTGTTCGTCTTTATAAATTTCTTCCATAGCTTTATTAATAGGAGCAATCCGGGTTTTCCCATAGGGAAACGTCGTTTTCCATGCCGCCTCATATTCCTCTATGCGAGAAGTATTCATAACGTTAGTGTCCGATGTAAATGTAACACTCGATAACCCCTTGATCGTGGACAGGGACTTCAAAGTGCCTAGACCATCATGCCGGTCTGAATCAAGGCCAAATAAGAGATGCTTCCCTACAGTGCCTTACAGTCAGTCTAGGACAGCCAAACAGCGTGTAAAAAGTACTTATCTCGAATGGGAAATACTGTTGAACCAGGCAGCGGTGTGAAGTCCGCTCATTGGGTTGTGTGCACCATCAAGACACCAAATCACGCCGTTTTTTTGTTCTGTTTGAAAGCGCCCCGGCCAGGCGAAGTTTCGAATCCCAGCCTGGATATCCTCTTCGGAAAGTATATGACCAACTTGCCTATAGAGGAATTCCCGACAAGCCTCCCGGGCTAGAGAGGCATTGACCCTTTGCACTGGGACCGGGATATCCTCGAGATCGGCTTGAATGAACCTAAGGCTGGTGCCCTTTGCAGCTGCACGACACTTTAAAATCTTAGAGACCTCCAGAACCTGTGGCGATGATAAAGCTGGTGCGCCAGTTTTAAAGATCCCCCCTTTGTGCCATGCAATATTCTCAATAGTCGGTCCGAGCTCATCTATGTGATCAAGCCCAATCGTTGTAGTAGCCGTAACAGCCGGTTGATTAACGACATTTGTAACGTCGTACTCGCCGCCGTGGTGGGCCTCGTAGATAGCGACATCAACTCCCTCTTTAATAAACGTGTGGAATGACAAAAGAGCCAACAGCTGGAGAGATCGAGGGCCATCGCCTAGGCAGTCCCAGATTTCGAATAGGTTTTCGGCAAATTTAGTCTCGGAAATGGGGTTTGCATTAAGGCGAATCCGTTCCGTATATTCAATTAAATGGGGGGAAGTATAAAGGCCGACTCGCTTCGGGAATCCGGTTCTTGCGCCATGTGCAAGAAGCATGCTTTCAATGTATGCGCAGGTGCTGCCTTTTCCCTTAGTCCCGGCAATGTGAATTACCTTTAGTTTATCGAGATCACGATCCTTGAATCGGTCAGCTAAGCACCAAGAAACAGTCCAGGAGGCCATACCGTATGTCCCAATTTGTTTAGCCAGCCCTTTATCTTATGTAGATGGGGAGTGCCTCGGAGCGTGGTCGTGCCATGCGGTAGGGCAATCGGATATTGCGATAGCTTCCTTGATCGAGAGGCCCGTAATTTAGCCAAAAGGGCTTTCGCATCCTGTGAGAGTTAGAATCAGTGGTAATTTCACGCTGGGAGTGAGTAGTCACCTTAAAGTCCCGACCGATAGATACCATGATTTACAACGTCTCCTATCGACAACGTTTCGAGGGCGTGCACCTCAAGTAAGGAGGCGGGGAAAGAAAAAGCGCGCCTATATCGAAGCATGGATTACTATTGGAATAAGCAGCTGAGTCGTCAGCTGGAACAGGTTGTTCCGACCCGAACAACAGGTCTAAGGGATTAAAAGACCACGTTTACAGTCATTTTTTACCTATATAATCTATCATGATCAACAACATCGCAATGGTACAAACGGCAGAAATATTTACGTCAATGTTTAAATCCCCATTTCCTTTACCGATGCTGCAACTTCATTAACGAAGAGAAACAACATCGTGTTACGAAATCTGTACCGATTGTGTTAGGCAACGAGCCGACCTAGGGAGGGATGGTATGAGATAAGTGAAGAGAGTTGTCAAGGGACGTTCAAGAAGGGGCCAAGTAGACGCGAGTTCGATGCGAAGGCACAACGAAAGGGAAAATGGCATTGATCGTTGCCCTCCTTCCTTGCAAGGAAGTCTGGCTTATATATAGGCTGTGGGTCACGTGACACCCTTTGACCCATTTCCCCTCTAACAGATTGCTTTGTGTACGATGATGCTTTTGCGGCTACTACAATAGTTGCAATAAAACAAAACAACTCCCCCATCTTTTAACAATTTCTTTTTGTAAAAGTTTGTCTCGTATGATCTATGTTTCGGATGCCAGGCCGGCCAATAACGCGTAAATATGGAATAGGGGAATGTTAGTGCACTAGACGCAATGAATGGTAGACGATAAAGAGTGACCGGATATATTTGCGTTTATATATAGTTACGGACCTCACACTCGATCAATTAATTGCCTACGGATACTATAATCAGCGTTCTACTATGAACAAAAGTCTTATTGCAGTACCTTCCGCCCATCTTTCATACTTCCTTACACGATCCCCTTTTGCCAACTTTACGGCTTGGAGTTACCAACTGTAGACAATAGCATTCCTTGCAGAACCTGCAAAGGACTCGCAGCTGGGGTAAAGATTGGTAACGACTGCTCAAATTGCCACCAGCTTCAAAGGCGCAGAAAACACGTTACAAACGACCCAATCTTGGTAAGCATACCTAGGTAATCGAAGTGAACCAAGTCTAATGGTAGCAGGTTAGAAATAACATAAGAAACCATCGAACCGGAGCAGAGAGGGAGTGACATAGAGAGGGCGAAGAGTACTTTGCGGAGTAAGAAAGAGTTAGATAGATCCGTATACTTTAATTTATAGTGGATGATTCTTCGTCGCAATTACTCAACAAACGTTTCGTTTACGCAGGGACTCCCGCCAGGAGGACTCGTGGCATAATTACGATATCAACAAATGCGTCAAAGAAATGTATTCTAACAGCTGATCATCACTAGTTTAAACCATCTAGTTCTTTTTATTACAAAAGCATACCTTTTAGATGACCGTCCTGCGTTCAACAGATGGGGGAGTACATAGTCATACTCCCAACACCACTTCTCTGACTACCCTGTAGCACAGAGTCGTACCAACCGTCACACGCAGTATGCTATCAATTATTTCGCTAAACAAGAAATTCAATTCTTTTCTTAAGAATTTATCGTAATCTTTAAGCCAATATTCTTCGGGACAATATTTGTCTGTGGAATGTAGCGGAGTGGATAACAGCTGTATGAGGGGCAAATAAGTAGATACCATCGTGCGCATGATCAACATCTCGGAGGTTAACGTCTCGGCTGCGCCCTGGCCCGCGATGGCGCCGGTGACAAGAAGACGTGGCCGTTTCGAGTACGTAAGACAACACGCCATTGTCCTGCTCGTATCGGTGCGGTATTTTTGCAATTGGCTGTCTCACGATGCAAGAGTTAGGGGGATGTGTCTTGAGAGAACCGTTGACATCTTCATAGGAGAAGGGGGTACTTGATAGAAGAAGTTGGAGTACTTATGTGGCCGTGAAGGAGGGGTCGGGCCTCGGCCAGGTTGGTGGCACGTGATGAGAAATTGGAGGAATCAGAAAGCGGGATCCCCGACTGCGACACACGAAATACATATATGTACTTACGAGCATCGAAGGGTTTGAATAGAGTGATAATATTGAACATGAGCCCCTTAGTGGTTCAGCTGGCCCGAGAGAGGGACGTACAGTACGTTGTGAAGAATTTGAACTGTATTCTTCATATAAGCAAACTGGGATAACACAGTACGCTATAGAGAATAACACACCGTGTATTACACAACACCAAGCACCACTTGTGGAAAGCCATTCTCGTGTGCGCATCGACTCCTCATCCTGGTCTTCGCCGCCACCCCCATCCTTTCCCACTGACACCAAGGCTCTAGAATGCGTGATTAATTCAGAGGTAATGATTTTTCCCGCGCATATCGAATCGTCTCCTTATGCACGTCATATTTGTCAGCCACTGCTATCTCACGTCAAACCATGGCGCATGATGCACCACCTACCGTGGATTCTCTCATCCTGACCTTGGAAAACCTCGAGAAATCTGCCGACCTACTCAGTGAGGAAGCTAATGAGTTGTCAAAAAAATCTGATCCCCATCAAGCTGCCACTAGTGACCTCCGGCATGCCTATGCTGGTCTATTCCTTCAACTTGTCGGCCTCAGGGAAGCGTTCACGGCATGTTTGAACAGATTAGCAACCAGGTTCGGCAGATACGACGAAGCTCTTCCCTATGGAACGCCTCGGATCTTCAACAGTTGCCGATCTATGTTGGAGGCTTTGCCGTGGTCCAAGCTCGATTTGCTATCCCTGGATGCCATTATCGAGGCCAAGACCAAAATCCTGTGGTTCCAGAGATCCATTTCGAATTCCGCCAGCTGGACCTCCAGTGATGAAGGCCTACTGCTTTATCTCTCTTTTATTCCGGAAAAGCCACCGCGAGACTTTCAAGCTCTCGAAATCTCCGCTACCGAGCTGCGTCATTGGCGGTCCGTAAGCCGAGATGAGCCTTCGTCGGAGAGCAGCTCGGAGACAGTGTCGTATTGGATGACCATTCTGAATGGTGCCTTCAACGACCGAGAGCCCGAGGAGTTCCACTTGGAGAGAATTTTTGCCGACCTTCGAAGCCAGGCCATCCCCGATTACGCTGAGGCGTCTGTGAAATGGCCACAATATGCTGGTCGGTACTGGTCTGTCCTTAGACCCCAGATCTTCTCACTTTTCAACGCTTCAAGATCCTTCAACTTTGTCCAATGGGTCCTAGAGTTTGCCCGAAAAACATGGCCCGAAACGTATGGGAAGTACGCTGCCGCAGAGCCTATGATGGATCTTACCGATGCTCTTTGCAGCGGCACCATAACCCCTCTTCATGTCGCTGCTTCTCTTGGCCTCCCCAACTTATGTCGCGACCTTTTATCCTCGGGGTCTCATATCAATAAACAGGGGCCTATGGGGACTCCGCTGCTTTGCTCCCTTCTCGGACACAACTCATTTCTAGAGGCTTTATACCTCACTCCTTGGCTAGCCCCCACCAATCCGATCACATACGCCAACCAGGACCGCGTTGAAACTATTCTCCTATTGATTGACGCAGGTGCTGACTGCACGTGCGACTTCAAGTGGGGTGATAAAAACGGTTCAATCCTTCCGTTGGCATTCTGGGCGTCCCTCGTAATGAACAATGAGTCCATCCTCCATCGGGTTCGTGAGAAAGGAGCTAGTGTCGACTTCGCCATGGAGGAAGTCCTGCGATATCCCGAAACCGAAATTGAGGGCTCAAGAAACAAGAAGACCATGTCCAAGCTGCTTACGTATATCTTTGACCTTTTTATGAAGCAGCTGGTTGACGATTTCAACTTCGACGAAGGCGTGAACAGTGTCATAAAGAGCCTTATGACCCGCATGGACATTGATTTTGCTAGTGAGGGTGGACAGAGGAAGCTCGAAGGCGTTCCGGATGAGGTTATATTCACCCTGTCTGAATCTGCAATCCTAGAAGGCATGAGCGTTGAGCTACGTCGCCTTGTTCTCGATCCCAGATTTGACCCGAATCCTGAATCCGTCGACGAAGAGGACTGCGATACATTGCTGCACACAGCTGTTTCAAGCAACTCTCTCCTCATAGTTGACATCCTGGTCAGTGCGGGGGCGAAGCTGAATGCCGTAGGCCAGTACGGACGAACCCCGATCATGGTTGTGGAGTCAGTGCAGATGCTTGAGAAGCTGGTGGAGCATGGTGCGACTACGACGGACGTGGACTACGATGGGCGAAATATTTGGCATTACGCAGCAGCAAACAATGACATGGATATGTTGGAATGGCTGTGTGATAATGACCCTTGGAAAGCTGAGAATCTCAAAGCCGTCACCGACGGGGGATGTACGCCTCTTGCGGAAGCATTCTTCTCCATTGAGAGTCTGGCGGCCCAGCCTTCCAGCATGGGCCCTACTCAGAACCCCGAGGCCGCTACAAGGCTTCTCCAGGAGTATGATGGCAATACCTTTCTTATGAGCCCTACTCCCTTGACCCACCTGGCAGCTGCCTGGGGTGACCTGGGACTCATCGAAGGGCTTGCGAAGTTGGGTGCCAATTTTCGCCAGCCAGACGAGGACGGACAGACTGCACTTCACTATCTCAACTTTTCAGCCTCCACACAGGTTGTCAAGAGACTTCAAGAACTCTGCTATGGTGCACCGGTCGAGTCTGACCAAAACTTCACGCCGGCGGAGACTATATTTACCAATTTTTGGCCTTTCTTTGACGAATCCGACCCTGTGCCATCACTGCATCCTTCCTGCAAACAGCCTCTGTCTGAAGAGGCGTATTCTCTGCTACTGAATGAAGACACCATTTTATCAATAGATGGGCGAAACAACAATTGCTTCTGGGAACGCTTCTGCGCCAACGTGATCCAGGCCAACCCGTTGCCGACGCATGCTGGGCGAGCGAAACGCTTATCGGTGCTCCACGACTCCATAGCTACAGCTTTGAGGTGCATCGTGCGCGCTGGCGGACTCCACAACTACGAAGAAAGAAAGGGCTGGTCAGCCGTCATGTGCTTCCGGGGTGGCGAATTGGAAGAAGTGACCCGAGTCATCAAATTTTATGAAAGGCGACCACGCAAGTCGTGGAATGTCAAGTACTTCCACCGGTCCATCATCGCAACACTTGAGAACTCTGGGCCTATCGCGGCGGAAAATTTCTACCGATCGGCATACGCCGTCCATCTTCTTGCTGAGGCTGCCTTGCATCGCAAGATGGCGTTAGTCAAACATCTCTGCGCGCGAGGTGTCAGGGTTTTCGAATGCCATAATGGCAAATGCGGCCCCGTTGAGCTCGACTTCCTATACCCACTGGAGTGGATCATCACGCGTTCTCGCGATACCGAGCCACTAGGTGAACTTCTGAAGCATGTTACCGCCAAGGAACTCAATGACGGGCAGGATAGACTGGTTGACGCCCTCTGCTCCTGGAAAGGGACTGGAAAGCCAGCCAAGATTGAGATGCTTCTCCGAAAGGGCCTGGACCTCAATTACCTGCCCAAGGGGGACGATGCGGATTCCATGCTGGGACGAGTGATTTTGAACGGCGTGTCCGATGTAGCCGTAGAGCTTCTGAAGAACGGCGCAAACCCAAGGCTTGGATTTGGGAGCTCGAATGCGGCGCTCTGTGCAGCATACATGGGTGATCGCAGGGTTTTGCTTGAGATCATGAGACGTTTTGGCAACGACTTCCCATGGAAAGAAGTTGGGAGGACACATGGAGACCTCGACGGGAACGTGCTCCATATCGCCTGCTTCCAAGGTCACGACGAAACACTGACAACACTTTTGGAGCTGGAGGGTATGACGGGGCTCGTGTCTCATGTTAACGGCCTGGCTGACGGTAAGACTCCAGCCCATATCGCAGCGCTGATGGGGTCTGCACGCTGCATAAAAGTGCTCAACAAATGGGGCGCCAAATTTGATATTCGCGAGGAGACACAGAATGGCGGGACGCCGTTACATGTCGTTTGTAGTATTGTCCCGACTAAAGGATACTGCGATACACTGTTAGCGCTCACAGAATTCTGTCCGGCTGCTGTCAAGATCAAGGATACCAAGGGCCGTACTCCTCTGACTATTGCCATTGAGGGGGGACATACCGCATATCTGGAGACGCTGTGGAGAGTCGATGCTTCCATTGACGAGCTTGCCGACAAATGAGAACGGCACAGTTTTTGTTTTGTCTACTCGTATGTATTATGGTTGCCTAGTAGGAAGAATGAATGGACCACGCTCTTCAGACATGAGTCAAGGCTTACGGCGATTGGTATTAGTAACCCTTTTTTCTTTGGGAGKGGGGGGGGGGGGGTTGTGAAGTGCCTTGCAGATACAGGCCCTGTACGAAGAGTGCGTGCAGCATCACCCTGCATCTCCACGGACTACAGATGGTTTATTAGTGTCTCTGATCCTGATCCGGCGAGAGACCCAATGATTAATTCAAATGGTTGGCTCGCGGTGGCCCGTGCATCCTGCACATTCATGGAGCTCTACGCGACCGATCCAGCCCTCTCTTTGATCCAAACTCTCGTCGCCCTGGGAACAGTACAGTATTATGCGAGTACGGATATTAATATGGGCGCAAAAAGTAATTACAGATGCCTGTCTGCAATACCACTCGTACTTGTCCATACGAGGAGTAGATGATATAATACTCGTGCTCCGTAATGCTGCATATAATTCGGATGATTGCCCCTTGAGTTTGACCCTCGGGCGCTGGACTTGGGCGCATAACATTGAAGCTTTATCCTACACCTTTACGCGCTCCTTCTCAACGCTCTTGCCTCAACACCTTCCATTGTCCACGCGCCATCATTTCGTCACCCTCTACACGCTCAATCTCACCACACCTGCCCATTTTTATATTCCATTGTCTATACGACCATGGCCTCGGTTACCTTCTCATCATCTAGTCGCAGCCCGGATTGGGTCGTTTCGCCAACATCAAACGCCCAGTAAGCATACCTCCAATCCCACCCATCTTCCAGCGCCACGCCCCCCTTCAAAACTCGCCGAATGCGCGAAGAGCTGGAAAGCAATAGCCGGCAGATGTCTGACTCACAGGTAAATCAATAGCCTGACGAATGACCGGTCGTGGTTTACCGACGAATTCACCGAAATCGACTCTCACATCAGCAATGCGCACGTATCAATAGCCAACATTCCCGTCCGTGGCTTGGGCACTGTCATCCTCCCGGTCCAACAGCTGGCCACTGGACAGGGCCATACCATCAATGGAAGCATGCGCCTCCAGAGAGTCCTGTACGTGCCCGACTACCCTTGCAACGTAGTTGGTGGGCCAATCCGATCACTCGCGACGATCCACTTCAGCTCTCTGACGCCTCGAGGCTCCCTGGTCTATGGCGATGGTTCCGTAGCCGCTATATTCATGCCCGGTCGCAACTTTTATCAGATCATGCTTCGAAGCCCACCCGTCGGCCCGCCTCTCGGGAGGTCCGTCTTCGAACAACACCCTGAGTACGGCCACATGGCCGCGTTTACATGGGCCGAGGACGCGCAGCAGCGTTGCCTGTCCTTTCTCTCGGCCGGATTTCCAAACCTTGCTGCATCGTCATGCGCCACCAACAGAGAAGTAATGCCCATCACCAGCTCTGTCGGCGTGGACGCTAGTTATCATCGCAGCAGAAAGCGTCGCGCGCAGGACGAGGATTACGAAACATCCCCATCTACGCCCACATCCCCTATGAGGGCTGCCAAGAGACCGAGAGCGATGGGCGAGAGCAATTGCAGGGCCCGACGTATCCTGCCGGCTGTCTTGCCAGCCCGAGGCTGAAATTCGTGGACGTATTGTAATGCTTTTATTTTTATATAGTCATGGGCAAAATGGTATCAAATAGGCGCAAAGGTATGAAAACTAACCATGTCATCGAATGTCGGAAGCATGATATGCAGCATGGATATGGGCATGCTCCGCTACATGGCGTATGCATGGCTTTGTGGAGGGTTTGGATTCTGGCCTCTGGCTTTCGGTCAGAAAAAGCAGGGCGTATTATTAATCAGAGTTCACAATTGCTACCAGTAATCACAGACAGTATAACGGGTCTTCTGGATATCGTTTAATCACATTTGTCAAAAGTACAGGTAAGTTACGCACTCGCAGTGGTATTGAAGCCTCTACCCTGAGGGCGACATTCAACAACAGTGGTCAGCTCAATGGCAAGACAATCACCCTAAAAGTTGATTCATTACACTATTTTGGCTAAAACCTCTGGTCAAGTGACCTGGTGATCTTAGCCTTTTCATTAACATGTGATATTGAGTAGTATTAGTATATGATCTATTACACCTCAGGTTAGCACTTCCGGCACCCTAGTCTAATAATCATTTGGTAGGGGCAATGGCTTTCAACAGACTGTATTTCCAGCGCATGCAGAGAAAGTATACCTATGACGATGACCGCTACCGAAAGGCGACAAGATGGTAAGTAATATCACAAAGAGCATTGATGATAAGATGGGATGTCAAGGATGGCCATCTTAGAAGATATAGCCTACCTTGTCTCATAAAAGAGTCATCCACGTGTATATAGACCATATTTTTCAATCTGTAAATATTGCCCTATATTGTGTACGTGTTATGTATCGTCTTTGGGGATAGTCAAAGGCCCCACACGTTGCCATATACTCATTTTTTTCTTGGGTTAAATACTTCTTCCTTCAGTTTCCCTTTGCCATTCGCTTTCACCTTAAATCTTGGCATACTTCTTGAAGGCATCGATCAGACCACCGGTTGATCCATCGTGGCCCTCGCCGTTTCCAGGCTCATCCAGCTCCTTAAGGATTTTCTTGGCGAGCACCTTGCCCAGCTCAACACCCCACTGGTCGAAGCTGTTGATATCCCAGATGGCACCCTCGGTAAAGGTGAGGTGCTCGTAGTAGACAATGAGGGCGCCCAGCTCAGCGGGGCCAATAGAGCCACCCACCAGGATCGACGTCGTGGGGCGATTGCCCAGGAAGCGCTTGTGGGGGACCAGGTCGTCGGGAGCACCCTCGGCCTTGACCTGCTCATCGGTCTTGCCAACCATGAGAGCCTCGGCCTGCGCAAAGTAGTTGGAAGCCAGCATCTTCTGGTGCACATTGTCTGAGATGGGGTTGTGCGACTTGGCGGCCAGAATAAAGTCGGCCGGGATCAGCTTGGTACCCTGGTGAACAAGCTGGAAGAAGGAGTGCTGGGCATTGGTGCAAGGCTCGCCAAAGAGGATGGGGCCTGGAATTAGATGCGTGTCTTGTCAGCTACGTGCAAGCTAGATAAATACGTGGACAAAACGTACCGGTAGTGTACTTGGCCGCGGAGCCGTCCGACGTAATGGATTTGCCGTTAGACTCCATGGAGAGCTGCTGCAGGTAAGCAGGGAAACGGTGGAGGTACTGGTCGAAGCTGTTTGTGCGAGGCCTCTTGTTAGCACATTCTTCTCTAGGCGGTATAATTTCAGATCCTAAAACATACGGAGCAACCAGGTGAGTCTGGGCGTGGAAAAAGTCGGAGTACCAGACGCTCAGAAGACCACCGAGAACGGGGATGTTCTCGCGCAGAGGTGCCTCGCGGAAGTGCTTGTCCATGGCGTGGGCACCGGAAAGAAACTTGTGGAAGTTATCGTAGCCAATGTAGAGGGCGACACTAAGACCAATGGCGCTCCAGACTGAGTAACGGCCGCCCACCCAGCTCTCGAAGCCGAACATGTTCTTGCTGTCGATGCCAAACTTGGTGACCTCGGACTCATTGGTCGACAGAGCCACAAAGTGCTTAGATACATCACCCTTGTTTCCAGTCTTCTCGAGGAACCAATTCTTGGCGGTGGTGGCATTGGTCGTCGTCTCGGCCGTGGTGAAGGTCTTAGAGGCAACAAGGAACAGGGTCGTCTCGGGGTCTGAGTTGTTAAGGGCCTCGGTCATGTGGGTGCCATCAATGTTGGAGACAAAGTGTAGGGTCATGTCCTTAGCGCCGTAGTACTTGAGGGCTTCGGTGACCATGACAGGACCGCTGTTGGTGGAAAGAGTGTTAGTGCTGTCGTGATTCCATAAAAGTACCCATACACCTTCCGTGGAAAACACAAGGATTGAGAAGCGGCAGAGAAATGTCAGAACCTACAGGTCGGAGCCACCAATTCCAATGTTGACAATGTTGGTGAGCTTCTTGCCCGTGTATCCCTTGTACTCGCCACTGCGGACCTGCTCCGAGAACTCCTTGATGTGGTTGAGAACATCGTTGACACCCCCGGGGCCGTTCATGACGTCCTGGCCGTCAACCTTCATCTCCCAGCCGCCGACATTGCGCAGGGCAGGGTGATAGACGGCGCGGTTCTCGGTGAAGTTGATCTTGTCACCACGGAACAGGGCATCGCGCTTGCGTTCCACACCGGCCTGCTCGGCAAGCTTGACCAGCAGGTCAAGCGTCTCCTCTGTCAAGAAGTTCTTGCTGAAGTCGAAGAGCACATCGGCAGACACGTCGCTTCCGGGGGCAAAAGTGCGCGAGAAGCGGCTGAAGCGCTCAGGGTCTGAGGAAAAGGCCTCCCTGAGAGTGAAGTTCTTGCTAATGGCATCGCGGTTGGTCTGCAGCTCCGACCAAGCGGGCAGAGTGTTGGCGGGAGCCATTTTTTGTTATTTTGTTATTTTGTTACTTTCGTTAGATGAGGGGTATCAATCGAGGGGTAGCTTCGCGGGATTCCTGGACAAGCACGACGTGACGTCAGCATCAGTAATAGGTGAGGGAAGAGGTGTGAACATCTCTCGATGATTTCCGAGGCTTCCGGGAAGAATCAAAACGAGGTTCCGGTGCTTCCGAGAAGAAGCAAAGGAGGCTCAAGAAGAACCATGCGTGATTCTCCCTGATGATGGGGAAGGGGGAAGAACTGTCCCTCGCGTCTTGTTCAGGCAATAGCATGACGTAGTGTGGGCATACAGGGAGCAAACAAAGCTCGTCGCCATCAAAGAACGTACCTAAATAGAAACTCTCGTCGAAGCAGTGGAGGTTAAAGGATGAGTGTTTAGTAGAGATTGGGGAAATCACAAGAAAGACGTTGGGCGAGGACAGTCGTACGACGTATATACCTGAGTTTCGGCCAAGAGAGTGGGACTGAGAGGGCGGGGGTGAGGGGAATGACGGACTGATGAGGTCCGGGTAGCTAACCTTAACTATAGAAAACTTCAGTGAAATATGGCGTAAGAGTAGTACTACATATACCACTGGTCTACGTAATGTGTACCTGTGCGGAGTACTGACTGCCAAGTGGGCCGACAAAAAAAGACATTATCCTTTCCACAAACTTCGATTGAGTTGGCGTATATGATTTTTTTTGTCTCTCAGACCCGCGATGTTATATTATTGAGCTATAATCACTGTGAATACTTAAGGCAGACGCGAAGTGGGGGCGGGGTAAAATTCAATTGCTTTTCTCTTAGAGTTCGCTTGGTAACTGTGACGTAATGATGGGACTGGGACGTATTGCCAGCACCGGAGATGTCAAGGGCTTGCATGATAGCATATAGTGACGAGCATAGGATGATCTCTCAGAGAATAATAGTATGTAGTAAGCCCTTGAATAGCGCTATTATAAATACTTTCTCCCTCTTTTAAACTTGAGTAACTTCCTAATACAATGAGTTAAGCCACCATCTTTCTCTTATCATAATAAATCATCACATAGCTTAGATGCGCGGGACTCGACCATAAAACCGTCGATTCCCGCACTACAACAATGAATAAAAAGACAAGAATCTTGACGCCACATAACACCTAACCTACCCCTTAAATGTGAGTTAGAATTGTTTGTAGTGTTTGTTCTCATAAAGATATTTGCGTTATTCGATTACCTCCTAATACCTTCCCACTAATTCCGCTTACATGGTCCTACTCTTGTGTCGATCCCAAACGTTCATGTTGTCAGATCCGACACCGTCCCTGTCGAAACACCACACAGAGTGTCCCCCAGTACGCATCACCCCAATCAATAATATACCTAGCCACCAATGCGTTATTTTAAATATATCTATTATCGTCAGTATGTCTTACGTTTTTCTAATAGCCCGTTAAGGTATTCCCAAAGGGGAGGGGTGTTTCAAAAGTGTGTTGACTTACGTGTCAGGTAGCAAGCCTCAGGATATATTACAGAGCATAAGGGAAAAGCTCCTGTGGAAAAGTTATTTTAGGGAAAGTGATTTAGGTATCTACTAGATGTCATATACAGACACTCTTCTGGCGACTACGTACATGTAGTGCTTGCTGACAACTAGTCGTTTCATATTTTATTGAGACTGCTTATTGGATTTTTTCTCCGGCGTCTATTCTAATCGTACCTCTTAATCTCGTTCTTTTCACTTCATTACACGTCGTCTTTCTTCTCAGTTAGCCCATTGTCGCCCTTCCCCAGAATAGCCTTCAGGGTGTCCATCTCATTGCTCATCCACGCCGTGAGAGCAACGATGTCCGCGCCGCAATTTACGAAATCGAAGCCTTCTTCGTATTTCTGGGCCGCAGCAGCAGCACTAAGCGCAAAATGACCGACGTACTTCCCTGCGTCCCTTGCAGCTTTTAGGACACGGGAAGATGCCTCCTGTACCTCTGGAATGGAAGCATGATCAAACGCAAAATATCCCATGGAAGACGCCAAGTCGTTGGGCCCGATGAAAAGCATGTCAATTCCGTCAACGGCCGCAATTTCTTCGACATTCTCAACGGCCTTCCGGCTCTCAATCTGAACAATGACCAATATGTTCTCGTTGGCCTTTTGCAAGTATTCGCGACTAGTTAGGTTGAAAGCAGCGGGGGCAAACATAGCACCAGCTCCCCTATTCCCTGTTGGCCACTTCTCTGAGGGGTATTTGCAAGCGTTTGCAATAACCTGCGCTTGCTCCTTTGTCTCACACATGGGGACCATGACAGCGTGAACTCCGCAGTCGAGAGCGCGTTTTATCATCCAGTGCTCTGAGCCCGGAACTCTCACGATGGGAGACACTCCCGAAGATGAGATGGCTCCAACTTGGAGGTACATGCCATTGTCGTCAATATTTCCATGCTCTGTGTCTATAAGAACCCACTATTCGAAAGTATTAGTCTTTCTGTTTGATGGTTAGGTGCAAATATTTGGAGACTTACGTCTTCTCCTAACGGGGCAATTGTTTTGGCCAGAGAATAGCCCGGAAATTCAAGCCACTGCCCTACACTTGGTCCTTCGCGGCGCCTTGCCCTTTCCAGTGATGCAACCAGGCGCGTCTTTCCCGAAGAGTTGACGACTGGCGAGCTGATTTGGTTTGACATGTTGAAGATGGGTTCGTAACCAGGATAGGATCTGTGCTTCTGGAGGTATTATTTACAGCCCCAAGCAGAGACTGATGGGGATGCCAATAAGTTGTTTCGGTAGTATTTTGAGGTTTTAATGCTGTACCAGGACGTTGATGATAAGAATTTGAGAGAAGTTCGGCGGTACGTGCACTAATGATTTTACCGCCCGGATCATGGGCCGCTTTGGGCGCACGGCTATCATGTAGGATCATTTTACTCCGCACACACAAATACCACCGTGATAACGTGCAAAGATAGGGAGTTATCGGGCGACCCTATCGATGGCCGCATGGATTATTATCTACACACCATCTACCATTGTCGTCCATTCCTCTCACGAGCTGACTTAAGAATAACACATTGTGTCTCGCTTGAAAGAAGAGCATCCTATCTATACAGCAGCTTCAAGTCCATACACCGTTTGATTCTCCGCCCACCATCATTCTGAAGCAGTAATACTGTTGAGAAGAACGTAAAATATCGGGAACTTCCTTTCTTGATATTGGATTATGTCTTTCCACAAACCCGCCATCTCATACTCCCGATGCACAAAGCGACCTTGGGCCGGGTACGGATGATCTCATAGAGGCGCCGGGAACCTCGGGCCTTTGGGTTTCGCAGGCATGCCACAGCTGTTGCCATAGGAAGGTGATAATTGTGTCCCTAGTATACACCTGCATATTTGGACGCCGGTACATATATCGAGACCAGGTGGCCCGACAACAGACCTCTCATCCCATCTACTCTGTAGATCTTGCCCTCAAGACTCGCAATCGACACGTAGTAAATGTAGCTAATGTTGGATTCTGTCGATAGAATGCGATGGGAAAGAACCTTGGTTACAATTGCGGTAGTCGGAATCGGAGCTGCGACTACCCTGGAAGCAAAGAAAATGGGTCGATAGGTCGCCAGTACGTTCCATCCTACCGACATACGTTATGGTTTGCACCTACCAGACAATGACTTACTGTATACCCCTTAGATATATACCGTAGAAAGAACTCAACATATTGATAAACTGTGCCAAAAGCTAGAGAGTCTTGTTGACACGCTCGCATGATCTGTATGGCCGATGGGCCTGGGTCCCGATCAAACATCCTGTCAAACAACGAGTCTGCTTAGGAGGGGAGAGTAAAGAGGTAAGTGATAAGGTCTACTAAGTGATGGCGTAGTCATAGAGAAGTAGCGTATATAAAGGCACAATAGGAGATAATAATGTATTAATCGTTGACCTCCCCTTCCTCGTTCTATGAGGAAGGCGGTTATTTATATGGCCTCTTACTTCCTAATGGCCCCCACTTTAGTAGGATTCTTCCAATGGCCTTGACACATCCCATGCCATCACACAGCGAGATCTCGTGGAGGCTAGTCAAGTATTACTACGCCCCATACCAGATCTCCGTGATGATGATGATTTCTATAGGAACAGCATTTCATATATAAGATCAACGATCAATGCGGATATTCTCGACGAGTGAAGTGACGAAGATTGCTAGAATGCTGCAACCGATGCCTCCGGAAACATGACGAGTAATAAGGACCACGACTCACTACCTGATCGTGTTAGGGCTCTTGTGAGAGACTCGTATGGTCATCTTCGGTAAGAAAAGTTTTTGGTAAAGAGAACCTACAAATATCTGACTTGAAACAAAGATTTGTTGGTGGCACCGCCAACAGTATGCTCATTGAGGCTGCTAAGAGTCTTTCGCCGGCTGAAACCAGGACGGCTGCAACAAAGACCACGCGCGGGCACCATGCGCCAGACCTGGAGCTACCCATATTTGTACGCGGTCGTGTATGGCCCGACCTACCGTATCTACCCAAGCCGGAACAGCTTTCTCATCCTCCTCGGTATGTGGCCCATCTTCTGGTCCGACTTTACTTCGACCAACTTCACTACACATTCCCAGTGTTGTTCAAGCCTCATTTCATCCAAAAATATCGGCAACTGTATCGCAGTGAGCCAACCAACGAAGCCGAAAAGGGCCACAGGTTTTTACTAGCCTTCTTCGCCGTTATGCGTGCGCCTCTATCCTGTTCCCGTCACCATCAAATGTGCATTTTCCTGTGCTCGAGTATTATGGAAAGGCTCTCTTTCTGTCCTATGCATCAATGGGAGAGACCTCTCTGGAAAGAGGTTCAATGTCTGGCCCTCTTGTCAGTGTATTCTACTGGGTGGAACACGCTTACCCAAAGTCGGTCGCTGGTTGGACAGGTCCCGAGAGCGGTATTTGACATTGGGCTTAGTTGTCTTGTAAGCCTTTGTACGTCTAGTATTTGCCAACTTTCTATAATACTCACAGTTCCATAGATTTCCGTCATTAAACGGAGCCAATAGCCCTGGTGCTTCTCGTCTCCTCCAACATCAGATCTCACAACGCTTTTGGTGGAATGTGTATACCTTGACCAGTACGCATGAAACAGATTTATCCATCTCATGGAATGCCCTTGATTAACCTTGCCGATTGTCTGCATTGTAATCCTCATTCGGGCGCCCAGTATCCGTGCGAGATGAAGACTATCATTGTGACTTGCCCATGAGTCTGAATGACGAGGATCTAGAGGCTTTCTGTCACCAAGAATCTTCCAAAACTCCTATCCAAAGTTTCAGGGGAGCGCCTTCGAGTGCCAGATTGTTAGCTTTTGCCAAGCTATGTCGTATAGCTGGAAGGATCCAGAAACTGAAACTGAACTCACCAGGAAACATCCACATGCTTTTAACAGGCGGCCCGGGAAGACGTTAAAAATCCAACAATCATGTAGCTATGTGTAATGAAACGCTAACGCCTGTGGTTTGACCACCTAATTATCTCATAACGTTCAATCGTCGGCGAATCCTGCGGATTGGGGCCTGGATGGAAACCCTCACCTTCCCATGTACATTGTTAGGCGCATTTTTCATTCCGGGACTGTGCTAAACCTGTATCGGTAAGTAATGACTGTTCTAATTATCCCTTGTGTTCATGCTAATTAACCCGTTCAGTTGCGTTATCGGTAACCCTGAATGATCAGCCTTGCTAGCTGATGCGTACAGTTCAGTCGACGCCATTTCATAGTGTACCTTGAGCCACGCTGATCTGGGGCCAGCAGGAGCAAGGCTATCATCGAGCATCTGCTTGTAGAACATCGCAACAGCCCTGAATACGCAGCAGCACCGAACGACTGACATGGCTCAGAACCAGGGCCTCTAGACAGTACCAAGTTCGATTTTTAAATCCAGACCGCAGCTGTCAGGGAAGGCGGCAGCTCCTGGAACCATGTTGCTGTATAATCACTATACCAGCCTAGATTTCCGACATGGGGGATTAGAAAGGAAAATATAATGACATAAAAACACAATTGAAGATCTCTTTATATACTTTGTTTGCATTTTTACCGTTCATTTGTTACCGTTGGTTACGTTCAATACCGTGGGTGGGTAGTAGACAATCATACAGATGCATTAATTAGCCCTCTCAAATAAAGGGCCGCAGCGGTTGCGATGGTCTTTTTCTTATTGTTCTATCTATCTGTCTAATCATTCATAAGGGCGTATAAGAGGTGAGATCGTGATGTTTGTTACTTACCTGAGGCAACAGTCCCGGCGTCGGAATAACAATTTTCCATACGGCATTTGGTGTTTCTGCAAACAATTAGATCTGTTCCCAACTTTAGTGGCTCGTGCTGATAGGAAAAGGAAGTACAGTCAATTCCAGCATTTGTGTTATAATACTAATAATACAACTGATGACGTATTACGCCAGGAGCGACGAAATATCGCTTGGTGGATCAGGCAAATTGGCGGCAGTCTCAAACTCGTTACGATCAGTTCAGGTAGCCTATTGTCATTCATACCAGACCAGCATGGCCCTTTGATGAACGAAGGAGAAATGCCTTTTCACAATCATTTCCGCTTTCCACACGCCGTTTGATACATCCCTTGCCTCTGCTCTGTGTGCGACCGTCGGAACACGCCAGGTTTGCCACCGCTCTTCCATCCGATCCATCCCTTGCATTTCTACAGAGACTGGGTGGCTCTTGCATCGCATCAAACACCTCATTGACCAACTTTGATCAACAAACCCACAAAACATCAGAGAAATATATATCGCCATCAGCGTCATCGCCAGGCGCCCACGAGACGGCATTCAACTCTGAACGGCCCAGCCACAGCCACAACGTCGGCAGCATCTTGACCGACGCCCCGTATAAAGCTCCTAGACGTGGGTTTACACGGCACTATGTATGCGGGTACGACTATGGAGCTTCGAGAGGTCCATCCTACTAGCATCGACAGTCATCGCTCTCATTGTGCGCTGGAAGAACCCATGCTACCGTCCCACACGAACCCACTGTTCGCGCCCCTTCCGCATTACGGCCCGCCCTCGACGTCTCGAACGCTACAAAGTATCTTGTTCCGCATATCGTCATTTTGTCTGAGCCTCGTTTTTCTCGGGTCTATTGTGATATGTTCCCTTGTGACAAGTATCCCTCGTACCTGCAAACGAGCGTTTTACTGGTCAACGTTTCGTGACGTGGATAAAAATCGGCCACTATACGACAAGGAGCAGCGACGCGCGAAAATCAGGGCATCCGAAGAGAGGGAATGGGAGCTTCTTGGTCAAGAGGGCACATCCCAGGAGGGGGAGTCAGAAAGATTTGCTGAAGAGTTCCCGCCGAGCGAGGGCGGCAAGGATCCCATTGTGTGTGACATTGGCTATTATGCGCGCCGAGTCGGCCTCGACGCGGAGCTTTTCAAGGTCCAGACCGAGGATGGATTCGTCATTGATCTATGGCACGTCTATGACCCCAAGGAATACAACAAGCTCAGCGATGAAGAAAGGGACTATCAGGATCCAACCATCTGGGCCAAGAATGGTGAGAATATAAAGAGACAGCGTCACAATGCTTTGGACCGTAAACCCAAGGCGCCTGTGCTTCTAATACACGGGCTCCTGCAGAGCTCAGGTGCATTTTGCTGCAACGACAATGACTCATTGGCTTTTTGGTTGTGCAAGTCGGGCTATGATGTTTGGCTTGGCAACAACCGCTGTGGTTTCGAGCCGCGCCATGTGTCACTGGACTACGGCGATCCAAATATGTGGCGCTGGAACATACTGCATTTTGGGACCCTCGATCTGCCTGCCCTGGTGTCTCGCGTTCTATACGAGACAGGGTTCGCCAAGACAGGACTCGTCTGCCACTCACAAGGAACAACGCAGACATTTGTGGCGCTGGCTAAAGAGCAATGTCCAGACTTGGGCAATAAGATCACCGTCTTCTGCGCTCTGGCGCCGGCTGCATATGCCGGCCCGCTGATTCGCAAAGTATACTTTCGCTTCATGCGCACCCTCTCCCCGATTCTCTTCCACGTCGTCTTTGGTATTCACGCATTCATCCCATTTATGATGCAGATGCATGCTCTCGTTCCTCCGCGCTTATACGGGTGGATGGGCTACACTGTCTTGTCCTTTTTATTTGGTTGGTCAGATGCACGTTGGGATCGGGGACTTCGTAACCGCATGTTCCAGTTCTCTCCTGTCTATGTGAGCGCGGAGTCGATGCGCTGGTGGCTCGGCTGTGATGGCTTTGCAAAACACAAGTGCATTCTGGCCACCAAGGACGTGGTCCGAGCCGAGGACCGCATTGATGAAGCTACCAATGGTGGTCCCTTACCTAACACGGTACCGACACCGGAGCTTGAACAGCAGTTGCCAGGTGCGACGGCCTGGTTCAATGAACAAGCTCCCCCCTTTGCATTGTGGGTAGCCGGTAACGACGACCTTGTTGATGGGCGTAAGCTCCTGCGTCGGTTTGAAAGTGATCTCGAGCCACATGTCCGTGTGTGCCACAGTAAGATCATTGAGGAGTACGAGCATCTGGATGTCATCTGGGCGATGGACGCCAAAGACAAAGTCTTTGCCGAGGTCCGCGACGTTCTGTGGAAGATGTGCGATACACGGGACGAATGTCGAGTGCCAATAGGTTTCAGTAACCTCGAACCGATGGAGGCCAATACAGACCTGATTCCAAACCAACACCTTAACAGATTGGATGCAAATGTCTGATGAGTTCCCACCATACAAGGACGCGCATATGTTGGCGAAGAGAAAGGAAGCGCGGCATGAATGTCGTGCAATACAAACACTGTACAATATTCTACCAAGTACGAGATGTTTACAGGATGTTGCGGGATGTTACTTTGGCCCTTGGACACTTCGCCAACTCTGGTATTCTAACTTCAGTAGCGTGGTACAGATTCAATACGGGCCTAGGCATTCGAAGGGGGGTATGCGGGGAAAGGGTGAGGGACAGAGACGAGCCGAGGCTTGCTTGATGATGGAACGGGCCTCCATAACCGTCATCCGTGGATCCTGCCGTGTCCAGATCATTATATATTGAACCCCTTCTCAACTACTGAGATCACTTTTATATCACCCTTCTCATATCTGTCGTTGCTTGTGAGTAGTATTACTGCTTTGTATCAGCATAACTCACGACGTGATACTACGCGTGCCAGATTCTCTTCCGTCAGATTATTGATCCTTCGCCTCAACCATATCTCTTATAAATCATTTAGAAATTATCGTCTGTTCTTCCGTGCCTGCACAACTTTGGGAAGTAGCGCTTCCTACACATTCGACATGGCTATCACTTCGGCTTTTTCAGACGTGGAAGTCCCTGTCGTTGACGTATGGACCTTGTCCATGGTTCACCAGAAGCCATATTCAGAAGATCACGGTGAGATCATCTACTCTCCATTCTCGTCGTTAGCATCCTTGCTTACCCTTCACTCTCTCTTTTCATATCCCCAGAAATCTTCATTGACCTTGAAACGGGGCGCTCCCTCAACTTGGCCCAGCTCCGAGCACTGTCAATACAGTTTGGGCAGGGACTTAAGCATATGTTTGGATGGGCCAAGGGTGACGTCTTGTCTATATACTCATCCAATTGTGTCGAGACACCTGTCGTGAACCTCGGCCTGCACTGGGCTGGTGGTGTTGCCAGTCCGGCAAACCCTACATACACCCCTGGGGAGCTCGCCCGGCAGCTTAAAGATTCAGGTTCCAAGGCTCTCATCACACAGGTACCTTATCTCGACGCTGCGCTCGAAGCAGCGAGAGATGCCAATCTTAGCCAGGACCGTATAATTCTGATTGGAGATTCCCTTCATGAAGGGTTCAAACACTGGACGGACATCACTGCGAAGAGCGCCTGGTTCACACCCACGAAGACACCCGTTGATCCCAAAAAGGACTTGGCATACCTGGTATACAGCTCTGTAGGTATATGCGTATACTTTTGACTGGTAAGAATACAGGAGCTAAAAATACAATTGATAGGGAACAACGGGTCTCCCAAAGGGTGTGGCTCTAACACATGAAAATGTCGTGGCCAACATGTCGCAGGTTGGGCCTTTAGATCTCAAACTGCTCAACTGGGACATTGATTCCCATCTTGGAGTGCTCCCTTTCTTTCACATATATGTGAGTTGATTTTTTTTTTTTGCGTGGGAATTATTGCATATTAAGTTGATAGCTAATCATATTACATGCTATCTGTCCAGGGTCTTTCGGTTGTTATAGGTGTTACTATCTTGACAGGTGCAAGATGCTACGTCATGCCACGGTGGGATCTCGAAAAGGCATGCCAGGCCATCCAGGACCGTGGCATCACCTTTAGTTACATACCTCCACCCATTGTTCTCGCCCTAGGAAAACATCCTGCTGTAGATCGGTACGACCTCTCAACCCTGCGGTGGCTCAATTCCGGAGCTGCCCCAGTTAGCAAGGAACTCGTTCTAGCCGTCTGGGACCGCCTAAAGGTTGGTGTCAAGCAGGGATACGGTTTGTCAGAGACGAGTCCCACGACTCATACACAATTCCCAGACGAGTGGTTCCGTTTCCAGGGCTCTGTTGGTAGGCTTTTGCCCAACATGAAAGCCAGGATTGTCGATGATGAGGGCAGGGATGTTAAAGAGGGTGATGTAAGTCTCCTTTGCTTCGTGAAGTTTATGCCATGCGAAGATATTGTTTTCTAACTCATCTTTATGATCCATCAGTCTGGCGAACTTCTGGTCAAAGGCCCCAACGTCTTTGGGGGCTACTGGAACCGTCCCGATCTCAAAAAGGATACATTTACTGAGGATGGATGGTTCAAGACAGGAGATGTCGTTAGGGTTGACAAGAAGGGTCACTTCTACATAACTGATCGCATCAAGGAACTCATCAAATACAGTGAGAGAAACAAGCACCTCCCTCCCCCCAGGAAAGACTGAGTCTCAGCTAACATAATAACCAGAGGGTTTCCAGGTCCCTCCGGCTGAATTGGAGGAGATAATCCACGGGCACGAAAAGGTGGCTGACTGTTGCGTCGTGGGTGTCTGGAACGAGGAGGAGCACACTGAAGTGCCGCGTGCTTATATTGTCCCTGAGACGGGTATCCAACCAAGTGAGGAATTCGGCATCGAGCTTGTACAGTGGCTGAGTGGACGTGTTGCCCCCCCCAAGCGTCTACGTGGCGGCGTGCGCTTCATTAATGAAATCCCAAAATCGCAGTCTGGCAAAGTGCTGAGGAGGGTCCTGCAGGAGCAGGGCAGGAAAGAGGACCAGGCACCTAAAGCCAAGCTGTAGGGTCATGATTGGATATATAAGTTGCGGGACAAATTAATGTACGCATTTGATTACATGTTCCCCATGTTGCCCATCCGTAATATAACCGTCTTTCTTCTTTCTTCTTTTGCCTTCTTTAAATGGTACATGAAAGCCTACACCCGAAAAGGTCCGGGTGCATGCAGGTATTATACAACAGTTTCCATCTCCAATTTTAGATACCGAACATCTCCAATCAGCCAATGCGCTCAGCCTCATCCAAAAGCCTCTCCACTGTGAACCTTTCGTCACCCGTGGAGAACCAGTTGAGCAGTGCCCTGCGCTCTTCAGCCCTCACCTTTCTCTCGCCTGTGAGCTCGGAACCATTACTCTCCCAGGCACCGTAAAAGCGCTGAAGACACATGACGAGCCACTTAGCCTGCTCCGGTTTGACGCCTCTGCCATCAACCAACTGCCCCTGCATCATGACGAGTCCACGCTCATCCAGCAGGTCCAGATGGTGTGTAATCGTCGTGTGCGGTTGCGCGAATTCGCCACGAGCCCTGTATTCGGCCAGTTGGGTGAAGAGGACGGTACTAGTACGTGATTCTGAATCAAAGGTCCACTGCAAAAAGTGCATCTCAGCCCCTTGGCCCTCGTGAGGGACGGGCAGAACGAATTGCGGCGACCTCTTAGCGGCCTCTTCCATGGCCTTGTATGTCGACGCCGGCACGACGGCGCAGATCTTCTGGGGTGATTGCGCATGACGGAGTCGCCAGATCATCGTCAGCTCCTTCTCCGGTAGCCCACGGCACTTTTCCAAATCGATGATGTCGTTCAATCCTTTGATAGCAGGTTTCTCGGAGCCAGAGGCTCGACGAGCTGCTTGGACAGCCGGAGAGCCTGGCGTAGACGGTGTAGGCCCATGCTTGTTCGGCTGGGATACAGGTGTGTTGGGCGCCTGGGGGATCTGGACACCCGAGTCTGGAGGTAACGGGTTCAGCTTACTCTCAGGGAGAGGGCCACGGTGTGATTGACCCACGGGGGTGTTGGGAGCCTGGGGGATCGGGAACTCGACGGCGTCCTTGGCGCGGGTTTCCTTGATCTTATCTGAGTAGGCTGACTTGAGTTCTTCGATATCCTTGAAGCCCTCTGTCTTTGCTTTTTGGTTCAGCTTCTCGCGGTATTTGTCGATAATGGCCTGGGACGGTCGCGTCGTGGCCAAGAAACGTACGTCATGGACTTGGGCCCATCGTCGCTGGTTGACGAAACGCGGTGCACGGGGCGCCCAGAGGCGACTGATATTTCTCACGGCCGATATGCGCACATACGAAGCCATTGTGGTGTTCCTTTTTGTTGCGTCGGAAGAAGTGGTAGCTGTGTGTGTTGGTGTTGACAGAATTCGACGCTTCTTGCCACGTTATTGAGCGTACGATGCTGAAGTCTGTCCTGCTGTAGGATTAGTCATAACAGGAGTGTGTATTATGTGCGTGTCCCTCTATAGTAACTAAATTGTGGAGATAGTTCCTAGTGACAGTGATTTAATAAATTAGTAGTTAAATATACGTGTTTAAGTAGTTATGCCATAGGGCCCAGTCTTATGACCCTTATCTCCTAACAATGACTTGTATAATTATGTATTACATATATTGAGTTTGGAGACTGCTTCTTTTTATTCTTTATTTGTGACGTGTACGCTATATTCCTCCCTCCAAATATATATATAAATATATATATATTAGTAGTCGTATCTTGAATGTTTAACATTTTCTCTTCATTATTGACTTTTATTTTAGAAAATACCTCTAAATATATATCCCCTAACTTCATCTTACTCTATCTATTTATTTAGAGCGGTTCAGTACCATAAGTAGCTGTAGACGCTTTCGGCAAAGGCATCAAGTGTTGTTCAAACGTCACGGAACAAGTGTAAACATATCCGTACAACTATGTGGACACCCCAAGTCATTGCTTCGTACCCATGAATGTCTACACCAGCAGGACACTGTGGTCTACATCAAATGATCAACATAGGATTGGATGTCGCACATTATCCTGCAAACAGTAGTGTTGTATTGACTGTAGACATTTGAGAAAATATTCTGGTTGTTTAGATAGTTGTAACACTAAGGCGCACACCATCCTTCGGGCGAAGGACCAGACGCCACATCTTCCACTTCTCTGGGTCATCGAAAGTCTCATCGCGTTTGAACTCAAACATACTCAAGAGACAGCAAAGGATAACCTTCATCTCGGTCTCGGCAAACTTACGGCCAATGCAGCCACGAGGACCCTGCAGGAAGGTCATGAAAGCATTGTTGGTGAACGTGCTAGGGAGGTTGTCCCAACGGTCGGGGTCGAACTTGCCGGCCGTAGGGCCCCAGTACATGGGTAGATGGTTGATAGCGTTGGCAATGACGTAGACAACAGTACCGGCAGGGATCTTGTATCCAGCAAGGGTATCATCGGCGATAGACTGACGGACAGTCATGGGGATAGGGGGAATGTAGCGGAGAGACTCTCTGCAGACGTTGTCGAGGTACGGCAGGCGGTCAGGATCAGCCTTGGAGAAGACCTCGGGGTCGTAGCGCTGATTAGCATCGAACATGAACGGCAGGTAGTCCTTGATCTCTTCACGCAAACGAGACTGTATCTCGGGGTGGATAGAGAGGAGGTGGAGAGTCCAGACAACTCCAGTGGCGGTGGTGTCATGACCGGCACCAAGGAAGGTCATGATTTGGTCGCGAACAGTCTCAAAGGAAAGTCCCTTTTCACCCTTGTCTTGCAACCTCTTGTTATCTTTGACAATAAGACCGATGATATCTTTGGCATTGAGGTTCTGTGCGGCCTCCTCCTGCTTGACGTTGATGATTTCGGTGGCCTTGTCGACGATGATTTTGCGCGAGATGTCCATGTCGCGGTTCATCTTGGCAGGAATGTACTTGGAGGCCGGGATGAAGGCCTGGATACCATGAAGAAGGCGAGACCAGATGTCGAATGCAAATATCAACCTGTAGGCCTCGCGGATGGGCGTCTCAGGGTTCTCGAGAGAGTTGATGTCATACCCAAAACCCGCCTGGCCGATGATATCCAGAGTGGTGCGGTTCAGCCACTCGAGGGCTTCAATGGACTTGGTGGTGGCACCGGATTCCTTTATCTCGTCCTTCCAAGACTTGGCCATCAAGAGGCCCTTCTGCCAGAAGACAGGTGCCAAGGCACGGATTGACTGAATAGAAAATCCAGGAGCGAGGGCCTTCCTCTGGTGGACATGCTCAGGGCCTTCGGCAAGGAGGACACCCTCGCCGAGAATGCGGACCATCCAAAGCTTGGCTCGGAGCGGCTTGGGGTAGTTGTAAGGGTTGCGGACAGTCATGTGCTTGAGAGCATCATCATCGGCAACTACCAGCCTCTCGGAGCCGAAAGGGAAGAAGTAGCGGACGATGGGACCATACTGCTTATGCCACCGCCTCTGGGGAACACCACACTCTTCCGTGATGATATCGAAGAACTGGCCCCAAAGAGGGAAGCCAGGAACGGTAGGGATATGGCGAAGCTCAGATACATAGAAGGGGAAGATCCAGCTCATCCAGACAACAACGTACAAAGGCACGACAGTGGCCCATGTCGCTGCAATGGCAAAGTAAGGCTCAGTATCGTGGCGGCGAGAATATATGTACGCAGACGCAGTGGCTGCTGTCATGAGCGGCAAAAACGTAGATCGTGCCATGGTGAATGAAGGATGAGAAGTGAGTTAACAATGAGCGAAGAATTTCAGGAGTAGGTACACAAGGAGTGGCGGTTGAAGATGATGACAGAAGACACAGAGAACCCGCAAGGTATTAAGCTCGACTTATATGGATGAAATCCCAGTTTCCCAGCTTCGTAAGCCGGTGTGATATCCGCAGCTCCCGGAAAATGTGTCTTACGATGGGGTTATCCTCGTACAGATAGCGCTACAAGCAGAACAAGGGAGTTTGGAGACGACCCTTGGACAACAAGGGCGGAATTTACAATGGATGGTATGGAATATCGTAACTCAGCTGCCAGAAATCTGGGTCATGTTACGACAGTGTGCCCCGTACAGTGTACTGAACAGGACATAAGTCTCAGACATGCGACTACATCCCTCGTCTTGGACAACGAATGTCTAATGACACAAGATCACAACAACAGGGGTAGGAAGATTGAGATTCTGACTTTTGACTAATGTATGCTGACGGACGATGTAATAATTTCAAGGCCAACCTCGTATCCGGTTTACCTACATGACAACGTACCTTGACGCCACCAATGCAGCCAAAGCATGAAGCTATTAGTAAGTAGAGGGTGCAACCTTCAGCGCAATTGTATCCATCGAGTAATATTTTAACGGAAGTCAGCATGCCTTGGCAGATCGAACAGCTGTTGAATCGTTGTGGTAACTTTACGCTACGGGCATGGGGATCTGAAGCTGTGGGTGCTAATCTAGCGCAAAAAAAAAAAAAAAAGAAAAGAAAAGAAAAGAAAGAAAGAAAGGGAGAAAAAGAGAGAGAATAGAGATGCCGATCATCTCTGTGATATGTATATTGAGACTTTTCCTAGGTAAAGGGTACAAGTGGAGTATGATGAGAACCCGAACTACTTGGCAATCCGGACTACAGGAGGGTTTGAGACCTTGACAACATGGCCGACGCTTTCGGTAACCTGCATGTTGATTCCAATCACCTCTTTGAACAGCATTCCACCAACCTGTTTAGATAGGGAGATGTCCACCCACCGTACGAATCTACTCTGTGGTACAATGGTACATGGTGTTAGTCAAGTAATATTACAGGTCCGTGTACCAGCTGCGTAATATCATCGTGATTGTGAGTCCATGAGTCCTTTGACGGGGCCGCCTACCCGCTCAGGTCGAGGTAGCTGACTTTAGAATAACGGTATGCCTCATGGGCACCTATCGGCTGGGTTGGTATTCGGTCTAGGGAAACACGAGTACTTATAGAGGTGTATGTCTGCTTAAACGTCAAACGCAGAACCGCCCATCATCCAACATCTCGGTCAGGTCAACATGTCCAACATATCTCTAAAGCAACCTTCCTTCCCTCTGCCTTCGCGCGAGCGTCAGACCCCCTTCTCCCTATGGGCAGCCTTTGACAAAGCATGGTTTGCCTTGAAGGGCTATCATGCTGATGAATTCAGATTTGTGGCCGGAGAGACACCAATTTCAACTCTGTGGGAGACCGCAGCAATCATATTCTGCTATCTCATCATCATTTTTGGTGGAAGAGAGCTTATGCGTAGCCGCAAGCCCTTCCAGTTCAACACCCTCTTTAAGATACACAACTTTGTCCTCACCGTTATCAGCGGTGCGCTGCTGGCGCTATTCGTTGAGCAGCTGGCTCCCACGCTTTGGAGAGATGGCTTCTATGAGAACATTTGCGGTGCCGACGGATGGACGGACCCGCTGGTGACTCTCTACTATGTTCGTTGTGGAAAGACTCTGTCTCTTCATGATTTGAGAAACACAGCTGACAGACGTTTCCTAGCTCAACTACCTCACCAAATACATTGAGCTCATCGACACAGCCTTCCTCATGCTCAAGAAGAAGCCTCTGACATTTCTACACTGCTACCACCACCCTGCGACCGCCTTGCTCTGCTATACCCAGCTTGTCGGGCGCACTTCGGTCTCATGGGTCCCCATCACCCTCAACCTCACAGTGCATGTGGTCATGTACTGGTACTACTTCCAGAGTGCCCGTGGCATCAAGATTTGGTGGAAACAGTACATTACTATCCTTCAGATCGCGCAGTTCATCATCGATCTCGGTATGTTCTTCTCTCCAACTCGGGTTCCATGTCAGTTTGTTTCTGACCATAGCAGGTGTCGTCTACTTTGCATCTTGGGACTACTGGGCAAGCACCCACTTTTCTTGGCTTCCCCATGTCGGTACGTGTGCAGGCCACCCATATGCTGCCATGTCTGGGTGCTTCATCCTTTCTTCATACCTCGTGCTCTTCGTCATGTTCTACTTTTCTACCTATAAAAAGCCTGCGAGCAAGAAATCTGCAAACGAGAAGCCCGCGAACAAGCAGTTGAGCAAGAAGGACATGGATGTCAAGGTCATCAAGGGTGTCAAAGATATCAAGCGGGTACAGCCTACGCTGTGAGGACTGACGTCCGAGCTACGATTATCGGGCTGATCTAGCCGTTGGGGGGGAGTGGCTTGTTGAGATTATATTCCATGTTTATCTAACTTTATCCTCCATATACATTGTGAATATATATATATATATATACAAGTAATAAAACACGGCTCATTTTACATATATATACGAATGTATGTACCGCTAACTTGTTGAGAAGAGAAATCATGGAACATTCATAATTATCCCTCCACTTGAGTCAGGAGACATATACTTCTGCGCGTGGCTAGATGCGAAATGACCCTTCCGCGGATTGCCCTACATCGACCACAGCTACACAGTAAGCGTGAAGAAGGATCCGGTGCCGGCAGTCCTGGACGGTATCTCAGTCCGAGTATTGGTAGAGAGTAGGCGGGCATCAGCCGGCCCTCGATACCCCCCAACTTCGGATTATATCAGCCCGAGTATTACACAAAGTGACGATGGCATGCATCTCAGTTACTATTCAAAAGCCGGTGTACCCGTGGAACGCTGTACAAAGAAAGGTTGGCCGTTGCTTTTCGTAAAACTGGGGATGGCCCTGCACAACGGCAGTGCCTCCCAGGCATGGGCCGGCGGAATACGAGGCAATTGACTCGGTTGATGTATCAGTATTCAATATCTATGATGTCGCCAAGATAGAGCAGTGTTGGGTGTAATTAAACCATGTAGCATTCCACATAATACCGCTAGCGCGTTGCAATCCGCATCGCTGGATTGGATCCGATACGGACGCCAGGGCCGGCCCTGGCGTTCCGGCATGGCAGCCGATCGATGCGTGACATCGGCCCTAGGAAATACGAGCGCACATTACCATCACTGATGCCCAAGGGGAAAACGCCAAGCACGCACTACTTGAGGAGCCTCCCTAAACTAGGTTCACTGGTCGTAGGAGCCGGCTTACGGGCGAAGTGCGCATTCAACCCATTCAGCCTTGTCCGCCGTCAGAATACAATACATGTACTGCAGAAGTAGTGCCGTCCGCCATCTCAGCTATACGCCACACGGAGTATTAATGCCACGGGAGACGGGACCCGTCACAAGGCGAAAACTTGTAAGTCACACAACCCCACACCCCCACGCTCCCGCTCGTGCCTCGCATACGGCGGTCCATTGGCCCACCTTCATCCTACTCTGAAAGCGGCGAGTGGGTCTACGAGGGGCGACTGAAAAAAGTAAATATGAAGCTGTCAAGACAGAGGAACTCAACAGATACAGACGCAGATTTGGGCGCGTAGACCGGGGAACAGCTCAGACACCATTGCACACGGAGGTCCATTAGCTAATCTGCCCCCCCGCGCTATTGTCTCTACATCCCTTTTCTTCGCTGTTCCTTGTTTTCGGACTATCTCTTTGTGCATCTTACTCCTTGAGTCTGACCACCATCCCAACCCAATTTGTGATCAACCCTACATTTCCCACGCTGAACAGGAGTTCATAACTACTGTAGTCGGAAGTATCCGCTACTTCCTATCTTCAACTGTAGACTATCGACTACCCGAGTGCATCGCAAGCTAGAATTCCCCAGGTAGAGCGAAATTGCGGATACAGCACCATCGCATACAGCTGGAGCAGGAGGACAGCAAACTTTTTGTAGGCACCTTGTGTGGAACCGATAATACTTCCGTAATATTCCATGGCATGTATGCAAGCAAGAGTACATATCGTATAGCCTTGATACATCACAATGCTGCACGTCTTGCTGCATGCGCATCGTATTGTCGGTTAAGCGGCGATAAACAGATATCTGCGACTACGGGAGAACTTCGATCCATTAAGAAATCAGTAAACCTGTGTCCTAAGCTGCGCGCCAAGACGTGCACTACTGGCCCCCTAGTCAAGTCGCCGAGATACTGTTGGGTCGAATGGGCTTCCACTCAACGGCCGATAGATATGCGCATCAGAGGGGGGGTAATGCCCGTCGTTCCCGGTCCATCCTCTTTGAAGTTCAGTGAATCGAGTCGCCCACTCCTCCGGTCAGACTCCAGAATACCAGGAAGAGTAAGCCAAGTTGCAGGGCAGATTTGTAAACGTACTGGGCGGTGAGTACAATTGTATGAAGACAGTCATCATGATCAACAAGGCGGCTCTCATGCACTTCACTTTACGACAGGCAAGTGGGTACAAAGGGAGCACGACAGCAGCATATCTGTGTGAGACGGCCCATTCAGTCTAAGACAGTCTGAACGCCAAATTAGCTTCCACTTGAGGGGGTTAAGTAAAGAGCACTAGGGAACTCTTAGCACCTCTCAACGTAGATCTAATAGGAATATTTGGAATGGGGGAAAGCTAGTAACGCCTACTGCCCTTTCTGGTGAAGAGTCTGTTTTGGGGGTAGTGTAATGGGTTTATGGGGCCTGTTTGCGGATCGCATTGCATTGAATTGTTTTGATCTCCATTTTAATTCCAGCCGTGTAGAAACCATGCAGTGACATACATGGTCCAGGGAGTTTTGGTGGTGGAAGTTTACTAACCTGTCATTGTTTGGTATACGAGGAGGTGCTGTACCAGCACGCAGTGCATCGGTCATAAGTACCCCCTCACCTGTCGTAAGGGGCGGCTCGTCTTTCTTGTTCTCAATCTCGTTGTGGTCTTTTGGCGGATAACGACACTGCTCGGCTGCGTATTAAACTGTGGCATCTTGACGGAACTGCTTTGATTCTTGGGCTTTCTCTGCTTCGAGCTTCTGCCACTACGACGCAGGCCAACATGGAGAACCTGGCGTTTTACAACTCGAACCAGAAGGTCGACCTCCCTTCGCACGATGAGGCCTTGTACGGTTCTTCAGCCAGCGACTACTATTCCCTATCAGTCCCGTGGGTAGTGTCGGGCTTTGGGTCAATTCAGACGCAACTATGGACCCTCCTGATCATTCTTTTCGTCGTCTTCAACTTGAAGAACTTGCCGGGCGTGTGGCATGTGCGTGAACGACCTCTTCCACTTCTTCGGTTACCTCATTCACTGACTTGTCGTGATAGATGAGAATATTGAATGCATTCAGATTCATACTTCGAACACAGCGGCCTTCGGTTGAGTTGAAACCCTCACACATCTTCCAGCCACTCGTCACATCCTCCACGGCTCAGCTCCTCGAGACCGACTTTAACCTCCACAAGAACAACTCTACCTACTTCTCCGACGTGGACATCTCGCGCACGCACCTTGCGTGCACACTCTTCGCAGAGGGGATCGCCAAGATGCGAGGCGGTACAAGTGCCTACACTGGCGGCAAACACCCACATTTTGGACTTGCTCTTGGAGCAGTATCTTGCAGCTTCCACAAGGAGATTAAGCCTTACCAAGACTACGACATGTGGTCGAAAGTCCTATCATGGGATGAGAAGTGGTTCTACATCGTCACGCACTTCGTGCGCAAGGGCACTGTCACACCAGAGTCGTCTAGTCTCTACCCCGAGCAGGAAGGCGCAGATGAGTCACACTCACTGAAGTCACCTCTTACATCCATTCCGGATCCAAGCGAGCGACCGGACAGGGCTGTCTTTGCAACGGCGCTTAGCAAGTGTGTCTTCAAGTCTGGGCGCAAGACGGTCAGCCCTGCGACGATGTTGGATCTGTCGGGACTGCTGTCTCCCGGCATGGATCCTTCTGAGGCAGAGAACGTCGAGATCCAGCGGAAGCACGGGCTCATGGCAGCCAGCGCCCTGGCTGAAAAGAACCAGAAGGCCTTGGAGGCGGAGTTTTCTGGTATTGGCGGGCCCGTTCTGGGCCATCATACTGATGGAACAGGGTTTGGTGGTGTGGTGAGCACTCTACTACAGCTTGCCAAGTTGAAAACGACACAGGCTCTGTGACATACTATCACCTGCCTGGATAATTTTTAATATTTTAATGACATAGTCCTAATATATTCTACGTGTCTCTATTGTCGATACTTCATGCAACACCCATCTGTACTCCCCCATAACTCTCGCAGGTCACTCGCTAATCATGAGAACAGGAGCGACAACGTGTGAACAGAACGCTTCTGATACGTTCAGTAGAGGAGCATAGAGACAGGACATGAGGAAGAAGAACCGGAACAGTAAGATGGGCAGCCCAAGACTGACTTAGTCCTACGTGTGTGCAAGACAGGATACAATTCGGCCGTTGCATTTGCACTGCCGTTGCTTTCCATGCCATTACACTGCAAACGAGTGGTAGCATGGCGACGTATCTGCCTGCGTGTACATATGAGGTCCTTCAGATGATGTGATCAAGGCATTTGTGGCGTATAACCGTGGGGGGGCTGAATACGTGACCCAATGCCGTTATCGTCAAGATTCATTATGGAAGTGGGGCGAAAGGATCTGAAAGGGCTACATACATGCATGACTGGTCACAGACCTTGATTTCATCAAAGCAGGGCACAACGATCGATACACATGCATAAACTTGCCATTGGTGCCTACACTATCACTTTTTCGCTTCTACTCTGTACCTCGCCACTATTTAGCAGACCTTGTCACTCATCTCACTACCCCCTACCCCAAGCAGACTCGTTGTCTGATAGTTACCGTGTAACAGTCATTGATGTGAGTTGACACGAATGCGAATAATGAGGCGCTTAACCCCGGTCAGAGATTCTGGATCTTGGCTAATAATGCTAGGCGGTGACTACGTGCATATATACCCTTGCTGCATACTATAAGATCCTCACGTACTATTACTCTACAATCTAATATAGAGTCGGTATTACTCCTTCATTTTTTTTGGTATACCACCAACGGTTCGCCCTCCCATCATCGAATCACCGCTTCTTACATGTACCGGTAGTCATTAAGTGGAGGAAGTCAGCAACGTAATCGCAGCACTCAACTGCTGCGTGTCAATTGATGTAATGTAATAATACATAGTGTCAACTTGTCTTATTTGGGTGGCTCCCCTGACTCTCTCCATCATCTCATCCATTCACGTGCTTGGCGAAGTTCATTCTGAGGACAATGACTGATCTGTTATCCCTTGCACTCATAGCATAATTGAGTCTACGGCATATCTCGAGCACAATTCCTATTCAAGAAGGATAAATCCTGTATGGAGTAATAGCTTGCGTATTGTACACTACACCAACCTCGAACCGACCCTATAGCCAGCCGCACAGACTTACAAACTCGTAAAGAAACTGTTCTATCGAGTACCTAGAGTGTAATATGTGTGTATGGAGTATCATTTTATTCTTGCATCTCACCAGTCTTCGTATCCATGACAGGCTTCTACAGATGCTATACCCTCATATAAGTTGTTTGTGGTGATTACCTGGAATTATCGTACTGGACAGATGTAACGGATTTCATGCTGGATGTCGGTGGCCAATCTGTGTGCGTCGTGGGCTCCAGTGTACAAGCAAAGCAGTCTTAATCGATATGACTCGATTGTCATCAATCTTGGGAGACCAGTCGCATGGCTATCCGGATCAACCGACACAATGTTCCGACACAGAAATTGTGGTGTATTGGCAATCGCAAGAATGACCGCAACCATTTGCAACCCGTGATGGTTCTCTTCACAGTCGCCGTCATTCAACCTCCTAGAAGCGTGCCAGCGCATGCCTGTGTGTGGTGTAGTGGATTCTGAGGCAACTGCACCGCCCGATGCATGTCTCTCAACACGTCACGACTCAACAACTGTGGGCTCGCTTATGAGCTTGGCAATCCAACTTGAGCAAGGAGAGCTCCCCGAGCATGGACGTCGCCGTCTCACTGCCATAGCTGTCATATGAATCCTGGCTAGCACTGCAACCTTGTACGGCTGTCTACGTACATCCTCCCTCCAGGTATTGTAACTCCGTACAGGCTTGCGAATACTTTGCAGATGTAAGTACAAGTACATGTCTTATACAATCTTTGTCTCATCCCTGGATGCAAGTACCTATAGGCTCGACATCTTTATGGAGTGCCGCAAAATCACTATCATCTTCCCCCTTTTCCTTTGTTGTTTGTTTTGCTGTCCTTAGGCGCGTGCTTGGTGAAGCTCGTATTGCAAACAGGGAGGCGTGAATCGTGCGGATCCCATTCATTGATGTCTCGTCGCTTCGTATCTGTACCGCACAGTGAAGTATTTGCTTTTTTTTTCATTTTTCATTTTTTTTTTCATGCGCCCTTGCCCGCATCTCCGACCCGGCGGTTTCTTTCACCTCACCCGGGCCTTTTTATCCCTGGGCTGTCGGTCCTAGTGCTTTCCCCTTGTGTGTCATAGAATGGTCATTGTCGACTTCAACGAGAGATGATTTGTCCCTTACAGACCCACGCCAGGCTTCTCCCACATCTAGTATATTTCAAGGTTAGAATACACGATCGATCATATTCTATTGATCCTTGAGGATGACGAACACGCCCCTAATGTCAATTATTGTTTGGCCCGTCTCGAGACTAGTCCATGTAGATTGAGTGAGCCTCATCTTCCCGTCCCCTAGCGCAATGCAAGGCCGCCGAGTGCGACGGGACATATGCCTATGTACCCACATGTTCGGCCACAGTGTGTAGTATCTAGGTACATCGGCGATACTTCAGTATTGTCCCCGTGTAAATACGACGCACTTTGACTACTGCTAGAAATCGTTTCTTTTCTCCCGTACAAGCTCATGATCGGTGGGCACTCCAAGAATCAGGAGGGTGGTGGAGTTTATTGGAGGGATATCAATTGCCCGACCGCAGCTGGCATTCCAATACATCTCTACACAGGTTGACGGGCTTCGGTTAGTTTCAACCGTGAGACCCCGAAATCTCGGACTTTCCAATAAGTATGATCAGGTGGTACAAGATGACACTGGCTTGTTTCTTTCCTGTCCGTCGGCAATTCCTAAGCATTTTGTTTATCGTTGCAGGTCCTGACCGTCATAAAGGAGTCCTGCCTCCACTAACCAGCCATATTTCTGCTGTCCACCCTTCCTCTCGTTGAACCATCATTCATTCGTTCTTTCTCTCTCTACCTGTGGTATATTCATTTTTCTCTTCTAATTTTTAATATCCATGCCTGCCTAATATCATCTATCATACCATATACGCCGACTCGTATACAGATACCGACAAATCAACACAGCAACCGGAAACCCTCCCCGTCGACATCCATCATGCTTACCCTACCTGAACATGGGTCGGAAACCCAGGAGAAGTTCGACACATGTCACGACATTGAATCCATGAAGTCCATGCAGAGTTTCATGCAGATGAATTCGTCGCAGAGCATTGCCTCATTCAGCCATGCTCGTCATGATTCCGACCGTACCCTCATCCCAGACCACAGCCGCCAGTGCCTTACAGCCGATACGACCAAGACCAAGGAAGAGCACCCGGAAAGTAAAATCGCAGAGGAATCGAGCACCTACCTTGAAGGGTGGTCACTGTTTCTCCTCTCCGTGGCTATTTGTCTCGCTGTCTTCATCATCTCGATAGACCGAACGGTCATCACTACGGTATGTGCCTCGTCCAGCCGCAGGTGTTGTAGTGGGAGTCTGACAACCTTTAGGCCATCCCCTACATCACGGAAGAGTTCCAGTCTACCAGCGATATTGGATGGTACGGCTCCACGTACCTCATCACTGCCTCAGTATTCCAGCCCGTCTATGGTCGGGTGTACACGATGTTTTCCGCCAAATGGTCCTATCTCGCGTCCATTGCCGTGTTCGAGATCGGCTCCCTCATTTGCGGAGTTGCTCCCAACTCGACGACTCTCATCATCGGGAGAGCAATTGCAGGCTTTGGAAGTGCCGGCATACTGACTGGAAGTTTCGTTGTCGTTGCCTTTACTGTCCCTCTCCAGAAACGACCCATCTACACGGCTGTTGTCGGAGTCATGTGAGTACTATTGATTACCCTACACATCCTTCGTGTATTCGTTTCAGTCGCTAATCCGACCTCAAGGTTCGGTGTTGGTGCTACTGTTGGCCCTCTATTTGGTGGAATTTTCACAGACTTCCTGGTAGGTACCGTCGTCATTGTCCATGCTGTTGCTTTCCTGACACGTTGCAGGTCTGGCGGTGGTGCTTTTACATCAACCTTCCATGCGGGGCGCTCACCATCATCGCGTTCTTCATCTGCTATCGTTCGAAAAATGAGCGCTCATGCGACAAGCCTCTGAAAGAGAAGATACTGTCTCTTGACCTCGTTGGCAACGCCATGATATTGGGTGCCGCTGTGATGCTGTTCTATGCCTCGGAGGAAGCTAACATGGGAGCGGCATGGGACTCTCCTCTGATCATCGGCCTCTTCACCGGATCTGGTGTCACCGCAATCCTCTTTGGTGTTTGGCTCTGGTACAGACAGGACGATGCCCTTATCCCGCCCTCCATCATATGTCGGAGGACCGTGGCAGCTGCCGCTGGAATGGCTTTCTTTGTCTACGGCGCACTCTTGCTACAGTCGTACTTCCTCCCGGTGTGGTTCCAAGGAGTTCTTGGAAAGAGTGCCCTCATATCTGGTGTTGACATGATTCCCTACTTCGTCATCAACGCCGTTTTCTCCGTCATTGCTGGAGTTTTCGTCTCTGCGGTGGGGTACTATGTGCCTCCCTGTCTGGTGGGAAATGCGATCGCAACGGTTGGCTGTGGACTTCTCACACTGTTGTCCCCCGAGACGACCACGGCCCAATGGGCTGGCTTCCAAGTCCTCGTGGCGGCTGGTTTCGGGCTGTCTATCCAGCAAGGCTTCACAGCAGTCCAGACAGTTCTATCGGAGGAAGAAATGGCTATTGGAACTGCTGTAGTCGTGGCATGCCAGTCCCTTGGAGGGTCTATCTTCATCTCTGTCGGCAATACCATCTTCCAGAGTCACCTGCTTAGCGAGGCCACTCTGTCGAAGTTCCCAGACGTCGATATCAAGGCTGTTTTTACGCGCGGTGCTACAGCCTTCCGCGAGTTCGTGCCCAAGGATACCTTGCCTGAATTCGTTGAAGAGTACAATGAAGCGCTGAGGTATGTGTTTACGGCATCGATCGCCTTGGCTGGGTTGAGCTTCATCTGTAGCCTGTTTTTCGAGTGGAGGTCTGTTCGAGGTCAGAGGTTGAAATAGGCTCCTGTTCATCTAGTGCATTTTCTGCTGTTTATATTTAATTGTTCATTATCGAAATTGTAAATACAATATCAACAATTTGTCTTGTAATTCTTCCATGGTCTCAGTAGTAGTTCCATCATCCTCCTTTTCCCTTTTATATCTGCTCTTATTGTGCTTCTTTTTCGTGTGCTTGACTTGAATCGTTGCATCTTGGCTCATCACAAGTTCCTCTGCGCAAGGGATTCTTGAGCTTATTACTACGTTTCATATAATGCAATATGCAGTACGGTACCTCTCTCTATAAGCACATTGTGTAGGACCGGCACATAGGGTATCTGCGTTAGTAACACTACACGTTATGAAGGACAATAATTCGATTTGGAAGGCCACCCACCATCGTCAGATTCTGCGATAGCTGATTGAGAATGGAAAGGGGAAGAGGTCAGCTTACTTTGCGTAATCTGCTATTGTCACCTTCCTTTTTCACCCTCCCTGTTACATGCTGCGGTGCACTCGTACGCATTCCTCAATCCACAGACGAGGACCACAGTTCTGTCATGCCAAGGAGCTACAAGCACGGGGTACTCCGGAGTAAGCATTAGTTATTTGGGTCCACGTTAATATCCGCTTCTACTATTCCAACATGCCTTGGTGCCAGTTACCCGGTGTACCTTGAAACTAGGGTTGCGAAATATGGACGTGGCTTACGTGACTAGACCTCGGACTAACCTCTTAAAAGCCGGTCATGACCTTGAATAGATAGCATTGTTCAGAGAAGAAAAGACAGTCCACTTATACATCTGCCGGTATCTCGTCTGCGTTTTCTCGCGTACGGCTCACATATTACAAAAGTTTGGATGTTGGGAAGTTTCTGTGTTCGTGCTTCGTTAAAGCATTCTAGAATTGCATGCACAGCATATACACGTATCTAAGATGTTTCCAACAAAGGCATACATATGTATTCCGTAGACTGCGGCTTTCATTTACTCCATAACTGTGCGTGAGCCAAGAACCATGGCTAGGTCAATCGCCCACACTGTCATAGCTGTCTTGATGGGTGCTGGGGCTGTCGTTGCCTCACCGGCCAGGAGATCCAGCATGTGCCAGCGCCAAAAACGCTGGCAACACCACGCCTCATGGCGTTTTGACGGCGACGGTCTTCCAGCCGGCCTACGGGCAAGCAACCAGGACCAAGCTTCGGGGCTCAACTTATACCGCCTAGGAGACGTCATTGTTTGAAATAAAAACCGGGAACTTCTCGTCAACGGTGGCCAATCCTTAATCTCTGTACATAGGCGGGCAGGTGACGACCGGGGCGGAAAATATTCTCTATACCAGCGTCCGTACTGTTGCTACTTTTACGGAAGCCGGAAAAACACTTTATTGCTCACCCTTTATCTTTTTTCTCTCTCTAACGAATGGTACCTACAGGCAGCTTCTTCTATGATTCAGTCACGCAGGAGACAGACATTGAGTGGCTTTCTGGTGCGAACTTCAACCAAAAGATCAGAGTCCGCACCGAAGGTTCCTGGGCCTTGGGTTTCCAACAACTGGCCGAACGGTGACCAAGGTTCGAGCCCTGACCCCCCTTTCAAAGATGCCCTCTCCAAGATCCATTCAGTTTTAATGGATTACCACACCGCTTAAGCTCTTCACAAACTACGCAGTGAGTGGCACTGAGTGTATTCTTAGTCCATTAGATTTACATGGAGTGAAAACACGTCCTTATACATCATTCATTGTTTTGAGCGGCATATAGCAATAGAGACATCTACTAATAGTGCCCATCAAATCCTAAGCCTTGGTAATATTGTGACGAAAAACAATACGGCGATTGGAGTTCTAGTCTTAGACTCGTTCTCAGTGCCATAGTCGTGGGTAGCACCGGATTCTTCTAGTATACATAGCATTTTCAGGCGTACCGGAAGGAATACTGGCATTATGTCAACCAATCGGGGGTGTAGTCAAGATGCCACCCTGCCTAGTGTGGGTGATACGTATAGATGCGAGTATTATAGAACTATAAGAAGTCCCATTTTATAGCATGGTTTGTTGTGTATGAACAGGGGCCGCCTTGCGACGTAACAATGTGGATTTATAGCTGTGGGGCTCAGAGACGTAATATGATACTATTCCCCTTTTCGTTTTCTTTCCTTTGTTATGAACCCGTTTACCTTTTCGTATGAGTTGGCCCCCTAGCTGCAAACACAATCAGGACAAATGTCAATTGTCACAATAACCCGTTCCCATTTAAAGAGGCTTATGGACTAGCGGTGTTTAACAAGTGGGAGTTTGGTCCACGGCAAGTGCATCTTTTCAATCACATGTAGGAGTATGTGTAGTATTACGGATATCTGCTTAGATACCTGCTTACTCGTAAAGATAACACGCCGTAGCCAGTATACAACTCCACCTACATGTTGCCTTTAGCGGGAATAGGCTACGTATGCCAAGTTCCCGGCAGAACGCAAGCCAATAACTAAACCGGACTAGTTGACGCTGACACGGTTTATAACTGGGCACAGTAATCGGGAGCCGGGCCGCATCAGTTTTTGGCTTGGTACAGCAATCTTCGTTTGCCGTCTGTTCCGTGGGATACGCAGTCACGCCTGGGAACTGGTGTCACAATCCATCTAATCAGATGCATCTGGACTTTTTCCGTCGCATTTCAACCCCACTCGGCGTTATGCCGTTGTTCTGGGCGGATGTCTATGGGGCGATTATTGAAGACCAGACTGTTGAAGACAGTCAATGTAGTCGTTGTGCGGGTACGAACTTACCTGTAGGGGGGGGGGGGGGGGGGGCTACGAATCAGTATATATTTGACGATCATCCCCTGATGTTGGAAGATACGGGCAGTTTCTTGAAAACCTCTTGCCGTATTCCTGAGGCACCAGCACTATGACTTTCCGCTCTATGCTTCGCCGAGGCGTGGCCGCGACAAATGCTCCCGACATGACCAATGAGGTAGCCCAAGGCAAAAACGAGAATACTGCCCGCTCCCCCCAAGATCCGGCCGAACTTGGTGATATGAAAGAGGCGTTCGAGGACATCGTCAGCCCAGACGCACAGCGCGGTGTGCAAGATGTCGAGGCCGTAACAGCCACCTGGTCGAGAGGCTCTCTCGTAGCAGTCTTCATCTTGTGTGTATTTCTTCGTACTCCCCAGGGTGCTCTCCCGGGCGCCCTCACACATGGTGGCAAACGTCGTTTACAACAGATCTTTATAGGATGTTCCTGCTGTACTTTGTCAATGCCATGCAGTCCACCATTCTCGGTAGTCTGGTGGCTTTCGTCACGAGCGACTTTGAGACGCATTCCCTGCTCACAGTCATTTACATTGTTGCAAACGCCATGGCAGCGGCCGTGTACATACCCATGGCCAAAATGCTTGACGTTTGGGGCCGCGGTGAAGGGTTCCTGGTCATGGTTGCCTTTGCTACGCTAGGCTTGGTTCTGATGGCCACTTCCCACGGCCTCTCTACTTTCTGTGCTGCAGAGGTAAGCTTGATGCGGTGCGAGAGCCGTGGTGTAGCAAGGACTGATGGCCCGCTCAGGTCTTCTACTCGATCGGCTTCGGCGGCATGACCTACAGTATCGACGTCATCACTGCCGACACCTCCCAGCTGAAGAACCGTGCACTTGCTTTTGCCTTCACCTCTTCACCATACATGATCACTGCTTTTGCCGGTCCCAAGGCTGCAGAGGGATTTTACAACGATATCAACTGGCGGTGGGGGTTCGGAGCATTCGCTATAATCCTCCCCTTTGTAGCCGCACCCTTATTCATCCTCCTCAAACTCCACCTTCACAGGGCCGAGAAACAGAAACTCGTCGTAAGGGAGAGAAGCGGCCGGACACTTCTGCAGAATATATGGCACTATGCTCTCGAGTTCGATGGTACGCCCGAGTGTCTTCCAAAACATCCCCATCGTGCATCTTGCTGACATTCAAAAGCTCTTGGCGTTGTGCTATTTTCTTCCGGCTTCACCGTCTTCCTCCTTCCATTCACACTCGCCGATTCGGCCCCGAACGGCTGGTCCTCGGGATACATTATTGCTATGATCGTCGTCGGGTTTGTCGTTCTCGTGATCTTCGGGCTGTATGAGACATTCCTGGCACCTGTCCCTTTCATTGATGCCAGACTCCTTGTCGACAGGACCGTCGTTGGCGCATGCCTGCTGGACATTACGTACCAGGTTTCCTACTACTGCTGGAACAGCTATTTTACTTCCTTCCTTCAAGTTGTCAACAACCTCAGCCTCGCGGAAGCCGGATATGTTAGCAACACCTTTGATGTCGTATCGGGTGTACTGCTACTCATAGTTGGTTTCGGCATCCGGAAGACTGGCTATTTCAAATGGCTGCTATACATTGCAGTTCCCCTGTACATTCTTGCTCAAGGCCTGATGATTCACTTCAGGCAGCCGACCCAAGACATCGGATACGTTGTCATGTGCCAGATATTCATCGCCATGGGCGGCAGCATTTTCATACTGTGCGAGCAAGTCGCTATTCTGGCAGCAGCAGATCACAAGAACGTTGCCGCGGTGCTTGCTCTACTGAACGTGGCTGGCAACCTTGGCGGTGCAATCGGCAACACCATCTCGGGTGCGATTTGGACCAATACTTTTGAAAATGCTCTCCGGCGCTACCTTCCCGAAACATCCCAGTCAGACGTGGATGCCATTTATGAGGATCTTACCAAGCAGCTAAGCTATGAGATGGGCAGTCCCGAGAGGTTGGGCATCCAGAGGGCGTATGGTTACTCACAGACGAGGATGCTGGCAGCTGGAACTGGCATCATGGCTCTGACGTTTGTCGCTGTTCTTCTGATTAGAAACCTCGATCTGAGGAGGATCAGGCAAACAAAAGGCATGGTGTTTTAGGCCTGTGTATATTCACTACCACTCTACTTATTGATGCCAGTACGCGACCTCTCTTTAAGGATGTTCTCTTTCTCATGTTCTCGTCATGTATATATATATATATATATAACGCAATGCACGTAACCTGGGCAGGAAGTTTTTCTTGCAAGTTATTTTTACAGTCACAGAATATGTAGTGCAGTGAAAACTGCGTCTCTATCTCTGATACTACTCCTATTGAGTAGAATATATGAAGTATGGCAGCATCAATGACTACTGCATCCGTCTACTCGTATAACATTACATGTCTGTACCTAAGAAGTACATGCAGCAAGGCAATAGCGAGATCATGGTGTATTCAAGTTGATCAATACGAGTGAGTAGACCTATAATCAATATCAATGGTTATTCTTCTTCACATTGGTATCGAAGACTTTCCCTCTTATTATTACTGACTTGTCATCACCCCCAGACGCTGTTCAAGCTGACTGTTCAAGGAACTGTGGTTAGTGTGGTACCCAATGATGCATGACTAAGCAGAGGCTGCTGCCACACTTACATCTATAAATAGCCTTATGGATATAGATTTCCTTTCTTTTCAATAATTAAGCAATGAAGATAAACAGACCGATCTAGGCCGTACGGGAAGGCAGAGACCACTATATTCACGTCTACGGGTCATCGTGCGTTGTCGCCAGCAGGAAGCACCACAAGATGCGGTCCAGGGTGGACTATTAATACCATCAACGAAGCCTACTCCACCACCAAACACCTTCCCAGGATTGCTAATGCCAATGCCCCGCCAAACTCTTCGATTGCCCCACCAAACACTCTTCATCCACCTTGACACGCCGCTATCGGTTTCGACCAAAAAACTGAAAAGTGATCGAGGAGAGTCTGTCATAGCTCTCTTCCCCCGCCGATACTTTGAAACACTCGCTCTACCTTCCTCCATCGGAAGACCTCTGTGCGAAGAAACAAGAAGACGGCTTGCTGAGGCGCCTCGCCATGGCCGACTTTCGGCAGCTCGCTCTGGAATTTGTCCTGGCTGACGATGAGGCCAAGTTGACTTCGATTGCTCAGAAAGCGGCCTCTGGTATACGTCTCCATCTCGTGACCCCCAAAAAACTGTATACTGACAGTTCATCATAGAGCTTCAGAGTGGCTCGGCCAACTCGAACCCGGTAGCCCGCTGGGTGGAGGCGGTACAGCCCTGGATGCCCGGGGCCAGTGGTGATGAGGCTATGACCGACGGCGATGAGACACCGGATTGGACAGGGAGAGCCAAGGGTAAGATTTCCAACGACGGAGCTTCGAGAGGAAACGGAGGTGCTAATGCCAAGCAGCATTGGACTTCTTGTCTAGAACCCTTCACTACCTGGATGACAATATCCTTAAACCTAGCCAAGGTGAGCGATAAGCGTCTTGCAGCACGCATCATCGACGAATGATGTTCATCGGCTTACTGACACGCATCTTTTACTGAAAAGTGAAACTGCTCGTCGGATTTTTTGGCGCCATGTTCGACATCGATCACAAGGCCGGCATCCTGCCCTCGGCTACAGCTCTCTCGCGCATCGTAGCCATGAAGGCATTCCAGCCTTCCAGCGCCGATACTGTCATCCAGAAGGTGTGCGCACTAAGGGACGACTTTGCTCGCCAAATATCCAAGACACGGCTGGCAGTATTCGAGCTTCTACGCTCGCTTATCACGGCACCGGGGATCGCCAGCTCTCTACAGCACAAGTACGGCGCCTCAGCTGGTTTCATGGTCGACTTGCTTCAACTCTGCAGTAATGAGAGGGATCCCAGTTGCCTCATGGTCTGGTTCGACATTCAGTCTTTTTTCCTTCGCGGATACTCGCCGTCCACGGAGGTCATCGAGCAGGTGTTTGGGACATTCAAAGCATATTTCCCCATCTCGCTCCCGCGCACATCTCCTAGCGGCATCACCCCGGAGCAGCTCAAGTCGCAACTGCGGAAGTGCTTCACCGCCAGCGACAAGCTGTCTTCCATGACTATACCTTTCCTACTCGGAAAGATTGACCAAGGGGAGGGTGTCACGGTCAATGTCAAAGTGGATATCCTCAAGACCATCAAAGCCTGTCTGGAGCAGTACGATAACCCGACACGGTCGGTAACTCCGTACGTCGAGCGGCTATGGAACAGCCTCAAGTACGAAGTGCGTAACGGGGAGATTGAGGACACAATCTGGGCCACGCTCGAGGTTCTCAAGACAATAGCTACGCGACTCAAGGGAGACGACCTGCGCGACTACTCGCTGATGGTGACGCGCGACTGCGTCAACGATTTCTCCAACACCGTGTACATGGCAGCTGCTGGGCGTCTCATCACCAGTGTCCTCAGTGCCACACCAGTGTCGTTTCTACTGATGGTCTCTCCGGCGATCACGCACATCAAGGAGAACCTGAGGCATCCCAAGGGGCCTAGTCACAGCCAGGACTTGCTCAAGCTCCTGCATGTCATCCTCGAGACCAGGATACTCTTGGTGGAGGCAGACATGGCTGCGCAGGAGAGAAACGACTTTGATGCCATAGACCAGAGCTTCAAGTCGTTGTATGACGACGTATACCGGAACACGATTGAGCTCGGAGTCAAGGCTGACGCATCAGAGGACGATCTGAAGTTGGCGACACAGGCAGTCCAGGGAGCTGGTGCCCTTGTCTACCAGAAGCCGTCCATAGCGTATGCTTCCTCGGAGGAACGTTCCAGGGGTTGGCTACTTCCTGGTGATAAATGCTCTGAGATCTGCGACATTCTCTTCTCCATCATCATCCAGAAAGTAACGGGCGAAAATACCGATATTCAATCCCAAACCTCGGATGAGCTGATAAACAAGACGATAGAAGCCTTGCAGCGCTCAGTGACCGCATACCCCTCTGGATTTGCTCACCTGGTGCAGAGAGGGGTCGACTTGATGCACTCCAGCTGGATCACCCAGGGAGACCAGGCTGTGCCTATGATGCAAACTCTCTGCCCACTGTTGGCATATGTAGGCTGCTCCGGAATTTCCGCCTCTCCAGTCGGTGGATTGAACAATCTTATCCTCGTCACTTCGTCGCTACACAGGGAGCTGGTCAGCGCCATTGATATAAAAGCCAGTGTGGCGGTCTGGTGCGCTCTTGTGGCCGGGCTTCAATCCGCCGTTCGTTGCTTCAGTGATGCCTGCAAAAGCCATGACATCGCGTCAGACAAGGCTTCCTGGGAAGGCGACTGGCTACCTGCAATTGAGGCAAAGTACCCCTCACTCAAAGAGCCCGGATCTAGTACATCAACCGAGGCTTCCAAGTCCATCTCCGAGGTGTATGGAGATTTTTTGCTCATCAGCCTACACTTTTCACGCAACCTGTATCGAAAGGCTACCAAGACAGCCAATAGTTATGGAGGGTCGGAAACGAAAGCTCTCGAGCTCAGCGATGACTTCAATACGTCTGATAACCCGGCTGAGAGCCAATACCTGTATCTCGTCAGTACGCTTGCTGGGTTTGTCTTCCACGAGATGAGCGAAGGGCAACAGCTGGCTATAGGTGCAGAGGCATACTCTCTCCACATGTTCCGTGATGACTTCATATCGGTTGTCCCCGGCGACAAGACTTCTTCCTGGGACTGGGCGACATCGCAGAGACTGAATATCCTCTGTCTCGGCATACTTGAGGCTCTCCGCCCAGCTGCTGTTTCCCGACTAGTACGTTATCTCTCCCCTCCGCTTGTAATCTTCCCACGTAACCCAGCGATTATCTTATTCTGACTCGTATGTGCGTGCTAGTTTACTGCCGGCGTTGCCCAACATCTGATTATCAGCGGCATATCCACGCAGCACAAATTCGCCAGTGCATCTGCAGCGTCCGTGTCACGGTCAATTCTTGCCATCCTGGCCAATAAGCACAAGATCGAGACCATTGAGACGGTTATGGCGGCTGTTGATAAGGAGTGCGATCTGGTCGTCACCCAAAAATCATCCAATGCTAGCGAAACGCTGGACAAGGCTACATCGGTCGTGGCCCTTGCGGCAGGCATGCTTCGACGCTACAGTGGAAAGCAGGCACAGGGGCTCCTGCGGATGCTTCGAGTGAGCCCTACGCTTCCGACGATCGGCCATCATCTTGCTCGGCGATTTGAAATGATCTTTGCCCAGCAGAAAGTTCTTTCCAAGGATGGATATGCCATTGTGAAGCCGCTGTGGATGCAAAAAATGTATATAGAGCTGGGTAAGCCCCTGATTGCCATTGCGCTCGGCCGGGATTCTGCTGTAACAGACCGCGTCATCAGGACCAACTGCAGCATCGCCGTTCTTCTGACGGTCAAGCACATGAACTACGCCATCTACGAGGAGGACGCCGAAGATATCCTGCGTATCGCCATCACCGTGGCCCAGACCATTAGCACGGGTCCGGACGTCAGAGCTGCCTTCGAGGGCTTGAGGAACATCCTCGCTGAAGCTCCAGCCAAGGGAGAGCCACACTTAGCCAGCATCGTCACCATCTGCGTCAATACATTCTCGCAGAAGCCACACGCGCCACTAGACTGGCTCCCGGCTGACTACTTTGCTACAACAGACGACGTGCTTGACGAGTCGCGTGCTGCCAGCGGGAAGTCTGCCCTCGAAATCATGGCTGCTCTGCCCAAGCTGTTTGAGTCCAGACACCTGTTGCCCCTGACCGCACGCGTCGAGAGGGAGTTGACACTAGCCTGCGGAAACGCATTTCGAGAACTGAGGAAGTCGGCGCGCGCAGCAAGACAATCTTGGAGGGAAATGCAGTGAGTTAGAAGGGAAGAGCTATTTTGAAGGACGCAGAAATCCGAGAATATCAGTCTTTTTTTGGAGTATCGGTAGACACGTAGTTCCATGACAAAGAACAAAAACAGGCATCCAAAGACACATTGTTACGACAAGTGACCCGCAGAAATCTTAGAGTGTGATGTTTTCGAAGGATATGAACGCTCTTAGTACATACAATCCTCTCACAATTCCCTACCGCCCCAATCTGAGGGCCCTCGATTAAACTTTTCGCCTCTTTCCTCCCGTCTTCTTGACGGCTCCCGATGCATCGGCCATAGAGTCTCCGGCGAGGATAGCATCGAGGAGCTCGGGATTGGCATCGATCAGCTCCTGCGACGCAGACTTGACACGCGTAGGGTCTGCCTTTCCAATGATGGGGACAGACGAGGCGAGGAATTCTTGGAAAGGGTTTGCGACAAAGCGACCTGTCTCGTCAAACCACTCAGTGAAGGAGCGAGATATTTCTAGAGATTGAATAATCTCGAGCTTCTTGCTAGGATTCTGGGTGCTGCCGATGCTGATCTTGAGGTTATAGACAGGCTCGAACTTTTTAGAGGAGCTGGCGATGAAGATCTGCAGTAAGTAGTGACCGGGTCAGCCGAGGACGTGGGCTCTCGGTTCAGCTGTCCCTCCCCTCAACATACCTGCTCTCCCGAGGGTGCGATGCCCTGATATATCATGCCCTCCTCAATCTTACCGGTCCAGAGCATGAGGGCGCCCTGCAACAGCGTGTACAGAGCCACGGCGACGGCCGTGTACGTCTTTGTGTCCTCGAAGCCGAGCTTGTAATCCCACAGGAAGCAGGCGGTAGCGACGGCGAAAGAACTGTACCCTATGGCGAGACGGACATCGGTCATGGTGTGCTTCTGAGTGAAGCCCAGCGAGTTGAGGTAGTTCGAAACGGCATCGTCGGTCGTGTTCTTAAGATCTGCGTTGCGCATGTTGAGCTGGTGGCAATCCAGAGGGCCGAGTTGCCAAGGTGGCGCGACTTACCAGCCTGGTTGTAAAGTGATATCTTTTCGGACGCCATGGCTGCACGAATCTTTGAGAGGCCGCGTTTTCGTCCAAGGGCAGATTATTGTAATTGCCGGAGTTGATCAAATGGTGGAATGGAGGTCTAGACGGCAAAAGGTGGCCTGTACATAATTGCCGGTACAGGCTACCTACGTAAAACAGCTGAGGTCCCTTGTGGATACCCGTTGTAAGGCGGCATGGTCTGGTGGGGGGCACAGAGCGCCGCCTCTACTGGAAGAGGAAAGGGTACAGGCATGGAACGGCACCGGCGGAAGTAAATTTCCGTCTCCCATCAGCTACGAGTAGCTCACGGTGCTCTGTCTGCCTATTGCGCCAACTGCATCGTCCAAATTACTCGATGATAGCTCCCCTCCAACCATTCACTCAAAGAACGGGATCGCATCCATAATACCAGTGGCTCTCTCAAGCGTAACAGTCATGGCCGACATCCCCGTGCAGACCCTTTACAGGGACCCCCAGCTGTTGTACGTTGAGAGAAGTCCTTCCCCCTCCCTCCCCTCACCGGAGGGCACTGCTATCATCTGTCGCTGACCACTTGTGTCTCTCTAGCTACTGGATCCTGATGCCCATCTCTATTGTCATGATACTCACGGGTGTTCTGCGCCATTATGCCACCGTTCTCATGGCCACGGCCCCTAAAAAGCTCGATTTCAAGGCCATGCGTGAGCAGCGATCCCTCGGTCGCGGTGTCTTTCTACGCACCAACCACCACGTCCTTTCGCAGTCTTCGTTCGAGACCCGTCGCGATTATCTCACCACTGGTTACGAATTAGGGGTCTTCCTTAAGGATCCAGAGAGCAGGGGCCAGCCGCCTGCGAACCCGATGACGGATCCGTCTGCCATGGATGGCATGATGGGCATGATGAAAAACAACATGGCTATGATCATCCCCAACACGCTCATCATGAGCTGGATCAATGCCTTTTTTAGCGGATACGTCATTAGTACGTCTCATCAATGACCTGTCATCCCAAGCCCACACTAGACTTGCTGACCAGATATCCCTAGTGAAACTGCCCTTCCCCCTCACCATCAAGTTCAAGAGCATGCTCCAGGCCGGCGTTCAGACCAAGGACATGGACCCCCGTTGGATGTCTAGCATCAGCTGGTACTTCCTCTGCATCTTTGGCCTTCAGTTTGTCTACGTCTTCCTCCTCGGTAGTGACAACGGTACGTATAGCCGGCTCTTCTATCCTGTTCGTAACCACCGTCGTTAACAATATTCGTTCCACACAGCTGCCAGCCAGCTCAACCAACAGATGCAGGCGCAGCAGATGCCCAATCCTATGGCCGCTGGCCCCGGTCAGGACCCGGACAAGCAGTTCAAGGCTGAAGCCGAGAACTTGGCTGTCGTGGAGCACTACTCGGTCCTAGATGATGTCGAGGACCGTCTCCTTGAAACACTCAATTCGTAGGCTTCATCTCAAGGTGCGATGGCTGCGCAGATACAGCTTATGTAGCATTACGATCTAGTAAATGGTAAATACATCGGTATATTTTCCAACTGCCATTGATCCCTTCCCTTTCCTTTCCCTTCCTCTCTGATGTAATTGGGAAGCCCGCCTATGCGTCCCACCACAGGCATACGCCAAGACCTTCGCGCGCCATGCTGCCCTTGATCCTGTACGGCGTCTCAACCGTGGCATTGTCTCCTTGTGATGGGCCCGCCGGCGCTTGATCGTGCCACTCCTCGTCAATGACTTGGAAACGAACCATTTCGTGAGTATCGTAAAAGAGGCGTTCTTCATCAAAATTCCAAATCCATAGCTGTTCGCTGTGACTGCTGTGATGGTAGATATGGTGTCAGCCAGATCTCTCAGTCGAATTTCCCAAGCGGCTACAAGGCCAGTTCTTACTATTCGGCGCCCGAGGGCAGTTCCTCGTAGGGAACAAAGATGTCGTCAAAGAAGTCTGTTCGCAGATTGATTCCAGCCGGCGTGGAGCTGCGGATCCTGGCTAGCATAACCTCTCCTTTGAACGGTCGGAAGACCACCATGCGGAATTCGACTATGCACCTGTTAGAAGGGATGGCAGCTCTGGCTTTGGTTGGGCTTTGGTTCGGAGGGATAGCTGTACCGTTGACATTGACGAGACCGGTGCCATGACCGATAAGGCCCTCAGATGTCCAGAGTAGATCGTAAAGACATATGCACAATCCTATTTTCTGAACTACCTGTGTGTGTGTTTGTCTGCGTCAGTACAGGCCTACAGGGATGGGAAGAAAGGTTGGTAGATATCAGCACCTTATTGGCGTATTTGGCATTGATATTATCCTCGATGGCATCTATGCTCCTCTTGGAAAAGTCGGATGGTGCAATTTGCACCAAGTCCGCGATCTTGGTCTGATGACGGCGTCAGTCCTGAGTCAAAGACCTCTCAATGGGCTGGTGGGGGATAGAGCAATCTGCTTTCTTACCAGGATGAACATGACGTAAATGTGAAGAGGCGTGACGGGGTCACCGCAGATGATACAGTACTAGACTCATTGCACACAGCCTCATAAACTAGACTGTGTCTTTCACGCCTTGATAAGCGGCTCATAGAATCTTTGACATTACCCGTTTTTGACTTGTGATCTTGAAAGAGTCAAAAGACTATGGCGGCAGAAAATGTGAGTGCGATGTGCGCCTTTCCTGATATGGATTAGCCTTTTTAGAAAATGGGCCACACCGCCTACTTTATTCGGCACTCTCAACCATATGTACTCGTACTGGTGCCGCTCCTCAACATCAGCTCATCCACTCTATCTTCGCTGAATGATTGTCTGAGTCGATAGGGAGAGATATTTCAAAATCCCGTAGATAGTATTGGAAGGCATATTTGGTTAACTGATTCAACAGCAATCGGTACGTTGGACGCGTCGTACGCATACCGCCAAAGTAAGGTGGGCAAGATGTGGAAAGTTACATAATCATGGCCTGGTGCTGAAGGACAGGACAGCAAGCATCACAGGATATTTGTAGCTTAAGCTTTCTAGTATCATATATTTCTTGGTATAGAGTTTGTACGAGTGCATATCTCATTTTCTTTTTGCCGCATTTATGTCCAAATCTTCTCTTGGTCCGTCGACAAGCAGGTATAGGTTTATTCGTATAATACGACGTCGGATTTTTTAGTCGCTTTCTCTGGGCAATTTCTCCCTCACTTAGTCACTGCGCCTGGCCGTCCCTTCCGTTTCCCAATATCTGTCATTACGAGAACGACTACCCATTCACTTGCCGCGTTACTTCCTTCCAATCGCTCCACATCCCTGCGAACGTTTTCACATCAACCTGCAGCCACCGGTCGATTCCCTTATAATGGCGGCCTACGGGTACGGACCTCCCCCTCCTCCGCCCTCGGCAGGAGGCGGACAGCGACCTGTGTTTCCGAATCAGGGGCCTTCCTACACCTCTCAACAGGGTCAGGGTCAGAGTCAGGGCAATAGAGGCTCCGGAGGACCAAGTGGTCGTGGCCGAGGTGGCCATTTCTCCCGCAGTCAAGCCCGAGTCGAGTACAGCAAGCCGCCGCCGCCGCCGCAGTTTGCCTACGCAGGCCAGCCATATCCAGCCCAGCCCTACGAAAGCGCACACCCGCCGCCGGTCGCAGGTGCATATGCGCCTCCCCACGCAGCCCAGTGGCATCCCGATCAAGCGCACACGCCCCCTCAAGCTGCCCATTCTCCTGCGCCCATATCGTCTTCTAATTATCACCCCAACTATGCCCACCAGCCCTATGCTGCCCCCCAATATCCCCAGCAGCCGTCCTATGCCCCATTGCCACAGCAATACGGTCAGCCTTACCAAGCTCAACCGCCGCCGGCACACTGGAACAGCCAGGGCCACGTCCAACCGCCGGCGTACGGAGGTGGTCGAGGACGAGGGGGTGGTTACAATGATGGGAGGTACAGGCATGACCAGCCACCACCTCCCATGAGCACTTCCTATCTCCCGGCCTACCCACCAGCCCAATACCAATACGGCGCCCCTCCCCCTCCCCCTCCCCCTCCGTCTCAGTCGTCACACTACCATGACGGAGGTCATCGCCCTGGACGTGGGAGAGGAGGCGGACCTCAGAGAGGTGGAAACATCAGGGGTCGAGGAGGTCACAATGGTGGAGGCAGGCCGCACAACAAGCACAATAATCATGACGGCCGTGGTGGGGCTAAGCAGCAGCATCAGAAGCACCAGAACCAGAACCAGAACCAGAACCAGAACCAGCAGCATCAGAAACAAAAGTCGGACAATCCAAACCTTGGCAAAAAGAAGAAGCGTAAAACAAACACGCTCGGTCTTACGCCGGGAATGGAGTCTGAATCTGAGGATGACGAAGGGGAAGAGAAGGCGCTTGAACAGCTCTTGGGCCAGGAAAGATACCAGTAAGTGGCGGGCCTAATGTCAGTCAGACGTGAATTCTGTAATGTGCCGCTAACATGAATGTGGCAGGCTCGACGATCTTGCCAAGTTCTTGCTCGAGCGAAGAAAGAACTTCCCTACCAAGGCGCGTGCAGAGGCCAAGAAGGCTAGCGAAAAAGAAAGAAAGGCCGAGGATGCTGATTCCGCCCTCATCCGAGAGCGTGATAAGTTGAGGAAGCAACTTGCCAAGGTGGAGTCATCTATCAAGCGCAAGAGAGAACCTGGAGACGAAGGCGACGAAATGAGAGACCTATCATTGAACGATACGGAAGATGATGACAAACCGGAAGTCATGTCTTCTAAAGCTCCTACGTCTGTGTCAAACCCTCAAGCTCCACATCCCCCGGCGGCAAAGAGGGCCGACATTAGTCGGCACTGTAAGTACTTCTCGACAGGTGGCACATGTGGCAAGAAGAGCAAGTGTCGTTTTGTCCACGATACCCAGGTACGAGAAGCCAACCTCAAGGAGCGTGAGGCCAACCATGGACGCCTCACTATCCAACAACGCCTGATCCTCAACGATAAGGAGCAGGAAGACCTGGCCATCCTCGAGTCTATTCAGTATCTCCGCCAAAAGGGCATCATGTCCAAGAAGGAGGCGACAGTCAAGGATGGAGAAGGCCACGCTGAAAAGGAAGAACAGGATGAACCCTCGCCTTCTGTGCCAATGGCTGCGCCGACTCCTTCACCCAAGCCCAACTCTTCTTCTCTCCCTTACCCTCCTCCCAAGACCAGCCTGTTACCTGCTGCGCCCCCATCTTTGCCCCCGCTGCCTCCTAAGAGAGAGCCGATGCCTTCGCCTCGCCAAGAGCAATCCCATTCCTCCACTATCACGAGCCGCGACAGTGTCGATAATGGCAAGAATCAGAACGGGCAAGACTGGCTTGAGGAGGCTTATGGGAACACCAATGGCCAGAAGCCTCCGAGCGATAGCCTGCCTTGATGATGTGGCCTTCGATTTGTGCTGGCCTTGTTATCGAATAACCTTGGTTGTAAGGGTTCCGACGAGCAATACTGTTCTTGTCGAGTTATCGTTCATGTCCAAATTGGGCCACGTTTTCAACCCCACGTTATTCGTAGCCACACCTTTATTTCTTCACATTTTACTTGACACACACATACACACACACACACACACACACACACATACATACATACATATATATATATATATATATATATTATATTTTGGAACAGCCTCCATCCCCCGTATAATACTTGCATAATACCTGTTTTCTTTCACGAGCGAATTTTGCTTGGTCGCGTGCTTTAAATATGTCACAGGCTGTTGAGCTTGATTCGCAAAATTGGCGAGGTGCCTCAACTGGTAGTCTACGCTGTTATCCAATTTATAACCCGATGGACGTCTCGCCCATTCCAGCAAATAAACAAAGATGAGCAAAAGTACAAGAGAGGAGCTTAGGGGATAGAGGAATTATATGGTGAAAGACCTAGCTCCGACGCTGTTGACAACTAGACAAGAACAGAGAGAGAAAAGGGGAAGTTAAACGAAACTGAAAAAAGTGGAAAGTTGCGCATGTAAATGCTTCAAGGGATATGTAAAAAACGCCAACCGCCTTCCGTGTAATGCACAATGTAACAAAGGAGAGTAAGAAAAGGGCAACGCAGAGGAGAGAAGCCGTTGACAAAAAGAGAAATGTGAAGAAGAAAAAAAGAGATCTGTTATCACCATAGTGCATGTGTTAGGAGCGACCTCCGCCCATAGCCTTCCTCAAACGTTCAGCCTTTTCAGCCTTGCGGATCCTATCACGGCGCTCTTCCTCAATGTCTTCGCGGCGGGCGATTATCTCAGCAAGACGCTCCTCACCAGTAAGTTCGTCAATACCGGCCTCCATGTCAGAGGAGCCGTCTGACGCGTAATCGTACCGAGGCCCGACATCTTCCTCTTCATCCTCGTCGTATTCGATAAAATCGTCGAGCTCCTCATCGTATTCGTCGTAGTGGGAGCGCCCGGAGCCGCTGGGCCGGCTGGGCTTCCTGTTGAGCAGGGCTCCTCCGCGAGGCTGGTCCTTCTGCGTCTTCCTGGGGTTGGAGGATGAGGGGCGGGCCGTGCCCGTGTAGCCGAGGGTGGCTGTGGCCGCTTTTTTGACTTTCTTGACCGGCACTTCGGACTCCTCTTTGGCAGTAGATGGTCTCGGGGCACCTGTTTTAGCGGGCAGTCTTCCGCGAGCGCCAGGGGCCGCTGCCCGGTCCTGCAAAGGTCTCGCGGTTCCCTGGTACCCCGTTGATGATGCGCCTGCCTTCTGATCTGGGGTGCGAGTCGGAGCCTTGCCAGCAGGAACGTTTCCAGCGAACGCCTTGCCCACGGGCGCCTTCCTCCTGTCCGCTTTTTCTATCTTGTCCGCCTTTTTGTGCTGAATCTTTCCAACCTGCCCCATAACCTCTTGGGCCTTTTTGGCTCGAGCCAACACCTCGGCGTATGATCCCTTCTTGGGTGGGACCTTCGAAGCATCAGCCGTGGGTGCGAGGGATGATGAAGGCTTGACCGACACGGGTGGCTTGGCGGAGGTTCTTTGCGAAGTAGTCGGCCCTGGTCTCGGCGCCAAACCAGATCCATTAGAAGGGCGCGAGATGGTCTTCGGGGAATTGGTTGATTGCGGACGTGGTTGGGCGGGCTTCGAAGACGGCTGCGGAGGCGACTTTCGTGCTATCTTGGATGCGGGTTTCGGGTCGTCTTCGGCTTTGCGCTTAGTGACAGATGGCGTGGTGCCACTGATGGAGTTGAGAAGATCGCTGATCTGAAGGGGAAATTAGTCAGTAAAAGAAGCAAACAGGGTTACAGTCAGGAACGGAAGACTAACCGGCATCGTGAACGGGCCCAGGGGTGATCAGAGGGTTTGTGTGGTCAAAGAAAAAGGTGCACTGCTGGCTGACCGTGGTGATGGGCGGGTTGCCAAGTCTGGTAGTAAAAACTGATGGGAAAATTGTAGTGAGGAGGACGAAGGATGCTTGGAACAGGTGTATTTTTCAGCGGTGACCGACAGCGCATAGGCAGGGGAGTATGAAGCACGGAGTTCTGGCCATGGCACGTCAACACCGCTCTCCTTCTATAATGTTGGATTGGGTATCATGGCCAGGCTGCGCCGGGGGGGACGCTGGTAGAAACGAAGGACAAACAAAAGACGAACGCCACAATTCTAAACCACACAAGCCAAGGCTGAGGCACGTGAGAGCCGGAGCCTCATTTCATATATGTGGCGGTACAGTCAGCCCCACCGTAAACACCACCAGTGGAAAGAAAGAAGATAGAAAAAATAAGGTACGTACCCCCGCCCTAAGGTCATTTTTAGCGCCCACAGAAAAGAAAAAAGGTGCATCTTTCTGTCCCGCGATTCACCCAATTTGAACTTCTTTCAACCCATCAACAACCACCTCCAGAACCCGAAGGTTTCAGTCTCCGCCCAACTTGCGGTTAAATTGATTGATTCCCGTGTTCCCATACACCAACAGTGAGTCTCATCCCTCCCATTGCCTTCTTTCTTTGTTCAGATTACTATCTGCGATTCGCGGCGCCCCAACCTTCTTTGCGAAATACACCGACGGCGGGCTGACAGAAGCACCTTTTGAATCGCACAGAAAAAAACCCATCAAAATGAAGCACATCGCCGCTTACCTCCTCCTCACCCTTGGTGGCAACGAGTCCCCCTCGGCCGACGACGTCAAGACCGTTCTCGAGTCTGTCGGTATCGAGGTCGACAGCGACCGCCTCGATAGCCTCATTTCTGAGCTCGAGGGCAAGAACATCAACGAGGTACGATCCCAATCCATTCTCCATCTTATAGATATATCCAAACATTTCGTTTGCATACTGACATACACCACTATAGCTCATCGCCGCTGGTTCTGAGAAGCTCGCTTCCGTTCCCTCTGGTGGTGCTGCTGCCCCCGCTGCTGGTGCCGCTGCCGCCGGTGGTGCCGCCGAGGAGACCAAGGCCGAGGAGAAGGAGGAGGAGAAGGAGGAGTCCGACGATGACATGGGCTTCGGTCTCTTTGACTAAGCGCCTCACCTCGCCTAGTTGTAACTACGAAGAAAAAAAAAATCACCTGGATGGTCTGGGGCAAGTTGGGGACAAGGCAAATGTTTGGCTGCATTATGGACGGTTTCTTCTCGGATTAGGATTTGGGAGGTGCTTCCATTTGGTACCCAGCTAATGGAATGATTAACTCTCCTCGTTCTCCAATGCTTTTTTTCATACCGATGTGTATTCTCCTCTCCACCACTCATCTTGAGTCCGCCCACTATAAACCCTAGTAGCCTCGCAGCTGCAGTAATAATGTGCATATTGTACTGCAAGTGCGTCAGTTGTGGTGTGCCGGGAACAAATGCGGGTATCGTACTAGTACATATGTTGCAGCGGTGCCACATCTCGTTACTTTTATCAAGGGTATCTTTTGCGCTCCGCTGTCTAAAACAAATAGATATCAATTACACAAGCCACGGCAAAGGGCTATGGCCTCTGAAAAGACGGCTTCATGCTGTATTCCTTCCTTTCCATACCGTACCTTTTCATTTTGTTCCGACTCCCTCCTAAGCCAATCCCCAAGCCATCCCCAAGCCATTCCGAATCATTCTAAAAATCACTGCATATGTTGTGTGCGTATGTGTATGCGTGTGTGTGGTGTGAAGTTGCAAGCAAGCCAGATAACACTTCACTGAGACTTATTCTTAGACTTCGTCCGTGACGGGAGGATGTGGCTATCCTGAAGAAGCTTCCAGAGACACCACAAGTAGCAGAGTCCAAATCCGGTAACGCCGACCCCAACGTTTGCTACTACCCATAGATCCGGCTTGTCCAGAGGTGGGGGCACAAAAGTCTCAACGACATGCCAAGCAAGCATGGCGACGTAGAAGACGCAGTGGGTAATGGCGGTAAGAATTTGGGCCCACGAAGCGTTATTGGGGGAGTAAACGCTCCACGATGCGGGCGGGAGACCGAGAAGATAGGCCCAAAGGAGGGTGAGGACGGTATAGGGAACGCGTAGGTCGACGCGATGGAAGAGAGGAAACATGGTCCATGCGCCCAGGATATTGGCGAATCCAACCCAAGTTCGGACGTCCCTGCTCATTCCTTGCTTTCCGGCAAGCAATAAAGTCATAGGCATGAGGGGTAGCAAGACGCTCTTCTCGTGGACCTGCCAGCTGAAGAGAAAGAAGCCCCAGGCTGTGGCGGCAAATGCCGTAGGTATGATAGCCTTCTGAGGCCTGAGGAAGACGATGACATTTGGCGGGATAACGGAGAGCAACGTGGCACCCAATGCGGCCTTTTGGAGGAGCCCGGGCGAGTAGCTGCGGAGCTTGAGAACCACATTCAGAGCGCACCAGAAGTTGGCTACCTTATCTTCAAACAGGCCGCGCGCAAAGGGAAAGACGCGGTGGACCACCTGAAGCACAACTTGCACCAGGGGGTAGTAGAACGCGTTCGGGTCCAGAAAGTCACCCAGCCAGGGGAATAGAGGGAGAGGGCCCTCGAGCGCAGCGATTCCCCTATACGAGTCGTACAGTGTGCCAAGGATGAGCGGCAGGACGGTGACGGCATATGTAATGAGGGTGGCCAGGGCGATTCCCAGGAAACGGGTGATACTGATGCGAGGCCGGAGGCACGAGCCGAGGAGGTAGGCAAAGACAGTGAAGGCATAGTATAGAGCCATCTGCTTGAACATGAGAGCGCAGACAAAGAAGACGGCGGACATCTTGTACCGCTCAGCCAGGATGCTGGACATGCTGGCAAGGACAAGTCCGAGCATGACTGTGTTGTACTGGAAGTGGACGTGGTCAATGAGAATGGTAGCCGGCTGCATCAGGAAGGCGACGAGGGCAAGGGACGAGGTCCATGTGTCAACACCGCTAAGACGGCTGTACCGGCGGATGCAGACGACGGCGGCGGGGATATAGACGAGGTATTCGGAAACGAAGACGGTGCCCCTCATGAATACCTTCAGATTGGCATCCTCATTTCCGCGCGACGTGTAAAGGGCGAACCACTCAGGGTTTAACAAAGCGCCGGCCTTGCCGAGCAGCCAGCTATGGTAGGCCGTGAGAGGAGGGTAGTCAAGACCCCACCACTGAAGATCATGAAAATACCACTGGGAGATGGGGAGTTGAGTCGTCACCTCCATCCAGTGCCGTTGCGCTTCGTAGTCTCCGTACAAGGGGGGCCGGTTGAAGCCTAGCAAAGAAATGTTAGTTGGACAAGATGACTGCTGATGGGCTATTTTTATGTTCAAGCTTGTTTGATTGAGCCGTACCTGAGTAGCCCCAGAAGCCAGCAGACCAACGGAAGAGCCCGACGACTATCAAAATGGGAATGAGAACCTCCCACTTTGACGATGCGGTCCTGGCGGGCCAGAGAAAGGCAGCCAGAGAGAAGGAAGGAGCGTGGACAAGAGTCTCGGACGGCAAGCGGGCGGTCGGCCGGTCGGGACCAATGTCATTCTTCTTACCCTTGCGCCTGGGCTTGTGTGGCGATGACCTTGGTGTCGCCATGTTCACAAGACTGATGCGACAAAAAGAAGGAGTGTTCTCTTTTGCGCAAGCTTGCCGCGTTCTGGACGTTGAGGAGGGCGAATTGACCTAGCAAATGCCACCGTGGAGATATCAGCATTGGTGGATACGGAGCTCGATAAAGCCAAGAGCTCAGTTGGACCGTGTGAATAATTGTATGTACACAGTGCAGACCAGCTGTCAGCCCACCTACCAAGACCAACATCACTAATGACGCCGTTCTCATGAGAGCATTTTCCTCTGCGTAGCAAACCCCTCTCGCTTCTTTACTTTTCTTCTCCTTGAGTATTCCCATTGCCCTGCGTGTTCTTGTTTCAAGTCATTTAGGTCAGCTTCTTCTTTGGTTTGTCCTTTCTCTTTTTCCCCGCAGAGAGCAGCACTTACGTTGCTCATACAGAGGGGCAGCCGCGCCACGACAGTCAAGATGCCGTTCCCATTCGTGCTGCCAACGACATCGTCGTTTTCCTTCTCGGCTAACTTCGATTCTGACTCGCATCCGTCAATTTCCATCAATGCAAGTATGTACCGCGGTGTTGCCAAGGACACGCTACGGAAGCACAAACGCCTCGATCACTCAGCCCAGGTGGGCAATCTCTCCACAGTCAGGACGGCACTGAACGATTACCTGCCATACCTTGTGGCAGTCGACGCCGGGCTTCACGACCTGCGGATTCCTGGGAGCTGTGATCTGATTCACATCGATCCAAAGGACCAGGTGGCCATCAAGTGGCGGCCTACGCTCTCGGGCGATGTGGTGCCCGGCCGTGAGCGGTCTCGCGTAAAGATCAACTCGCTCGAGCACGAGCTCATTTTCATGTTCTCAGCCCTGGGCTTGACCTACGTCCAGGAGGCCAGGGCGGTGCTGAAGCCTCTCTACTCGACCAGTAACGAATTTGTCGCTTCCCAGGAGCGCACAACGGCCATCTCAACGGCCACCAAGCTTCTCCTCCAGTCTGCCTCTATCTTCCAATATCTGGGGAACAGGACAGAGCAAGGATCCGTTAAGCCTCCCTGTGCCGATGTGGCGCCGACAACGGTCCGGGCCCTTGCCTCGCTTTCTCACGCCGAGGCTACGCTACTGGCTGTTCTAAAGGATGACCCTTATCCCGCCGCCGTTGCTCAAGATAGAAACAAGACCGACAAGGAGTGGATGTTCAAGTCGCCCGAGATTCCCAAAGTTCGTGCCCACCTGTACGCCCGTCTCTGCCTTGCTGCGTCGGAGCATGCGGCACGGGCATTGTCGCTTGCGCAGGCGAGCGCGTCCTCAGTGGGCATCAAGGTTGACAGCAGCCTCATCAAATACATGGAGGATTTCCGACGGACCAGCCGCGCAAAGGCTTGCAGGTTTCTGGGAATCGACTCGGAGCTTGGTGGTCAGACAGCAGACGGGATAGGCTGGCTCCAGGCAGGGCTACAGGAACTGGGGGTCGATATCAAGGACTCCAGGAGGGGCCTTGGGCTAGGCCGTCTCAAAAAGGACCTCTCGGAATTGATGGAGGACCGGCGTGTCGACAAAGAGAGAGCGTGGGGTGCCGATGCTGGCAAACTCGAGGAAATACGCGTGATCGAGATGCTCAACGCAAAATGGAACAAAATTAACGATACGGTAAGCACGAGAGCAGGTGTTTCTGAAAAGTCCTCGTTACTAACACCAGCCATGCACAGATGAATACCAAGCAAGTACCATCAGTCAACTCACTACTGGCCAAGATTCCCTCAGGACGTGAGATACACAGCATTCCTGACTACCAGCCTCCGACGCTCGATGAAAACGCCCTCAACATGATGCGTGCCCCTCCAACAGACAAGGGTGAACTAGCCCACGACTTTAGCTCAGACGACGAGGCTATCGGGTCGCCACAGCCGCCAGGCGTTGGCGGTTACGCGGGCACCTCAGCTGACTATGGGCGTAGCCCAACTGCCCAGGGTTCGCATACCTACTATTAGCAGCACCAGCATCAAACCAACAGTACGTAAACACACACATCCTCCTGGTCACGGAACGACCGGTGCGAATGTTCAAGAGGGAACGTATTCTTAATTCGTTTACATCGCACATGCCCAGTGTTGACTAGCTACATCCTTCGGCCAAGCACTGTTCTTTCAATAGCACCTCAAGCTCTCTGTAGACTTTCTTATGTATGCTGCGGTGGGATGGAGCAAGGTGGCGAGGAGAAGGAAGGCGTCCCAGAGCATAGGTCAAAACACCTGGACATGGGCAAAACTGTCAGCTTGCTTTGAGCTCATCCAGGGGGGGGGGGGGGGGGGGGGGTATCTATGAAGTATCCCCTTACTCGCCCCAGTGATGACCGCAGTCGTCTGTCATCTCGTTGCACTGGCTCACGGGACAGCTGGTAGGCCATGGGTCGTCTGTTTTCGATTTGAGATAGGCCAAGAGTTCCTCTGGCGACCAGAGTGCCTTGGTGGGTTGGGGCGAAAATACAGCGGGAGGCGGCGAACCAGCGGGTGTCTGGGCTAGGCTGGATACTGCCAGGCACTCTAGAACGGCGAGGACGATATGAATGGATGACCGCATGATGACTTTTATTTGTGTTTGTGAGATGAAGTTGAACCGGCTAATCGATATCAGGAGAGGATACAGAACGGTAGTAAAACCTTTCAGTTTCTTGACAACAGCTCAAGGTATATATATATATATGTGTGTGTGTGTGTATGTGTATCTAAAGTTTCAACATGGCCAATGTTGACCCCCCTGATCACACGGCAAGGGAGTTTCTCCTGCACCATCACATTGAGACTTCGTATCACTGTATTTCAAGCATCACCGCTTGCGTACGCAGACGACGCGTTCCAGGCTCGCTTTCATTCTCCTGCGTAGCCTTGCCACAAGACATTCAGATTTATTCAGCGCCAAGGTAGGGCATGATACTAACCTTGTCAGAGCTACCTAGCAGTCGATTCCGTTCAAGGTAACAATACTATGTGCAACTGTAAGTCGATAGTGCGCTCTTCTACTCGCAGCAGGCGACTGCTGCTATGGTACTAGTAGTAATCGTAAAAGGACATAGTACATACAGTATCTCTCATGCCTGATATAAGGCACAATTTTGTATTTTGAATTGACGCCACCCTTCTGTTATCCTGGCTTGTCTATATCCCAGTGTAATGATGACGAATTTGCAGGAAAAAAAAAACAAGGAGTACAAAATAAAAGAGAAATGATGCAACGAGGTACAAGGAGAAGACAAAAAAAGGTATGAGCGGGAATGATAAAAGACAAGAAAAAAGAAAGAAGAAATAACAAAGAAACTCCACCATGCATTTACACGCGCTCTCCCATCCATGTGTATGAGTGTAACAAAAGAAATCTATGCAAATACTCTCAATCAAAGAGCAGGACGCTTGCCTCCTCCCTTCTCCCGCATTATTACAGCTTGCTCCTGAACTCAACACCGTTGCTTCCACCATCAACGACGGCCACGACGACAGTGATGTCGTCAACCTTGCCGCCATGCCATTCCTCGTAAGGGTAGTACTTCTTCACCTCCTTGGCAAAGGGCCCTTCGAGGCGAGTATTTGTGCTAGCACGGTTGGCAAAACCGACAATCTGTGTGGCCAGGGCACTCTGCAGAGTGACGGGGTTCTTGACGTCATCGGCCTCTGTGAGAGAGGTCAGCTCGTCTGACGCCCGCACACCCTCGGCCTCGGTCACCTCCCAGGCGCCGGTCGAGATCATGATGCGGCTGGCGATGCGCAGAATGTCCTGGTTGAAGAGGTTGTCGAGGACGCCGTCGGTGGCGAAGATGAGGACGTCACCGTGGCGGACCTGGTGCTGGGTAACGTCGGCGTCTTCGGGGAGGTCGGACAGCTGGGCACCACCATAAGCGGCCATGCGGGAGGCGACGCTGGGAGGCACGCGGCTGAGCTGGAAGGGCGTGTTGAAGGCGTGGGTCTGAGGTTCCGAGTGTCGGTGGATAGCGTTGCGGCGAAGCTGCAGGAAACCCGAGTCACCCAGGTTGGCCACGTCCAGCGTGCCGTCCGGGTCGGCCACGGCCACGCACGCGGTGCTGCCACCGGCACGGATTGTCCGGTCACGGCACACGGCATCGTAGCCGTGCTGCATGATCTTCCGGGGGGTGAGACGGCCGTTGGGGTCCCTGGTCTGGAAGTCGCGAGCCGCGTCAGCCATGTAGCTGCATAGCCCGTGCGAGAAGTCACCCGGGTCGACGCCCGAGTCAACCCAGCCGCCCACGCCGTCAGCTACGCCCAGGGCCACGGCGCCCGTGCCGTTAACTTGGCTGATGAAGAAGGAGTCGTGTCCCGAGTCAATGCGGAACGGTCGTGCGTACGCAGGCCGGGCATCGGTCTCGTGGTCGTAGTGGAAGACGTGACGGTTCGGGTCGTAGGGCCGGTCCTTAGCGATGAAGGACGCGGCGATATGGTATGTGTACTTGCCGAGCGACGATGATGTCGAGTATGGACGCCGCTGTAGACGCAGGCCTGCTGCTGTGGACCGCGGATAGGCCATGGGGATCTTGGTGCGAGCTGAAGCGAAGGGGGGAGGGAAAGAGACTGTCAGTGGGCCGGTATTGCAAGACGAAATATTTCACAGGGATATAAATAGACGGAGGGGGACGTACTGTTTTTGGCAGTCAGTCGCCACGGCACCGGCACGGCGCGCCTGGGAAAGGAGACGCGCATTTTTTATCTGGGGTAGAACGTGGTGATGGCGGTGAGGCAAAGATGAGTCTGGTGACAGTAATTGTACCCAAATGTACGTGGACTCGCATGCGTCCCTAGTAGTCAGGCTAGGTGCCAAATATCATGACACCGCGGACCCACGAGTTTATCCGCGGCTATTGGACGTACTCGTAGTCTCGTACTCCGTAATACTAGCAAGTGAGAAAAGAGAATTCTCGGATAAGCAGGGATGGTGTGAGTGCTCACGAAAACGGGGAACTGATTGCTCCAACAGCAAGAGGCCAAGTGGTGATGATGGATACGGGAGGAGTAATAGTATCGCTACAGATTACAGTTGTACTCGTAATATTGTTGGGTATGGAGTACTATTAGTACTACTAGTACTGTGTTCGCTGCCTCTGCCAAGGCTGTTCATCCAGACGACCGAAACCTTTTGATACACGTCAGAGCATGGGCCGGCCTTACGTCTGTCTGCATGTCCCGGTAATCCATCAACCAAGACTTGTGAATACGTACATGTATATTAGTGGAGATGTATTGATGTTAATGGAACCGAGAAGCCCGCCGGAAGATGACGTGGTTCAGAGTGTACGGAGTAATCGTACACGTACATGTACGTAGTATTAGGCTACGCTGTGTTCCGTAGGCTATTGCTCATGCATCGCCTCACTTGATTGGCCACTCGGCTAACCACGCACCACTAAGGGTGGTGCTGGTCACCATCGCAGGCAGATTTTCACAATATCATACCTATCAACGCTTCCATTAACTGGAATGGCTCGAAACAACGAAACGTAGAAACACGCGTATAGGATTCCTAAAAGAAAACCTGGGTTCAAAAGTCGCCGCTATGGTTGTCGTAGGAAAACATACCATAGCTAAGGTAAGTTGGGCTCGACCATGAAACCGTCGAGTCCGCCACTACGATGATAAAACAGAACAAGAACCTTGACACCACAGAACACCTGACCTACCTTGAATGTATGTCAGAAGTATCTGTGGTGTGTGTTCTCACAAACATCTCTTGCTATCCATCTATATCTGGATACCTTTCCACTGTCCACGATTCCTCGCACTCGGTCTTGCTCATGTATCGCGGTAAGGTTAGTAAAAAATACTAGCGGATATAGTAGGGAAAAGGAAGCGACTTACCCGTCCCAACTCCTCAATATTTTCTAATCCCTAACATGAAAAAGTTTACCAATTTTTTACTAATTCAGAAGATATCGGTATCCTTTTCTTAGCTACCCATTTACGATAGTTCTGCTAGCGAAGGGCGCGGCGGACGGGTTGAGAGGGATGGTCGGTCTCCTAAGGCCTTCTTGAGGTTTCTAGTTGTAAGCCGAGGATCTCGCTTTGCTGTTTGGACTAGATACAGTCTCTAACGACGCGCAAGAACCTTCGGCCGGCCGATTCGTACACTAGATTCGAAGCAATGTGAGGTTTTAAAGCGTTGAAATGCATCTTGAATAACTGATCGCGACACGCCAAACACGTTACTAACACTACGTTATCTAGCCCCGGCCGCTAGTAGCACCGCAAATTGCGGCACGGGCAGTAGGGCTCAATTATTAGCCTCTCCCACAATCAGCCCTTGAGAATGCTGCCAATTTCAGTCAGATTAGACATAATTTGACGGCGTTGTTGGAAGTTCAAGAATGAGGCAAGGTTGCGGTACGCGACTTTTCGCGTAAAGATAGGTGGGGTGGACCGGAGACTTTTGACCCCTGACTGTATTAAGGAGGCGGAAGACGGATGCCGAATTATCCGGTATCGTTAACCGAAGAAGAGCCGGTAGCCGTTGCTCGCCGCACCTTCCCGAAAAATCATCGAGGCCAATGACGGTATGCTTTGTTAATAGTTCACGTGCCATGCATCACCATACCTGCAAACCGTTTCACACAACGTCAACCAAGACTCTGTCCATTGTTGCCGGTCTGTTGTACTATATCAAAATGGCAACGTTTTTTTATGTTGATGCCGTTTTAACGCATATGTACAATCTGTGATTCTGTTGTAGAATATCCCATCAAATGATACAATATTCATCAGTAAGACCAGACTGCCGGGCTTCCGATTCAGTGTAGCCAGGAGGGCTCGCTCATTTAGTGCTTGGTAAATCACGGCGTCTCATTGGCCACGGTTCGCCCCCATTCCACGACCTTAGCCGAGGATGTGTGTCTTTCTTTCCTTCAAAAGCGTCCTGGTTCCTTTTTTTCCCTAAATATCAAGAACGGAGACGAGCATTTTGTCGGCGTGAAACTCGTGTGCGCGCTCACAGAAAACGTTACAACCTGCGCTACATCTACACCTGTTCTGTAGGAAGAATCGGCTCTCGAAACCTCCTTCAGCTGTCAATTCCATCCCGGAAGCGCCCGAACCGACCCCATCTTCCCCAGGATTTGACAACGGGCCTCTCTCAACCTCCTCGACGGTTGTTGACCACGACCAACCTTTATCACCATCACCAACGCCGCTCTGCTCACTTCATCAATCATGGCCGCTCTCCGCTCTTCCGCCTCGCGCGTTCTCGGCGCCTCTGTCAACGCCTCCCGCTCAGCCCTTCCTCCTGTCGGCGCCTCCTTCACTCGCTCCATGGCCACGGTCAGTGAGCCCGAGAAGAAGGCCCCCCGGATGAAGAACTTCTCAATCTACCGCTGGAACCCAGAGAACCCCACAGAGAAGCCTCGCATGCAGACATATACCATCGACCTTAACAAGACGGGGCCCATGATTCTCGACGCCATAATCCGCATCAAGAACGAGCTCGACCCTACCCTCACCTTCCGCCGCAGTTGCCGCGAGGGTATCTGCGGCAGCTGTGCCATGAACATCAACGGCCAGAACACGCTTGCCTGCCTGTGTATGTCTTTTTACTCTACGTCGCCACCATGTCCACCTAGGGGATATTCATGACGATACCAGAATGCTTTTTATACTGACAGGAACCAATCAGGCCGCATCCCCACCGAGTCGAATGACGAGGTCAAGCTCTACCCGCTGCCTCATACCTACGTCGTCAAGGACCTGGTCCCTGACCTGACTCATTTCTACAAGCAGTACAAGTCGATCAAGCCTTACCTTCAGCGTGATACTCCCGCCCCTGACGTATGTATTTCTCAACCCTTCCCCCGTGTCTCTCTTGGCGCATCATTTGAGTCCTGTCTAGACCTGGCACTCAGTTACTAACTACCTCTACAGGGCAAGGAGTACCGTCAGAGCAAGGAGGACCGCCGGAAGCTCGACGGCCTGTACGAGTGCATTCTCTGCGCCTGCTGCTCGACATCGTGTCCCTCATACTGGTGGAACTCGGAAGAGTACCTGGGGCCCGCCATTCTTCTCCAGTCGTACCGCTGGCTCGCCGACTCGCGTGACGAGCGTACTGCCGAGCGCAAGACCAACCTTGAAAACTCAATGAGCCTGTACCGTTGCCACACCATTCTCAACTGCACCCGCGCCTGCCCCAAGGGTCTCAACCCTGGCAAGGCCGTGGCCGAGATCAAGAAGCAGATGGCCCTGGGTAGCTAGATGCTCAACTATACGCAGAGATGCAAATGATCGTGTGTTGAGCGGGGGTTGAGTTGGACGGTTGGGACAAAGTGTTTCATGTGGCTAAAGGTGTATCATAGCATTGGTAATATCTGGTGTTGGTTTGTTTATCTCCTTCCTTCTTTTTTATTCTCTATGGAGAGAAGAATGATGAAAACTGGAAAACAAAAAAAAAAACAAAACATGAAAAATGTGAGGGCATTAACCGTCTTGATTTGGTTACTCCATCAAGTCGGATATTGACAGCCCGCGAAAGTAGAGATCATTTATTTCTTTGTGATTCTGAGGTCTCGCTCAAGTACCTAGACAAATACAGCTCATAATTTTTTTTTTTGTATCTGAGCTCACGGTCATTGTGTGATAATTCGTTGCCGCGAACACGAAGAATTGACGTGATGTCTATGTCTATCGGGAATCGACTCAACGGCTATGGCAACGTCCCACCACGCTCCCACTTAGTGTCATTGGAGGCATCATAGCCGGCGAATTCTGGGAGAGTGGCTCAGGTATGCTTCACACGGACGTCAGCGTGCGCCGTCACCTCCGTGTTACGTAATATTATATTGTTTGTCCATGTACCAACGACTTCGGCAGTCTTCTATTGTCTCAAACACCACGCCTAGTAATTATCAATCAGTACCGAACTGACAGGTCCACCACTTCATGCAGCACAACCAAACGCTCTATAACTACCCAGTAAAAGAGGATACAACACATATAAAACTACATGGAGCATAATTATATACATAACAAGAAGTATACGAGTCTCATCTGCTCTGTATGGTGCCGTAGCTGTGTGAAACCGAAGCAGATCGAGATGCCGGGTAGGAGAGCCACCATGTGATGATGTCATGTATGTATAAACCTAGCCTGACGACAGTTTGTTGCTGTTGGCTTGATGGAATACTCAGATGATGTTCATTACCAGTGGTCATTTCACCTTTATAAAATATGTGAATAAAGGACGCCCAAGATAGGGCCCAAAATGACGGATATCTACGTGGTATGCCAGTGCTATCTCACCACGACGACAAGGGCCATTGGGGAGTAAGATAACTGACGGAAGAATCAAGGCTGGCGCTGTGGCCGCCTTTACCATTGACCTCCTCGTCTACCCCCTAGACACAATAAAGACGAGATATCAGAGCCAAGACTATGCCGCCGGCTCTGGCACCAAGCCTTTGTCCCCCCGCGGATTATATCAGGGCGTCGGCAGCGTGATACTAGCGACTCTCCCGGCAGGTATGATAGCATTCGCAACTCTCATTTATTCTTATCTTCTACTCGGAATACGTATTACAACCCGGATGAACTGACCGTGCCCTAGCCGGCTTATTCTTCTCGACGTACGAGAATGCCACGGCCACCCTGTCCCGAACATTACCAGCCCCAAAGCCGATAGTCCACTCGGCAGCGTCAGCGGTAGCGGAGATGGCATCTTGCATGGTCATTGCACCGGCCGAAGTGATCAAGCAGAACGCTCAGATGGTACGGAAACGAGACTCGGGTGGTGGCAGCCGAGACTCATCATCACTCCGAGCGCTGAGACAGCTGGGCGGGCTGGGCGCCCCAAGGAGGCTGTTCACGGGGTACACGGCTCTGGTGGCTCGCAACCTGCCATTTACTGCTCTCCAGTTCCCCATGTTTGAACATATTCGTGCGAGGATGTGGGAAAGGCGGCACCGAGGAGGGGAGGCCAGCGGCCCTGCGGGACTGCTGGAGACGGGAGTGATTTCTGGTGTCAGTGCGGGGGGTGCGGGTGCAGTGGCGGCCTTCATCACGACTCCCAGCGATGTTGTCAAGACGCGGATGATGCTCTCGGCTGGTCAGGACAAGAACAGACATGGGGCATGGTCTGTGACGAAGCGGGTATATACTCGCGACGGGGTTCGTGGTCTCTTCCGGGGTGCTCTACTGCGGTCCGGATGGACGCTTCTGGGATCTGGCCTGTACCTTGGGACGTATAATGTCGCTACGGTATGGTTGAAGCAGGGAAAGTCCGATATTGCTGATCTGTAAAATATTTGGTTTTGGCCAACGCCCCCCTCCGGCCAGCTGGTACGATCGGTATTACTTTGGACAAGTGATTGGGAGAACCAACTCGGTATAGAAGAAGCCTAGTTAACTTTTTTTGTCTTTGTTTGTCTTGCCTCCCCCATGTCGTGATTGTGTGATGGCTCAATATCGATGATGAGCACGCAATCGATTCCTTGATGCGTGGCTTTGTCAACCTTGACGAGGTTATCTGACATGCAATACATACAGCACGTGAGACGTTCAGTCGGTGACGGACTGACGCGACTTGAAAGAGGGAGATGTGCGACTGAGGTTTTCGTAGACTTGGAAAAAAGGTTGGTGATGCGCTGATGGAAGAGTGGCAATGTTGCATGAGATCGATTCTAGTCATCTGGGGAAGAAAACGTGCTCGCGAATCAGACGCACGACATTGGACACACCGAGTCTTATAAGATCTGCTAATGCTAGTACGAGTAATTATTACCGTCACTACGAGCCTGCGACTATTAACTAGTGCTCGTGTTTCATATTGTAATCCAGCTTTTTTCACCGTCATTCTCCAGGCCTCGGTGACCAGGGAGGACGTGTGCCGTGTCGACTAGGGCTGGCTTATGACTCGTATGCTGTAACCATGACTTGTCATGGCCAGACGGCACACCGGAAAGCCGTTCCTGAATAAAGAATCTGGTCATTGCGCAATGTGTTTGGATTCTTTGTCAAGACCCCTTTTTTCCCCCAGTTCTTGTATTTATATGAGGTGATGGCGCTGGCCGTGTCCGTAGTACCACCACACCCCCAATACAGAATCAATTCGCTTCCCTTTCATCGTTATTACTAAAAGACTCTCCTACCGTCATACTGCCTGTTCGTTACCATCAATCCAGGAATTAATCCTCAAGGACGACTAGGCAAAGAAAGACCAGGTAGAATTGCGACAATGGCTGTCCAGGTACAGACAGTTCAGTCACTGGTACCGGCCGAGGACACGAGCATTCAGATCTCCCCCAGTACTACGGGAAGTAAATCTATTGTTCAGTCGCCATACACAGAGCCCGACCACCTGCTCCACCTAGACACTCTGGACCACGAGAATGCCCTGCTGGCTCAAGCACTGTCCCTGTTAAGGGCCACAAGGGACGACTACGCCACGGCGCCGTACACCGAGTCGTTCAACTGGGACGAGGTGAAGGCTGAGCTGGCCCGGTTGGCCCGAGAATCAGGAACCCCCTTCCGAGAGACGTTCTTCTACATTGTTGCCTTCCGGTCGCAAGTCAAGGCCAGTACAAACGCCGACAGCTCGCATCTCGAGGCTCTTGACAAAGCGGCACACGCTGAAGCCATTGCCAGCGGAGGATTCCTCAAGTATGCGTTGTTTATCACGAGGTGGCCCTTCCCTTGGAAACAGAGCTGACGTGAATCGCAGGTATTGGTATGGGGCTCCGGATACTGAGTTGAGAAATCTGGCGACTTGCCTCTGGCGATCAAGGGAAGATGCTATAGCCGGCGGGAGGGGTCCGGCACACCGCAAGGCGGCAGGATCGACGAGGGATCTTTATGCTTCCTGGAAGATTGACCAGCACCGTCTCACGATCCGCGAGGGGGGACAGGAGTGGGAGATATCGAAGTGGGAAGAAGCATAATTCCGGCGGATAGCTTGACGATAGAAGAAAGAATATAGAGCGTCACGGGCTAGATAGGAACATCTGCTTTTAAACATCTGAGAATTGGCGAACAATATCAGCTCTTTCAAAAAAAGAAATCTTTAGGATTAGTGAATTCCCAAATTGATGGGAATGCGTCAGATATGGTGCTCGTATCTTGTCCTTTGTCTTGGCACTTTTTGTATGTATTCAAGTTGTTTGGTTGTTGCCGAATTTACATTGGCAAGAGCAACGGGCGTTGGTAGACAGTCGCGGCACAAAGTCCTGGAGGTACGAGTTCTGCCGCATCTCACCGCCCTTGCCCTCAACGCCCACAAATCCATGGCAAAAAGTTCGATATTCTTACCCATTGGATGCCCTGCCCGCCGCATCACCCACCTCGATTCTCCTTTTCCCGTTGTTGCGCCATCACGCTCGCCGAGATTAAACGAGCAACCCTTCACGAGACAACGATTTTCCTTCCGCGCACAACTCTCCGAAAAGATGAGCAGTAACGTCAACGAAACGTCTGCCCAGGAGGTGCAGGTCGATGCTCTGGTGAGTTGCAAAAAAAAATTGCCCCACCACGGACCCCTCTCATGGCAGCCCCCACGCGAAGACTGCAAAATGAAAATGAAGAGCGAAGAGAAAAATAAAAGAGAGCATAAAGAAAGAATAGGGGGGGGTGAGGGGGGGAACTACACAGGTGATGCGAAAATCGAGTACTGATGAGGGACCCTCGTTTTAGGTGATTATGAAGATTGCCAAGCACTGCTCGTCGGTCTTCCCCACGACCGCGACGGGCTCGCTGGTGGGCATGGACGTCGACGCCACCGTTGAGGTCACCAACTCCTTCCCCTTCCCTTCGACCGATAGCGGCACGACCGAGTCTCACCAGAACGACGCCTCAGCCGTGGCGGCCGCCGCCCCTCGGCAGAGGGCCAACATTGTCTACCAGAACGATATGATCCGCCACCTCAAGGAGGTCAACGTCGATGCTAACAACGTAGGCTGGTACACGAGCGCCACGATGGGCAACTTTATCAACCTCAACTTCGTCGAGAACCAGTACCACTACCAGAAGGACAACTCGCAAGCCGTCGGAATCGTCTATGACGCTAGCAAGAGCTCCCAGGGCAACCTGGCGCTGAGGGCTTTCCGCTTGAGTGTTCCCTTTATGGCCGCCTACAAGGAGGGCAAGTTTACGACTGAGATGTATGCCACATATCCTCCTTACACACTACTCGTGTGACCGTCCTGCTTATCCGCTGAAATTGTTAACTCTTGCCTGTTTAGCCTGCAAAAAACCAAGCTGTCCTTCAAGGATATCCTTTCTGAGCTTCCTGTGAGCGTGCACAACTCACACCTCCTGACGACGTTCCTCCACCAGATGCCCGGTCTCCCGACAGAGGATGATATTGAGCCGCCGACGTCGCTGGCGGATATTGAGCGTGACCAGATCCAGGTCCCTCTCCACCCGTCGCTCGACACTCTCGACCTTGCCATCGACCCGTTCCTCGAGAAGTCGTCGGACCTCCTGCTTGACAGCATCGAGTCGCACTACACAGATCTCAACAACTTCCAGTTTTACCAGAGGCAACTCAACCGCGAGCAGCTCAAGATCTCGCAGTGGCAGGCCAAGCGCAAGGCTGAGAACGCTCAGCGCGTGCTGGCCAAGCAGACCCCTCTGCCTGAGGACGAGTGGCAGCGCCTGTTCAAGCTTCCCCAGGAGCCCAGCCGGCTGGAGGGTATGCTCAACGCCAAGCAGGTGGAACAGTACAGCAAACAGATTGACGGCTTCACGGCCAACATCAGCGCCAAGATGTTTGCCGTGCGGGAGAACATGCTGCCTCAGTAGAGGGAGAGAAGAGAGAAGTATTCTTTCGCCGTGTGTGTGAAGGACATGACTCCTGTCCAAAGCCTCTTTTTCCTTGGATGAACTCGTCTCCAATATATGGAGAGATAGGGACCAAGGTAGGGAAAGGGGTAGGGATGGAAGGCGACAAGGTGACGCGCTGGACAGTTGCATTGGAGGCGTTCCGGGCACTGTGGACTGGGAACCATCATGGTTATTCTTTTTTACTCATCATTTTCTTTCCCCGGCTGTCTTTCTATGTTGCTTTTGTGGAGAAAGCTGTGTGGCCGTAGGCTCGGGACAGAGAGAACACGACTACAACAGTGAAGAGACGGAAGAAAAGGATAGAAAGCGTGAGGAGGAAGACGCCATGAGAAGGGAGCAAGGAGCAAGAAGAAGAAGAAGGAAAAGAAGAAGGGCAAAAGAGCCAAAACCCGAGATGGCTCTGGACATGATACAAGTCACACAACGCCCCGCCCCTCGCCAGGCTGGGATCGACACGACCACAAAAGGATGGAGCAAGAAGCATGAGTGGATTTTATGGGAGCCATTATGGATAATAATGCCCGATTTCACGGCAGGATACTACTACTATCAAAAAAGAACAGAGAAATAAAACATGTACAAAGCGACTGTTTTTTCTTTCTTATCCCCCTGTCAAAGTTGCTACCAAGCTGCTGACTGCGGTAGTACTGTACTATTACCTGTGCTAGACCTGTGCTAGAGACGGTACTGTTTAGGAGCATTACCATACTGTTTCACTCGAGACTTCTTATGACTGCCCCCTTAGTTCAGAGGCCGAAAAGGTTCTCCAGTGAAGGCTCATTGTGGGATGCACGTGCATCGAGCTTGTTGGAATCGGGGCCGCAGGGGCCAAGGAGGGGCAGAGGCTTGGGATTGAGTTTATAAAAAAAAAGCAACATGTTGCAGCTTCTTCGCTATCACTACTACTCGTCCTCGTAATATTAACTTCTGGCTTTATTCATGGGTAGTAGTAGTACCTGTGAAGAGACAGCCTCTGCTTTCTGCTAGTAATAACAGTGCTCAGCGTCACAGGTACTACTGTTACCTATCGTATGAATATTACTATTACCAGTAATCTACCGGTGTAGAGATGACATGATATGGTTCGGAGGAGTTCGGCGATTTCCCTGATACAGGCAGTCAGCAACAGAAGAGACGATGAACAGCGCAGAAAAATATTCATAACGCACCTGGGATGTTAAACGCCGAGCCTGTAATTCTATTCCGTCAATTAGCTCGCAGCTCCTAGCTCTCTTTTCCTCGTCGTACGAGTATTTCCATATTATTACTCCGTAGTACTATCGTAGTATGCCCGCTGTGCCATGTATTACCAGGCACCCTGGCAGTTCGGCGGGGACCTACGGGCGTAGGAGGGGATATGAGTCTTTACCGCCCAGCAGTAATACTGTATAGTAATTTCGTACTCGTACTCGTACCACTGAGAATAATGCTACCTGCACTCTAAGTACGGTGTAAGAAAGTAGCCGTTACTGGACCAACTGATAATAATGATTAACAAGATGGAGGAAAAGAGAGAAAACAAGAGTAAAAAAAAAAAAAGGCCCCACTATTAGGCCCTTCGTTAACCCCTCGTCTGTGAGCGGGGCAACAGATCAGAAAATTTGCCCCTCCTTTAGGCCCTTTTCCCACTACGGTAACCTGCCCCTCAGGACCTTTGGGCTTCACTTGAGAGAGGTAACCAACAAAGGGACGGCGCTCGAGGAAAACAGGACTAGATGGAGCCAGGACCAGGACCCTGAGAGAGGTTGCAGTGGGTTGCCCAGCGGGAGATGACCCCCGGTGAGATCCATGCTCCAGTGATATGCCGCCTACGATGCATTTGCCCACTGTTTTTTTTTTCCACCCAGGGACTCGTAGCACTTAGCCCGCTCCTGCCTTATTTACAATGCTACACCACCGCCTCTTTTTTTTTCCTGTCCCTCTTCCCCCTCCCCCTCCTTCTTCTCTTCATTCTTATCTCCTCATATTCCCTCCCTCCTCCCATCATATTCTCCCTCTCATCCCAATTGAACCAACCCTTCTTCTCCCCATTCACCCTTTCCTCATACTCACACATTCACAATGGCTGCCCCCGCCCATACCTTCAAGGTCGCCGACCTGTCCCTCGCTGCCTTTGGCCGCAAGGAGATTGAGATGGCCGAGAACGAGATGCCCGGTCTCATGGCCACCCGTGCCAAGTACGCCAACGACCAGCCTCTCAAGGGTGCCCGCATTGCCGGCTGCCTGCACATGACGATCCAGACTGCCGTCCTAATCGAGACTCTCACCTCCCTCGGTGCCGAGGTCACCTGGACCAGCTGCAACATCTTCTCCACCCAGGACCATGCCGCCGCTGCCATTGCCGCTGCTGGTGTCCCCGTCTTCGCCTGGAAGGGCGAGACGGAGGAGGAGTACAACTGGTGCCTCGAACAGCAGCTCAACGCCTTCAAGGATGGCAAGAAGCTTAACCTCATCCTCGACGACGGCGGTGACCTGACCTCGCTCGTCCACTCCAAATACCCCGAGCAGCTCAAGGACTGCTTCGGTGTCTCGGAGGAGACCACCACTGGTGTCCACCACCTGTATCGCATGCTCAAGGACAAGAAGCTCCTTGTTCCCTCCATCAACGTCAACGACTCTGTCACCAAGTCCAAGTTTGACAACCTCTACGGCTGCCGCGAGTCCCTCATTGACGGTATCAAGCGTGCCACCGACGTCATGATCGCTGGTAAGACTGCTGTCGTTGCTGGCTTCGGCGATGTCGGCAAGGGCTGTGCTATCGCCCTCGCTGGCATGGGTGCCCGCGTCATCGTCACTGAGATCGATCCCATCAACGCCCTCCAGGCTTCCATGGCCGGCTTCCAGGTCACCACCATGGAGAAGGCCGCCCCGGTCGGTCAGATCTTCGTTACCACCACTGGCTGCCGTGACATCCTCGTCGGCAAGCACTTCGAGGTCATGCCCAACGACGCCATCGTCTGCAACATTGGCCATTTCGACATTGAGATTGACGTTGCCTGGCTCAAGGCCAACGCCAAGGAGTGCCAGAACATCAAGCCCCAGGTTGACCGCTTCCTCATGGCCTCTGGCCGCCACATCATCCTTCTAGCCGAGGGTCGCCTGGTCAACCTTGGCTGTGCCACTGGCCACTCTTCCTTCGTCATGTCCTGCTCCTTCACCAACCAGGTCCTTGCCCAGATTATGCTGTACAAGGCCAGCGATGAGGCCTGGGGCAAGAAGTACGTTGAGTTTGGCAAGACCGGCAAGCTTGATGTTGGCGTCTACGTCCTCCCCAAGATTCTGGACGAGGAGGTCGCCCGTCTCCACCTCGACCACGTTGGCGTCGAGCTGAGCAAGCTCACCGACGTCCAGGCCGACTACCTTGGCCTTCCTGTTGAGGGTCCTTTCAAGGCCGACATGTATGTTTCCCCCATCTCTCCTCTTTGGCCCTGTGGCTTTTTGTACCTCCTACATGCCCCGAGAGTCTGGCTAACATCGATTCACAGCTACCGCTACTAATTTTCCAATTTGTATAATCATACCCACCATACCCGAGGATCCTTCAACCGGATTCCATGTGTAACGACGTTATTTAAAAAAAAGGATGTTCTTTTCTCTTTTTGTTTTCTTTTCCATATTCTCTCAACCAGGCGATAAAGGGGCAAAAAATTTGTGTTTTCAACAGCATACAAAACGTTTTGCATGGCGAAGGATGGGTTTATCTGGAGCCTGGACACAGCTTAAGGGGTTCGCTCCTAAACAGAAATAGCTACTTTATGCTTCGTGTCTTGGCCCCCCTTGATTTACGGGGTTCAGACGCAGATTAGTCTTAACACTGATTTGTGTCACACCTGAACTATGTCATTTGCTAGGCTATATGTGTGTTTGCATCGAAACCGTGCGCTATATGATGTGTATTCGTGTTTACATGTAACTGGCAGGTCTATAGTAGTTTCAAAGGTCTAAGGACTGTGATTCATTATTCGACACAGTTCTCTTCTATGGCTCTCGGGGGCGTTCTATTTTTGGTTCAACCTGGGATGGGTTAGTATAATGACAAAGTTACTGACATAATATAAATAGGAACGATGGAATGACCAGAGTTGTTAAAGAGGACAAGTTGAAAGAACAGGATGAGTCATAAAGACCGAGAGACTCACAGCTCCTTTTCAAGATTCCTCTGCTCAGGCACAATGCTCTTGAGCTTGGCCTCTGCGACGGCCTTGCGGACGTTGCCGATGGCCCAGCTCTCCATCTTCTTCTCTGTATCGTAGGTGCAGGTGCCCATGTGGGGGACAAGGAAGACGCGCTCGTCGTGGATAAGACTGGGGTGAACCTTTGGTTCCTCCTCAAAGACGTCGAGGCCGGCGGAGGCGACGGTGCCGTCGGCCAGGGCGTCGACGAGGGCGGCCTCGTCCATGACTGCGCCGCGGGCGGTGTTGACGATGACGATGCCGCGCTTCATGCGGGCGAATTCGGCTCGGGAGATGGAGTGGCGGGTTGAGGACTTGGGTCGGGTCGGGTCAGACGAGATGATGGAACGGTACAAGAAAGTGTTTCCGTATGAATCTGGGGGGGGGGGGGGAAGAGGAAACAAGGGAAAGGCCGAGGAGGAGAAACATACGTTTAGAGGAAGATTTAGACTGAGGACGTCACTCTCTGCAAGAAGAGTATCCATGTCGACATAGTGGGCGCCCTCCTCATTCTCGGGGCTGAGCTTGCTGCGGTTATGGTAGATGATGTGCATACCAAAGGCGCGGGCCTTGTTAGCCATGTTGCGGCCGATGCCGCCCATGCCGAGGATGCCGAGCGTCTTTCCCTGGGGGTCCCTTCCGAGGGCGACGGGGGGGGGACCCCTCCACTCGCCGCGGCGCAGGGCGGCCATGGACGGGCCTAGGTTGCGCAGGGCGCCGAGGAGGAGGAACATTCCGATGTCGGCGGTGGCGTCGTTGACGGCCGTGGGCGTGTTGGACACGCAGATGCGGCGGGCCGTACACTCATCGACGTCGATCTGATCGTAGCCCGCACCGTTGTGGCATATGAACCTGCACGTCGGGGGCAGGGCGTCGAGGAGGGCGGCATCGACGGGGCCGATGGACTCGAAGTCGCGGAACACGGCCACCACGCCGTCGTAGGCGCCCGTCGAGGCCTCCTTGATCAGCGAGGCCTTGTCCGTCACGGCCGATGATGGCTCGACAATGTCGGCTATCTCTTCTACAGAGGACCAATCATTGTGGGCTCTTGAAAGGTCGTGGTATCAGCATGAGGTGAGGTGAGGACGAGAGGGATGCTGACATATCTTACTGTCTTACGGGTGCTAGCTTGAGGACCTTGGGTCGAGTCATTGTGTTGTTGGGAGAGGGGCTGAGATATGGGAAAGGTTGAGTGACGGATGGATTGAACGGCTTTGAGAAGATGGTGAACCTTTCAAGGACAATGCTACCCTGGCGATAGTTGTATATACGTGCAGGGCGCGTTGCCAGTCAAGGGCCCCTCAGGCGGGGGGCGGGGCAGAGTTGGTTATTATCGTGTCTTGGGGACTGATAAGCATCAGCCTCCGAAGACCGCGTGGGTTTCACCAGGTGAGCTCTTTTTTTTTTAAAAGAAAAAGAAAAAATTGAGGGACCCATATGTATGAGATCTTGGTCTTATTGACGCAATGGAATGTATTGATGTATCCTATCTTGTGTGCTCTCTCTTTTCTTGTGCTTGTGCTTGTGCTCTTTGTCTAGTAATATTATGTGGTGTGACGCCGTATCATGGGTCCGATATAGGACCAGGATGATACGGGCTTGATTGTACCAGGATCGGTATCTCGATATGGGAATGCCCCGTGTTTCTTCCTTTCTTCTTTCTTCGAGCATATAGCCGGCGGGCAATATGATGCAAGCTTGACTGGAACGGGACCTCGTCGTAGTCCCATGAATGGAAGTTTCCCGTCTCGGGCAGAAAAAGCAATGACATATAGAGAAGAAGAAAAAAAGAAACGGCGCGCAGTAATGAATGATGATGTGAAGGGAAAAAGGAGTTCACATGAGTAGCCTCCAGGCACCGAGGAGGACGGCGGCAAAACCAGTGCAGACGCCCATAAGCCACTGCAGGGTCTGGAACTTGACCTGTTCGAGCTTCTCGCGCAGGGCCGAGACCTCCTGCTCGATACGCGTCTCGGTTTCCTTTATCTTGAGCTCCTGGCCGACCGACTCCTCGCGGATGCGGCCCTTTTCGAGGTTGAGGTCGAGGCGCACGCTTGCCTGGGTGCGGCCGACCTCGTCTCGCAGCCGGCTGTTGAGCTTGGCAATCTCGTTGGACAGGCGCTCGTGCGTGCTGCGCGTCGTGTTGGCCTCGGTGCTTTCGGCCGAGAGGAGCTCGGAACGTAGCTGGGCAAAGTCGACTTTCTGTGTGTACGTTGCCCTCGCGGCGTCTTCGCGGAGGACCATTGTTCGGGTCAGGTTCTGGATGCTGTTGTTTGCCATTTCTGTGTCAGCCAAAACGGACCGATACGTAGTAGTAGTAGTAGTAGTAGTAGTACTGCTACTACTGCTCGTCGATGCTGAAAAAGGGGGTGAGGGGACCGTGTCCAGAGTTGTGCGTACCTCTCCTCAATCACATCGTTGAGAACCTTCATCATGGCCGCCGCTTGCTCTTCGGTGAAGCCCTCGTCCTGGAGACGCTGCACGAACTTGAGCGTGTCAAAGTGGTGATCGCGCCGTAGAGTGGGCGTCGTGTGAAACGCGGCCCGCGACAGGATGGGGCTCCAGGTCGCTCGCCGTCCCGTACACGGCCATGTAGAGTGCCGCCGAGTCGCTATAGCTGCTCCCGCCGCTGTCCCGGATCGTGCGCGCAAATCATGAGAGATGGCACCGGTGGCTGATGACGCCCTCCAGCTCAGACGGGGTAGGAGGAACTTGGGCAGCGTCTCCGCGACCAAGACGCTCCTCGGCGCAGTCATGGCTGTTTTTTAGCTTTTTTTTTGTCTTGTTTTGTTTTGTCGGTGGTTGAGGGACAGCGTGTGTGACGGCAGTGAATTGGAATGGATGTACTACGATCATTGATGGTTGGTAAACGGACGGATCTCTGCGACAAAACAGGTCGATGCTGGCTTTGTGGGGACAAACTGGGGAGGGACCAGCTGGCAGTCTGGGACCTTGATCTGGGTCAATTGGGAGATGGTCATTGGTCTGATGGAATAGAATGTATGGACCTCGGCATCTGACCCGGATGGTCGCCGGTACCGGCTCGGGTGGGTGCCGTTGCTAAACCCGTCAATAGCCATCACCTCTATATTCCGCCCTTTCCTGGTGTAATATCTTTCCGTGACATCTCGATCTTTCTGGTAGTCATTCGTATTCCCTTATTGATGATCTTTCCTCTATTCCCATCTGTTGGAAGCAATCTATAGCCCTTTGTCTCCTTACTTTTAACTTTTTTTTTTTAAAAAAAAAAGAAAGAAACATCCCCCCTCCCCTCCTACTCATGCTACTACGTGAACGCACAACGCATTATCCAAGTACGCATCGCCTGATTATTCACCATGGCCTGAAAGTCTCCAGCTCATTTCTCTTGCTGCTTTCCATTCGCGTTTGCTTCTCCGGGCAATGCTCACCGGTGTGGGCGTCCCTGGATGCGACTCCCCATTTATACTCACCCTAGACCTTGCTCTCACCGAGATTCACACCGAGACTCTCACCGAGACTAACGCAGCAGTCTACACATCCCCTACGCCGAAACCTCATCCGTATCCATTGCTGAATCATGACCTATATAGCCTCGTCATGCACGGCTCAGACAACCACAGATGCATTCACTTGTGCTACGATGGCTCGTCCTATCCCTGCCTGTCCCTCGTGCTCTCGTACATTCTCCGTCCCCTCCTCGTAAGGTATTACTACATAAGGCACCGTAATATCCTGCTCGAATTGGACGCTGGAACCCCTCTCTTCACAGACGAATCATAGAGCAAAAGGCCCTTGTATGCTTCCCACCCGCACTCACGCACCCATCAACCTCGTCACGACACCATTGCTCTCGAAAGTACACCCCGTCAGCCAACATGAGTCCAAATGACCCCGCCGGGGTGAAGCACCTGACCGATCTCGTCCACGAGGAGCTGATACCCTGGGAGACACTGCACGTCGAGCAAGATTACGACCGCTGGCTGCAAAACATTGTTGGCATTGCCCACTACGCAGGCCTGGGGGATCACATTGACGAAACCAGCACCGGCCCTCTCTTCCCGCGCATCAGGGAGTGCCTCGTCTGGAAGCTCCAGAACGTCAAGGCCTGCATCTTCATACTGGAGTGCATGAGCTTGGAGATCAAGGAACCCACCGAGAGGCTCCTCATAAACAGCGACAGCAGCAGCGGCCACAGAATAAAGAGCTACTGGGAGGTGGAGGCCAGGGATGTCCTCGCCATGGCTAAGCATGTCTGGTGGAGCTTGCAGCCCGACAACGAACTTGGCGCCGTGCGCCTGGAGCATTCGTAATGCTTCAGTGGCCAGACCAGACATGAGTTACGGCTCCGTTATGAGTTTTGATGTATCTTGGACACTGGGAATCCACGGTCCGGGGGCGGTCCTCCCGCAATAATGAACTTGCAGAGATTTAGAGAGTCCCAGATATATTGATCCAGATAAACAAAGGATCACTGCTAGTTCGGCTTTGCTTGTCTCGGGTCAGTCGAAATCATCCGTGAAGTACGCCAATGTGACCTTTAGCCTACTGGATTTGTCTTGGTAGACACTCTTGTACAGAGTGTTTACGTGAATCAGAAAAGCAGATAAATTTCATTGAATAATATACAACTAAATAGAGATCTTGGCTCAACGCTGCGCCATGGACTAAACATGATGTTTCCGGTCTCCTTCAGGTGACTGTCCTCACACTACTATATACGGGTTAGTCATATGTCGAATATGAGTGAGCCGTCCTTTCGTTCCTTGTTTAGCCGCGGAACTGGCTCCAGGAACTGTCCATGCGAGCCCTCTGGCCATCGGTGAAGCTGTTGTAGCAAGAGCTGTCAAACATCTGTCAGTATACATTCATTGGGAGTAGCCTCGTTAACATTGATGAAAAAAAACCGAATCGGTAACTCACTCCTGAGAGTAGTCCATGTAGTTGTGGATGGGATCCTCGCCAGGGCTGTTGGGGCAAGAGTCACGACCGGTGGGGCATCCGGACGAGGCGCTGGCCTGGGCAGGAGTATCGGCAACCTCGTCGCCGGCGCCGTCACAGCCGCCCTGGAAGGTGTGGAAGAGGCCCAGCCAGTGACCCGTCTCATGAACGGCCGTCAATCCTTCGTTGAAGCCGCTGGCGGACCCTCCAGGGATGGTGGAGGCCTGGATGGCGCAGCCGTCGAGGACGAAGGCGTCGGAACCCTGAGGGGCATACTGGGGGAAGTAGCAGTAGCCCAGGCTGCCACCACTGAGGCTGTCGAGGAAGTAGAGGTTGAGGTCGGAGTACGAGCCTTTGCGGAGGGCAGACTTCATGCCGTATTCGTCGCCGTCAGATGCCCAGCCGGAGTTGACGGTGCCGTCGGTGCCGGCAAGCGACATGGTGATGCCGTACGCAGCGTATGTCGACGCCAGTACGTCGAACTGCCTCTGTAGAGCATCGCCCTGTTGTTATATAGCATCAGTACACTTGTGGAGGAGCCTTAGAAGGGGGAGAAGAGGGGGGTGAGGATCAGATCGGCATACAGTAAGCAGACCTCCCTGGCTGGCGGAAACGCTGTGGAGGTAGACGTTGACGAAAATGTCCTGCCTGGCAACTAGGCCAGCCTTGGCGGCAGCAGCCTCCTTGATGGAGAAGTTGTGGGCAATAGCGATGTGCTCGTCTGTGGGATCGGGAGTTCCGCAGGCAAATGTGGTCTCGCGGCTGTGAAGGGTGTGTGCGAGGGCCGCACTGGCAAAGAGTAGAGCAGACTTGACAGACATGATCGATATGGAGTAGGGACTGGGAAGAAGAAGGGTAGATGATTGTTGAAAAGAAGGAAGTTGTTAGACTGTATGGAGAGGAGAGAGAAGAGTGTGATCTGGGTGATGATATCAGAGGTCGAGTTGCAAACCAGAGGTGGGAAACCATCGCCTTTATACATTTCTCTCGCCCCATTCGCTGTTGCCCTCTTGATGATGCATGTCACTATGCCCACGAGGCATGCATGTCCGCACTAGTAACCCTTCTCCTATCATCATGAAGTGTCCTTCTTCAACCGGTAGGTGCTCTTGTGCCCCACGAGAGCTCATTTGCAGCCAAGAAGAAAAGAGAGAGGGGGACCACGTGGGAACTCACTCATACGAAACTCTTATCGCGGGCTGCCTGGCTACCAACTGCGCTGGTCGTGCTTCTTCTTTGAAAGCTCCGTCGACGCTAGTCGGACGTCCGCCCAACATGTGGTTTCCCAAGACCGCTTGTGCCGGACGTCAAGCCCATGACCCCGTGAGCAAGTGGCGGGGAACGGTAGTACCCATGATGGAGAAGATGGATGGAGAAGATACCACGTCGATTGGGGGTTTTGTTCAATGCTCAGCTGCTGGAGGGCTCATCCTCCCCCGGCCGTGAAAAGGGATAACGGCAGTGAAGGGATTTGCAGCGCTGAGCTGGGTCGTTGATCGAGTCATACGGAGCACGTCCCGTAATCGAGCTCATGGGCCGTAGAGGGAAACAATGCTGTGGAGGGTAGCATCGATGAGAGAGCAGTTATTTACCATGAAACTACCCTCATCTCGTGTCTCTGATAACCAAACCTCCATTCCAGTTGCCACTTTGGGAAAAGGACGAGCGACTTATTAGCCAAAGGGCAAGCATCATGCTACTCTGTTCTCTCAAGAAAGAGGCAAGGAATCTTGGTGAGATGATGTTGTGCATGGACATTTGTTATCTTGACTAGTAATAGCACTTGGTTCGGACGACGGTCGTATTGTACGATTAATACACCGCGGAGATGATAAAACGTCAAGCAGAGGAGGGGGGAAGAGGGTAGCCTTTTACCCCCGTGTTTTTCCGAGTCAATGGGTGTATTCACTCGATCCATTGCCAGATATAGGGAGATCTACCTCTCTTTTCTATCGAAGAAAAAAAAAGATCGAAAACAAGTGGTTTCGGTAGTTTGCTCACTATGTGTGGCCCTGATTTAGTGGGAGCAGGAGGAGGGTGTGGTAGAGATGAGAGTGGTTTCTCGTAGCCTCGAAACCAATGACCGACCAACTCATCCCTCATTCAAGACTAGAAGGATCAGGTAGGCTTCTGGTTCAAGAATCAGAACCTCTGAGGATTGTAGATCATCGTGGGAGAAGCATCGTCAACAAGTGAGACAGCCTGACTCTTGAACGAGAGTATGGCAGCATTGTATATCCACACAAGATGGTTACCATTGATGGCTTCACGTCGACAGGGACCCGCAACATCCACATGCGATGTCCACATGGCCGGAATGCCAGACAGTCGGGTTTCCCGTCTTTGGAAGGTCTTGCTTCACGGTCTCAGCTCCTCAAAGCTACACGCCACCGTCAGAGCGACAGAACAATGCCCATCCATTGTTCATAAAGCGGGTTCCTTGCAGATAAGGATGGGGCGTTTCATGACATCGTTCGTCTGAATCTGGAGGGTACCACGCCATCGCCTCCACCCATTCCCCTCAATGTGAGTGGCGGTCAAGTTGTTCGTCTGGTGTGCTCTCCCTGGGCCCAATGCTACGCTGCCCGTGCTCGTGATACCGGGGGGTTTTGCCGGTAGAGTTTGGGCGGCTTCCAAGCCACACGACGACGTGACATGACCCGAGTCACGGTGTGCCGCAGCGGGCGTGTGGCAGGAGTAACAGGCAGCAGACTGAGCGGTATCTTGGAGTCTTGGGAGTCACCTAGTTTTACCCAAAAGCCCTCCTGGTCCTTGGCCGACTCCCATCGACCAGTGCCATGCCGGGTTGAAAAGAGCAGTGTCTCAGATGAGATGGTCTGCCTCGACATGATGCGAGACGGCTACTTCGTCCCCCTCAAAGACCCCGCATATTGGACACGTTGCCACCACCACTGGCGCTCGCTGCGTACCCCTCGTCTCTTCTGGTTGGCTGGGGAAGAAGTCGGCGAGACTGCGAGGTGGCGGTCCGTCTGGGAACTCCTCGTCTTCTCGTATGTCGGTATACCGATGGGTGAAGTTAGATGCTGCCACTGTGCTCCTGAGAGACGACGTCGCCATCGACGATGACAGTGACTCTGCTGCTGCTCCGGCAGTCACGGCTACGTCCCGGCCGCTGGCTGGTGTTTCCAGAATCCTCTGCACTCGTCCCACTCGTCCGTCCTGCAGTCGCACTTTGATCCCCCGAGGGTGGTTGCCCTTGGTGAGGACCTCGAGCACCACGCCCGGCGTCTCCCGTCCCGTGGGTTGATCCTCCTTGAGGACAATCGACACGCTAGCCCCAGGTCCGACTTGCTGGACGGTTGGGACCCGACCGTTGCTGTTGAAATTTCCGCTGCTACTTCCCCCTCCGCGGCCTCCACGGCCTCTTCCCCCTCCTCTCCCCCCTCCTCTACCTCCTCCGCGACCTTTGTCAGAGGTTTGTCCCTGCTGCTGCTGGTCAGGACGTGGCTGACGATTTCGCGGGCGATTCATGATGACTAAGTGACTTTTTTTTTTCTTTTTTTTTTTTCATGAAGAAGGACCTATTATAAGTTCAAGACTCCTCGAGTTTGTTTGATGGATGAGTGATGTTTGTTGACTGATGAGGCGATGTGATTGATGAGGTTTAAAAGTGGAGAGCTCAACATGTGTTCTGGGGCTCCCGATTTATATCACTCCACTAGCCGCTGCCACCATCACGCACTCACATTGAACTCACGTACAGGTAATTGAATTGCATGTATCAGAGCATTCAATGAAAAGTCCTCACGAGATTATAGTATAACTGTATATAATCTTGAGGAATGTCTAGCAACAAGGTCGTTGAGAAATGGAACCAATTGGTATCTGTTGCCCCGTCCCAGCCTCAACCTAACCATTCCCCTCCTTACAGAGTAGACGGATAAGGATCCTATACTCATACTCAGTTTAGTATGTAAGCCAAAAGAGGGGGGGGGGGGGGGGGGCAATTCAATTCTTCTGCGCATTGGTGAAACCTCTAAAGAGTTGCACTTACGACGATGATCGTGTATTTGTCGATCAGAACGTTATCGTCCTCGGACCTTCTGAAATGCATTCTTGCTGCCCAGGTAAAGGTACTTTCTTCACCAGTCACGGAAACATTGTTGCTTCTCCCATGGAGCATCACCTCCTCAGCCTTGGGGCCGAAGGGGAAGACAGAATAAACAGTGTGGTCGCGGCTCTTGAACTCAGACCATGACTTCGTGATGAGGTCGACAAGAGCTGTTCTCGGGGGGGGGAGGGAAAGTTAGCATTGTCTTGTTTGGCTCAGACGAGATGAGTGTGAAGGAGAGGAATGCTCATACTTTCGCGCCCTTTTACATTGGTGGTGCCCTTCTTCAGCTCAGCATCTTCCGTGAAGTGGGCACCCCAAGCAACATGCTCTCCATTGTCCACGGCGGCGTATAGCGAGGAAATATGAGTAGCAATCTCGGGGTCGAGAACGCCGGCATCGTAAGCAAAAGTCTTGGGATGCTGCGCTGCCATGATGAGGGTGTTTCTATATGCTTAGGGGGGTCGGTAATATAGTTCAGCAGCTTCTGTTCAACAGGCCTTGATCGCGATGTCATGAGACGAGGGGGGGTTCCAGGCTGCATGGACCGAGTAAACAAGAGGACCTGTGATGTATTTATTGGCACATAGTGCAGTGAAGATCCTCCTCTACGTCGTATCAATGTTTGGATCTCATGATACCATATCGTTACGCACCTGCATATCCGACACGTTGGACGATCAAGTAATCGAGGGACGCCGCTCGGTGTACCATGGCCGAAATATCGGACAGTGATGTCCGATATTTCGGCACCAATATGTGAGACTGCAGGGAACACACCGTGTACCTATGTATCATCTTGGAGAAATATCGAATCCATGTCGATTGCCACTCTTAGATTAGGGTAAAGTGGCATTCACAAGTTTGTACTATCTGTGGATTATGTGGAACTTTATCATGTGTGGAATATGATGGTTCGAGTATGTACATGCAATATGCAGCGTTTCAACCGCCTTGTCGATGGCCTACTTGTGCCGTGGGAGTTGTTCACCGGGATGATGAATTGGACTGGATACCAGGGGGTTTTGATGGTAAAGTGATATTCGCTATATCCTTCTCAACCAACAAAAGCGTCTCTTATCCTTTTCCATCTAGTCGCATGACCGGACTCTTCGTCTACATTCTCAAGCCATTCCCTCCTACCGCTCACGAGATCTGCTTGTGTAGGATCGACCCACTCCGTTTCTGTGATATATAGCATTATCATCACTGGACACGGATTATTCTGGGTCAAGAAGCGACGGCGACTTACTATGATAAAGCTTCCATCCCAGGTATAGAATAATGAAGACAGGGATGACGAGGTAGGAAAAAATGAAGCCCTTGAGATCGAATGGCGTCAACAGTGTCGTATACCCCGATATGAGAACCAGGACCAAGTTGGCACCAAACAAGATCCAAGGAACAAACGGATATCCCCATGCCTTGAAAGGTAAGGAGGATACAGCCACATTCTGGGTCCTCATAGCCGCCCGAAAGCGGACATGTGTCAGGCCGATGAAGCACCACGCAATGAAGGCGGCGGACCCAGAGATGGACAGCAGGTAGCTAAAGACATTTCCTGCGCTCTCCGATATGTTGAGAAGAGATACGAGCCCAAACAGGTTAGTGAACACGATGGCGTTTGCGGGGACTCCGTTTCTTGTTGTCTTGGCTAGGAAACGAGGTGCACGGCCGGCCCTTGCCTGTGCAAAGATGCAACGGCTACCTATGTAGATGGCGGAGTTTACGGAGGACAGCAGCGTAACCACGATGATGGCGTTGATGAGGTTTCCAGCTCCCGGCCAGCCTGCTGTGTTCAACGCGACCGTGAAGGGCGACGATGCCGACTTGGACGCCGCATTCAGCAGCTGCTCCGAGTTCGACGGCACGATGAGGCCGGTGAAGAACACCATGCCGACGTAGACGACCAAGATGCGCCAAAACGTCTGTCTGAGGGCCTTTGGAATATCGCGCCTAGGGTTTCGGGACTCGCCTCCCGTGATGGCGACAGCCTCTGTGCCGGAGTACATGACGGCTGCCAGTACAAGGACCTTACCGAACCCGTTTATGCCGTTCACAAACGGTCCGGGCGTCTCCCAGTATCGGAAACCGATGTAGTCGCCACCAATTGCTCCGGTGTCAACCAGGCTGTAAGTCCAGGTCAGTATTACGTAGACAGCCGGTGAGAGATACGGGTCAACATTGATAGATCCTCACATGGCCACAAGATATAGAATGATGGTCACGGCGAACTTGAATGATGCAAGCCAGAACTCCATCTCTCCGTAGACGACGACACCGAGAAGAGATGTTGCCATGAAGAAGGCCCAGGCGATGAGTATCCAGCCATAGCTCGGTACCTTGTCCGTCCAATAGGCAAGGATGAGAGCGGCGCCGTTGTATTCGTTGGCAAGGATCGTTCCCTAAAGAATGGCAAGATAAAGGTAAGTAAACGCCGTCGGTGTAATCCTTCTTCTCCTTCTTCTCCTTCAAGCATAAAACAAAGAGGCCGACTAACCCACATGTACCAATAGTTCCAACCGAGAGCGAAAGACAAGGCAGGATCGACGAATCGGCCTGCAAATTCATTGAAAGAACCGGTAGAGGGAAACAAGGTGGCCATCTCACCGAGAGATTGGGTCACGAAGAAGACGTCCAAGCCGACGATCATATATCCGATCAGTGCGCCGACCGGTCCGGAGTATTGCAACGCGAAACCGGTGGCATAGAAAGTTCCAGGACCGATAACACCTCCAAGCGCAATCATCAGCAAATGTCGCGACTTCAATGCACGTCGAACACCATCATCCATTATCGTGCTCGAGGTATCGATAACCTCGCCTTGAGCGACATCATGGTTAGATGTGTCGAGCTTTGCGTCAGCCGTGGCAGTTTCTTTCTTCGCCATTTTTTTTTAAAAAAAAAGAAGCCCAAATACTGGTGTACTTTAGTTATTGTTCATTGGCAACGAGCCTTGTCTGGTGAGGAGGGCAGCATGGTATTTAGGCAACTAGATATATAGATATAATAGACCCCCCCCCCCCCCCCCCCCCCCCCCCCCCCCACCCCCTGTGTTGTGACATTACGCATCGGAGCAGGTATCTTCTGGGCATATCTAATAATACAAGCCTGCCAGATTACCATTGAAGCTGTCGGGATCGATGATACGGAATCCCACTCTCTACGATAAGCGTTTTCGACGGGCGACGATGTCCGACACTGTCCGACGACGGTATTGGTCCAGAACATGATACTGATCAGTGAAAAGGACCTGACAGCGGCGATCTGTAGCTCGTTATAAATACATCGCTTGTATTTCGTCTTATAATACTAGAGAAAAACTAGGGTTTCTCTTCATATACCGCGGCGTCAGTAGTACACTGATTGATATATATTAATGCATGTGAATGCCCTACCTAGCCTCCAAGTAATAATTTGAAGCTGCATGTACCTTTGCAATGACGTATACGTCCTTCCCACAACAGAACGGGCTAGATCCCAATCTAGATCCCGATCACGCACTCCCATATGAATCCACACCTAGTTTCTCATCGCCCCAGCTTTGTCCAAGTCGTTACCGCTGCAGGCGATAGAGTGCCAAGCCGGCTCTCAGTGCACTGGACATGGACGTTCGAGTGCAGAGTGTTCGACTCTCCTCCTGCGGAGACTCGTCCGCCAATGACACCAAGGGTGGGGACAAGGATAGCGCCCCCAACCGAGCAACGGCCTCGCCTCTCAACGTCATGGTGGTGGGTGATTCATTATCGCAGGGCCGAGAGGGGGACTGGACGTGGCGATACCGAATCTGGCAGTGGTTCCGGGACAGCGACATAGACATGCGTTTCGCGGGCCCATACACGGGTACTTTCCTCGAGCCCGATGGCCACGGCCAGGGAGATGACCATGAGACAGGCGGCGGCTATGCGCGTGGCGTCGCGGACGCCTTCCTATCCAACAGCAACCATTACTCCCTCTGGGGGAGGGCCGCGGCTGTGACGAAGCGTGAGATCCAAGACGTTCTTCGCAAACACCCTGCCGACCTGGCTCTCGTCATGCTCGGTTTCAACGACATGGGCTGGTTCTACAGCGACTGGAAGGGCACTCTCGAGAGCATCCGTCAACTCGTCGACAATGCACGCAAGGCCAACCCGAGGCTCAAGTTCGCTGTTGCCAATGTGCCTCACAGGTCCTTACTCGAAGGCCGGGAGGACCTCGTCAGAAACACAGACATCTACAACTCACGCTTGCCCGAGGCCCTCGCCGACAAGGCCACGAGCCATTCCCCCGTTCACGTCGTCGACGTAGCAACGTACTATGATTGCAGCGCTGACGGCTGTCCGGCTGGTAAGAATCCCACTGGACACCGGAGCAGAGACGCACGCGCATACGTGCGTAAAGCATGGCTGACAACAGACCACTTCTTCACGTGGACTGTGATGGCTAACTCTCATATGCCTCTATACAGGATATGATGGCCTCCATCCAAACGCTCTGGGAGAATACCAGATTGCCCATGCCTTCTCCAGGACTCTTGTTAGAAATATGAACTTGGGTTCGAAGCCATTGCAGGTACCTACCTGCCAGGGACGTTCTTGAACCCGCAAGAGACGGACCCCCCCCCCCAACGCCTGCTCGCCTCGCCGTCCTATCTGACCAAGTAGTACACCACTTGACGGCTGTGCATATAGTCTCCGGGCCCTTTGGTCCCTTGATTGGGACTGTTATATTACCGCGTAGTATCGTTGTCCTACATCGACAAGTGTCCAGTGTCACTTACTACTATATGTATCATACTACTTTACATTATACGTAATGCCACCCCAAAGTACATACTCTCTTAATGAAAGACCACATCTCGTGATATATCTCATCAGCTCTTCCAAAAAAGAAAAAAAAAAATACGCCTCGCCTCCTCCTTATTTCAAAGACCCATTAGGGTACCTTTCCCAGGTCCAGCCACCCTTCTCGCATCACCACGGCCAAACCGCCACTATAGTTGTCATGAGTCCCAAGGTATACATCCCTCTACCATCCATGAAAAGTCTGTAAAGTCCATGATTGTCGGATCGCTGAATTCGGCAGCGGCGGCAGCGGCAGCAGCAGCATTGTGGACTGCTAGGTGCGGACCGCCGCCTATGGGAGCTCCCATGCCACTCATCATCATGGCGCTGTCCCGCCCCGATGTTCCGGTATGGTCGGATCCATTTGACGGCATCTGCATGGATGTGGGTCTATAGATGTTGGGATTTGGGTTCCGGTTTTGGTCTGGGTTTTGATTCGATACCGAGAGGTGGTTCGCCCTGCCCGAGGCCTGCAGTACGGCCGGTTCCCAGGTCGCCTTTATGCTGCGGATCATCTTGGCCGCTTTGGCATACAGGCCCCAGTCGTTGTCTCCCCCGCCGTGCAGCGGGTACGCTTCCTGCATCTCGACGAGGCGCTGAATTGTGCGGTCGAGGACTTCCAGGATATCGGCTGTACCGCGTGCAATCTCCTTGTCCCACGCCGGCTCGTCTGTCGTATGCAGAAAGTAGAGTATCTTCTGCGTATGCATAAGCTGAACGTAGAAGACGAGTGTCATGCCCGGAACCTCCTGGTGAGGGATGGAAAACCAGATGTCTAGCCAGCGGCGGCAGGCCTGGAGACACGAGTACATGGCATCGATGCGCAACGTCTGGGGCACCTTGGCGCTGAAAAGACCTGTCGAGTGAATTGTCATCTCGGTGGCGTACGAATGCGCCTGTACAGAGGCTGTTTGAGGAGCGAAGCTCCTACGTCAGTGCCAACTCGCATGCGCGGTCGCGGGGTGATTGTACTTACAGTTGGCGGCGGCCCTGCTGGATATGCCCTCCCGCACCTTGTTGAGCTGGATCAAAAGGCCCTTTCGGTAGACGTAACTCGGCGTTCGCTCAGCATGGCTTGCCGCGTCGTCCACTATATGCATGTGTGCCTCATAAGAGACAAGTTGTAGTCGCACTAGGGCCACGAGCGTCTCATCATCCGGTGTCTCTTTCTCGAGTTCTAGGGCTTCGAGGCACTCATCCATATGAGGGTTCCATCGAAAAGGGTCGATTCTCCCGAGAAATGTGGCAATCCTAAATGGACGTCAGCTTGTTCTTGTTTATTCCTGCTTCCAGCACATCTGTCCCAGATCACTCACGCTGACGTCAAGAACCAGACCGCCACCAGGGCTCGCCTCTCCTCAGCGGTGCAAAGCTTGGCATGCTTTGGCCGAGGGCCGGGGATCTTGAAGGTCATGGAAAAGGGTCCCTCGTCGAAGGAAGATCTCGTCAGGGCCAGCTCATAAGTGACACTCAGAGCGAGCTGCGAAAAGAGGACAAGAAAGGGCTTCCATCCCGGACTAGAACACATAAAGGCCCAGCTTAGGTAAGCGAGCAAACCGAGCAAGATTTCCATCCTAGGTTCGTGCTTGACGACGATTGCTTCGGCTAGTTCCCGGCGGATCTTGAGCTTCATCTTCTCCGTGTGAGGTATTGACGAGCTCGTAATGTTCATGACGCACAACCACAGAAAGGGTCGCTCTTCGCGCAGCGAGGCCGCCGTCAGATCGGGGGGCAGGTGCATGAAGGGGAAGTTCACGAGCCACGAGCGGAACCTCTGCAGGCATGCCTCGGCCTCCATGGGACTAGGATACGTATCGTCAGACCTCTGGTCCAAGGATACGGTTCCACGGTGGGACGTGCTGCCATCTCCTTCAAGTACGCATCTGGCTGCTGGTGGGGCGGATGTGGGATGCGGACCCGTGGCTGTAGCGGCCGTAGCCAGCGAGTCCAGCCGGCTCGTCAACGGCAAGCTCGAGGGACCGACGTTGGACGGTACGGAGGCGCCAGTTGCCTGGGGCTGCAGCTGGCTACTGGGTGCCCGCGAGTAACGCAGAATAGTGACGAGGTCGTCGAGCTTCTCCTCGAGCTGTGCTGTGCGCGACGGCGGGTTCTTGCGGGGAACGCGCTTCCGCGTGGCGGCAATAGGCTGGCAGCCCTTTCCCAGACGTTCACACCTCTCACACGGATGGCCAGCGGTCCGGATAATGCATTTGCACTTTGCGCGGGAGCAGTTCGTGCATGATCGTCCGTATCCCGCGGGCGCGCCCTCGGCTGAGGAAGGCGACGGGGACTGGAGGATCTTGGACGGCGGTGCCATCGGTCAAAGGAGCCGGAATTATGGAGCAGATGTGTAGTGAGTGCAAGCAAGGGCACCCCGGATGGAGGGCGCCCCCAGATAACGAGCTGGTAGTGTTCGTGGCGTGATGATCAATCCCGAGATCTGTCAACGCCGAGATGTCGTCAACACGTGTCACGGTACGGATTTCAGTGCGGTGGCGGCACGAAACCGAAAGATGGATGCGAGATGGAGATGAGCTTGTGAAATGCCAAGGTCGGGAATAACAATGTTCGATTGTGCAATTCGCGAATGGTTGAGTGTGAAGAACGGTGTGGTGGCATGGGAGGGACTGGGATTCGGGGTTCAGCTCCCTTTCTGCCCTTCGTCTTCTTCTCCTTCTTTTTTTTCTCTCCCACGTCTCCAAGTCGAGTGCATCGCCTCGGCGGAATTCATAACCCCCGCATTTAATCCCGAAGGTCCCGTTCCTACGTTCCTATTGCTTGACAGCAGCCTTCGGTGCCTTTTCAGCTAGCCTTTTTAGTTAGGGGCCTACTGGGAGCCTCAGAGGGGGGGGGGGGCATGTTAGGCGTCGACGGCTGCAGGCGAGTTGGAGCTCATGCATGTACCTGGCATCGAGTCTCAGTCTCAGTCCTACTAGCACGGACAGGTATTCCGGGGAATAGAAGTGATGAATAAAACATTGTTCTGAAACGAAAAGGTAGGCACAATCAATGCGCACCGTCTCCCCTTGACTATTCTGCACAATGCAATCGGGCGAGCCTTCAAAGTGCATGTATCAAACCATTGGAGATGCGCTGGACAGCTCGGTCACGAGCTCATTGAGAGAAAGTTTACAGGCCCCCCATCCCCTGGCCACGACCCCCCCAGTCCCCTCTAATGACAGCCCCCCAGCTCTCGATGATGGCCCACTGGGGCTGTCCAGCTGTCCACGCGGTGTGTCTCGCTGCCCATGTTTACAACTGCCGATATAACATCGGCATCGCCAGTCCCTCAACTTCGACCACCTCGTTTGCTTTCGGACACCACCAGTCGAGAATGCCGTCATGGCCGCCGTCCAGCAGCGACTCCAAGCACATGGGAAGACCCGGTCTGCTCATATAAGCGCAAACACGTCTCGGCCTCTGCAGCATGTTTCCGTTCCTCAGCTACCGCCATCGTCAGGTCACAATGGCGGTGGCTACTGTTCGACCGCCCCTCCCCTCGTTCTCTTCATCAACAATCTGAAGCTACTCGATCTTCAGCTCCTCCCTGACTGGCCAGACATATCCGTCGACACCTTCGCGACGGGCACCACTGCCAGCTCAGCCCAGGGCCAGAAGAAGAGGATCCAATGTGTCGAATGGGCCCTGTTCAGGCTCTTTGCCATTTGGGATCCGGAAGAGACAGCCAATGTGAGTAGAACTCTTCCCATACGCACTCTATTTCAATAATCATTTTTTTGCCCTTGCTTAATTTTTACATCTCTACAGAAACTCAAGCCCTTCTTCCCACCGCTTGACCAGGTCCAGTCTCTCAACCTCCGCGCCGCCCTCCTCCGTGGCCTCGAACAAGCCAAGAAAAAAGGCGTGCTTGGACGGGACACCGTCCTCCGCAAGACCATGCTAGATGAGTGCAAGGGCGAGAGGCTAGAGGAGGTCCTCGCCTCCTTCTCAGCTGCCGTTCTCAAGAGCGTCGTCATAGGCAAAATCGCCGCCCAGGAACGCCACCCCGCCCTGGCGCTGACTCTCGCCGTCGAGCCCAAAGGATACAAGGACGACAAGATGGACCTTATCACTCTGATCATCGCCCACAAAGTTTCCCTGCAAGGAATGCGTTCCAGGAAGGAGGACATGGCCGCCAAGTATCGTGACTTTGGCGATCTCCTGGGCATAAAAGAGAGGGGTGTCATCCGTCGAAAGGAGGAAGCTCGTCAAAGGGAAAAGGACAGCATGGTAGCAGCTGTCTCCGACGAAGCCCGGCGGGAGATGTGGAGGATGGTCCGCAATAATTGGTCCGGCCATGAGCGCTGGATGGAGACGTTACTTCGAGGAGACGCTGGAGCTTCAAAGGATGGTCTGTTCAGCATGTCTTTTGACAGAGTGTGGCGCAGGGTCGAGCAGAACAGGCTGGGTGAGGTCGAGGCTAAAGGTGCTGGTCTCCTGGAGCAGCTCGAAGGCAGGGTGCAGCTGCACCGCGATAGGCTGGAGAAGTGGCAGAACTATCGTCATGACATATTCCGTGGCCAGACCTCGGACGCCGGTGCCTCACCCTCAAAGCCCAGGGCATCGTCCCGGGGAACAAGAGGCATTGATCTGGGATTCGGAGCTCATAAAAACCTGGTGCCCGGCAAGGTAGTACCTGGGAAGACGGGTGTTGGGCGCCTGAGCCCCAACGCAGAGTACCGCGACATGCTCGAGGGTCTTGAAAATGAGCTGGCTGAAGTCGACGACCCGCCTTCCAACCCCCTTATGAACCTGCCTTCCAGACACACGGTGACCCGTCGCTACTCGGGGACCGAAAGAGCCTCGACCGGGACAATTTCGGAGCTCAGTGACCTGGACGACGAGCTACGCGATATTGCACCGCCGCCCAAACCACCCGCCAAGACGTCGTCAATGATGGAAGTGCCAACGACAAGGCGTCTGCCAGTAAGGCCAAGACTACCACGACCTGATGAGCCATCGACTCATGAGCCCCCCAGGAGGTCATTCTCGTCCCGTTCACAGCCCAAACTTGCTTCACCGCCACCAATGGACATTTCGCGAGACCAGTCACCGCACCCTTCCACGCCGTCTTCCGGCAGCAGAGGTTCCATGGACCGATCTGGCTCTCGACCCTATTTCCCCGGTGATGACGTGCCGATTTCGCCAACCAGGGCAGCGGCGGAGCAGATCCTAGAGTTGATAGACAAGGCGTCGCCGTCCCCCAGCAAGCGCAGCAAGCCACGCCACACGCTCTCGCTAGCAGACCGGACGCGCCTTTCCATGGGCCCGCGCGCATCTATGGACTTTTTGGAACATGACGAACCCGAACCCGAACCCGAACCCACCAAAAAGACACCGCCTTCTGCCGACAGAGGCAACAGCAGAACACTTGTCGATGACGATGATGACGACTGTCACGATCTTGTCAGCCGCACGCGTCGCAGCATGGCAGGCTTCGAAAAAGCCAAACAAAAAGCCCAAATTGAGCGGCGCAGGTCGCAGCGTATGTCTAGGCTGCCGCCGCGCAGGGAGGGGAGCCACTGCCCGGTCGTGGAGGAGGACGAGTCGGAGAGGACGATGCTGGCAGAAGAGCTTCTTGGGGAGGAGGACATGGAGGCCGTCTTTAGGTCGAGGCCTAAGATCAAAGCGAGCCCGATGCCCAGCCCGACCAAGGAGCTGGAGTTTGACGACTACTAGTCACGATGATCAAGTTTATATGTATTATGTTACGCAGCCTTTGCACACAGAATGTGAATTAAAGCCACTCTTCTTTTTCTTCCAGTACTCTATTCATGTCATGGTTCGCTATTATACACACACAACTCTTGCCACCTGCCAGCCATCATACAGATGAATTCGTTGATATTCTCACACCAGGTGTCATACAAGTTTTCTCTTCACCACCCCTGCTTCTTGAGCTCACGCACCCTCACAGCGGCAGCCTGGAAACCTTGCTTGAAGCGACTCCTCCACCTCTCAGACTTGAGCCTCTTGCGGCGCAGACCAGGACGCTCGTGGAAGCGTTGCCTGTGCCAGAGCGTCTTGATCTGGCCGGTGCGCACTACCCTCCTGAGCAGGTTAAAAGCGTGATCGGGGCTATGCGCCGTACCAGGCAGACGCGGGTTGCCCTCGAGAAAGACTGTGCGGCCGGTGACGGGGGTGCAGCGCACACGAGGCTGGTTCAACGGGTCCGTCGTCTTGTTGACGCTCCGGGCGTACGCGGCAGCATGGTTGTCCAGGAGCTTGGCAATATCGACGAACCCCGGAGATGAGGAAGTGTGCATAGACGCGGAGGTGGCGGCGTCGTAGGCGTGACCGGACTTCGTCTCGGTCTGCTGAGTCTCGGCGGCGGCGGCGGCAATAGTCGCGGCAGGGGGCGGAGGAGGCGGAGGAGTAGCGGCCTGCTCGGTGGAGGCGGGAGCAGTGGGCTTCTCCTGAACCGGCGAAGCTGCTGCGTGAGTATTGCTTCCGATGAGAGGGTTCTTGCGAGCAGGACCATTACCCGCGGCGGCGGCGAGGGATGTCGTCGAAAAGGTCCGGATGGCCAAGGGAGCCGAGAAGGCGGCAGGCCTGATTGCCCAGGACAGCAACATAGTGCTGTATCTTGATGCCACAGCCCTACGGAATCAATTAATCGTGTCAGTATACGACATCTTGGGATTGGGCTACGACTGTTGGAGGAGCTCTTACATTGTATATTCTGGTGGTACAACAAGTCAATCAATGGGCAATTCTGGTTATTAAGAAGCAGTAGGCAATGTTCACTTTGGACGCGGTTCGCTCAGGTTCACGGAAAAGTTTCGGGAGAAGGATAAACTATGGTCCACCAGCCGCCGGGTGAAGAGTGGGTCCGTACCTGGGGAATCTTCGCCCCATTTTTCACTGCTACTCGTAGCTCTCTACTCGTACTTGGTCTCATCATCATCAATATGTACTCAGGTATCAAAAACAGCTCATACAAATGGCTCTTTTGTTGGGAAGCGGCGAGGGTGTTTATCTCCACGTTCCAGGCATTCTACTGAACAATGCTTGCCGTCTACTCATGCTTGTTGTCGCCTCACCAGGGCGTCACTATTTCGCCACAAATGCAAGATCACTCCATCACGTGATTGAAAAGTCTGTCAGGCGTAGCAACGCAACGGAATAATGTCGGTTAAACGCTCGTATGAGGTTCCAGATCGGAAAGAGATTGATAGAAAGGACACGAAATACGGTTTTCTGCCCTACTAATGACTACTAATGATTTGTGCTGTCGTTATATCAATATAAATAAAATAGTGACTATCAGTGTTCCTTTCATTAGGGACATCTCTAATCAGGCCGGAATAACCTATTCTGGTAGCTTTTTCAGCTGTTTGTTCCGACAGACTCTCATCACACAAACACCATAGCACTCCGATACTTCCTATAGAATTCCAATCAACATCACCAACTTCTGAGCTCGGTCTGCCACAACAGACCACGGCAACAACAACAGCAGCATCACGACTGAATGCCTTTCCGACAGGAAGCCAATGTATATATAATAAGAAACCCTTATTCACCCCATTCCCAGAAGAGCAAGATCTACCCGTTCAAACCACCCAATTCCCACCAACCAAACCCCACCACCGTGGCCCAACCCAACCCTTTCCCCGGACTCAAACTGAACGCTAGCAGTCTCCCCAAACTCAAGGCCAATGACGAGAGCTTCCAGGAATGGAGATCTACTTGGACCTTGGCTTTCAAGGTTTCAGACATCTGAACCCTCGTCATTGCGACCCGGTCCTTGAACGCTACCTACGAAGCAGATAATGCCAAATGCCTTATGTACCTCATATCTGCTGTCGAAGGAGTTCTGCTATCCCTCATTACATTGGATGACACTGCAGAAAAAGCCTGAGTCTCCCTCGCTAACCGCTTCGACCGAGACACAGGTCACAGCACTATCCAATTCTTCAGGAATCCAGTGTCTCCGATATTAGCAAGGCCAGAGTCTCCAAGTACACCTAGACCGCTTCCACCAGTACTAGACAAAGCTTTGAAAACGTTGTGCTACTTCCTCCCAGGAATTGGCCATATCCCTCAAGCCCATGACACTGTCCGACACCATCAAGGGTTCGTTCTTCCTCACGACACTCCCAGGCTCCATGGACAATTTGACAAACAACCTGTCGACGAGAGATGCCAATACCTTCCACAACATTGAATCCGAAATGCTCTACTTCTCGTCCCGCATTGGGATGCTTACTTGACACCAGCAACCTGATCGATTTTGTGATCTTGAGTAACTGTACACGGATGTTAAAACCTTCATATCCTCCCCAAGACGATGGATAGTACAGATGAATTGTATGACAAGCATTAACAGTGCCTATATTGTCCTGGGAGAGGACGATGTTACCTCACATGAAGTGCGGCATGACAAGAGTAATGTCGTTCTATACGAGTAGTGCCAAACTAGATTCCATCTAAATATACAAAGCCCCGTAATGGTCAAATCACTTGGCCAAGTCTACATTGACCGTCCTCAACGCCTCCGCTGCCCAATCGGGGTAGTTCCCATCAGGGTACAGGTTGTTGAAGAATGTCTTGACGTAAGTGGGGAATGTGTCGGCAACGATAGACTCACGCACCTCGCGCATCAGGTTCAGTTGATACCACACGTTATGGATTGTCAGCAGGTGGGCAGCAGACGTCTCCTTGGCTGAGTTGTGATGGACAAAGGCCTTGGTGATGCCCATGCCTCCACCGCTCACGGGCCGGCAGCATGCACACCCACAGCCCTCCTCAATAGGGCCAAAGTCGTTGGCAAACTTGGCATTGCGTATATTGAGCACACCGTATCTTGTGACAGCGGCGCCAAAGCGAGCCGTTCTCGTCGGCCACACGCAGTCAAACATGTCAGCGCCCAGAGCGACGCTGACTACAAGATCCTCTGGGAAGCCGACACCCATGACATATCGGGGCTTAAGTTCCGGCAACATGGCCGTACATGTCGACACGACGCGGCAAAAATCGTGCTTGGCCTCACCTCCACTGAGTCCGCCGATGGCAATGCCGGGGGTATCGCGGGCTACCATCTCGCGACAGCATTCTCGACGCATCTCCAGGTCCAGTCCTCCCTGGATAATGCAGAAGAGGTTCTGGCGATGCGGGTTCTTGTGGGCGGCGATGCACCGGTCCAACCAACGCACTGACCTCTCCATGGCTAACCGCATCCGCTCATGGTCCGGGGATGTCGTGACCAGCACGTCGTCTAGTTGCATCATGATGTCGCTACCAATAGAGTTCTGGAGCTCCATCGAATGCTCTGGTGTCAGCAGCATGGGCGATCCATCGTGAGGGCTCAGAAATCGAACTCCCTCCTCCGTAATAGTCGCCAGTTGAAGAAGGCTAACCATTTGGAAACTGTGAGCCGTCAGTTGCCTATTCCATTCTCTCCATGTGTCGCCATTCCTTGCGTAAAAGTGCAATCGTACTCACCCGCCACTGTCTGTGAGGATGTTATGGCTCCATCCCTGAAGCTTGTGGGCTCCTCCTATAGCGTCGAGAACATCCTTTCCAGGCTTTAGGCCAAGATGGTACGTGTTGTTGAGGCATAGCCTGCAGTTTGTATCCTCAAGCTGCTCGGACGTGATGCCTTTGAGGGAAGCTTGGGTAGCTACAGGCATGAATAAAGGCAGCTGTACGGGACCATGAGGCAGAGACAGTATTGAAGCCCGAGCACGTGTAGTCTGATGAGAGCATATTAGAGTCGACCGTTCCATCATTTTGTTATCATCGTCTTGAGGTTTACCACATACAGAGCATCGTGCTACCAATTCAAATGTGAGTGCTGGAGATTGGTAAATGTTGGATGCCATCATTTTGACTGCTTGCATGCTTTCTTTTCCTCGAAACTTCTCACTCTGCCCTATTTAGGCCTCTAGAGCTACCGGATAGAGAGCATGTGCATTCTCAGACCCGTCAAGATCAACTTTTATGCTTCTGGCTGTTGCGTCGATTTGGCGACAGATTTTGTATAGCTCAGTGCAGGGTATGCTGCTTGCAAAGTCGGGACAAAACAACTCGCCCCGTCCAAGGCTCCCCTTTCCGTTGTCATGCAGCTCTCGGGACAATGCCGGCAAAACCCACAACAGCAACGAATTTTGATCATCGTCGCGTATTGCCAAACCTCCCAACTTTAACCGTACAATTCGTTCCCATTGTCAACGGCACCTATACTTTGCCAACTGACACAGATCGATATGGGGGCCCGCACCGTGTCGCCCGGAGGGGCTCTCCTCCGGTCGTCCCGGATGTTTGCTCTTCCGAAGCCCCTGCGCGATCCGCCTGCTACTCCCGGCGAGAACTGGTCTCCCACGGCTACCCAGAGCTATCCCCGGCACCAATCTATCACCTCGCCTTTTGCTTCGCGCGAGAAGGGTGATTGGGGCCTGAAGCGTCCTCTGCCTCTCAAGCAGACCATGGCCACCACAACCCCTCTCGTCCGCATCAAGCAGCTCGACACGGTCGAGAAAATCACCGACTACGCCTCGGCTGCCGATCACTCTCTGTCTCTGGAGAAGTTTGGCGAGATGCGCATCGCTCTCAGCATACCCCAACCCGAAGAGGGCATCCATAGGTCCAGGGATTCGGCGGCTGGTCAGCTCAAGTCCGTCTTTGAGGAAGACATGGACTTTACCACAATCGATGAAGAGAAGGCAGACGACAAGCGCTGGAAGTTCCGTGGCCCCTGGCTGGCCCGCATGTCCGAAGGCGAATTCATCAAGTTCCTCGACAAGAGCGTGCGCCCCAAGCGTGCCGAGTTTAGGGTACTTCTAAGGCAGAAGCTTGCCGAGGAGCTGACGGTCAAGCAAAACACAGACGCCCGGGACGCCGGTCTCCCCACGCCGCCCAAGATCGAGCCGCACCAGATCGCGTCCGATCAGTTCACGCAGTACCTGCGGTCGCTACGCAATGACCGAGTAACTCTTTACGACCTCGTCTCCAAATTCCTCGATCTCGCCCCTCTTGGCAAGCCCATTGGCTTTGCTCAGACGGGCATCTTCTTCTACGACAACAAGAAGACGACCGAGAGCCCCTATGGCAAGTCAGGTCCACCGCCCAGCCACCCCTCTGCTGGTATTAGCTACCTGCGCACCAACGCCGTCATGGACAACCACCCTGTATACGGGCCTCAGGCACACCGCTCGCCTGTGCTCTCCAGGATCATCCACCCTAGGCTGGGCGCCAGCCCTGCCAAGGTCGGTATCGGTGGGTTCGTTGCTGGTGTCCCCGTCGGCGACAATGACTTCAACATCCGTCCCATCCGTGGCCGAGGCGCATCCCGCAAGCCCCTCAACGGTATCTCCCATCTGGACATTACTAGCTTCGGTGGCGCCAAGGCCTACGTCGAGCCCTACACAGCCACCGTCGACCCCGATGGCAAGGTCGTGATCAAGGTGCGCGAGACCGGTGCCGAGGCCCAGCTCATTGCCAAGGAGGCACTGGGACAGTCCAAGATCTACAACAACTCTCCTCTTAAGCGCACCATATCCCCGCAAAAGGAGCAGCAGGACGCCGGCGAGGCGAGGGGATCCCAGCGCCTGCAGCGTGTGACGGATGAGGTCCTGAACGACTCGTCGACTCCGGAGAAGGATATTGTGAGCAGTTCCAGCAGCTACGGGCTGGACCCGCCTGAGAAGTCTTGATGCCTCAAAGCATTCAATCAAAGAAACGAAGTATAGAGGCGGACCTCCACTTCGTTCTATCTGCTGTCTTTTGTTAGAGTACCAGCGGAATATTTGTATCCTATGTACCTGTATAATAGATATGGAGAAGTATTTCATTCAAGGCTTTGAGCTTATTGAGTACATCTACTTGGCTCACGAAGCCAATCATTTCTGTGCAGTTGGCAGCTTAGTAACAATGCTATTCGTACCAGCCCGAGGGGTCGCTGAGAATCCCCACTGCACGTGATACAGCACGTGCCAATTCACCCAGCCCTAACATGTAATTCTTGTGTGCTAATGCAGCCCCATCAAGCAATCCACCAAATTTTGGCAGCTCTGGAATTTCACCAAGCGACTCTTTCAATACACCCTCTTTCTGTCAACGTCCATCCTCAACTAATCGCCAGACAAATACCGCCAAAATGGGTCGCGTCCGCACCAAGACTGTCAAGAGGTCCGCTAAGGTCATCATTGAGCGCTACTACCCCAGGCTCACTCTCGACTTCGAGACCAACAAGCGCATCTGCGATGAGATCGCCATCATTGCCTCCAAGCGCCTCCGCAACAAGGTCAGCACAGCCCAAAGACCTCCGCCCCTCTATGCATAGCGATTCGCTCGTGGACCCATGTAAAAGAGAAATAAGGAACAGCCCAAGGCAGGAAATATTAACAATTGCGTGTTTACAGATTGCCGGCTACACCACCCACCTGATGCGCCGTATCCAGGCCGGTCCTGTCCGCGGTATCTCCTTCAAGCTCCAGGAGGAGGAGCGTGAGCGCAAGGACCAGTACGTCCCTGAGATCTCCGCTCTCGACTTCGCCCAGCTCTCCGATGAGGGCCGCCTGGACGTCGACTTCGAGACCCGTGACCTGCTCAAGCACCTCGGCGTATGTTTCACCCCCCTGACCTCTTTACCTCGTCAGATATTAGGAAGAAAATCAAGGGAGAGAAACTAACAATAGCTTTTCAACAGTTCGACAACATTGCCATCAACCCCCAGCCTATCACCCAGAACCAGGCTCCCGAGCGTGGTGGTCGTCGCTTCGCCCCCCGCTAAACGACCGAACGATGACGATGAAAACGAAATAAAGAAAGAAAAAAAATATATCCACAAACAAAAGCGGATCCGGCGATCGCAAAACAATTTTTTGGGGGGCTGTCTGGCACGTTACCACGGGTTCCTTTTTTCCTTGTTTTTTTTTATCGAGCTACATGGCGTCTTAGGACGGTAGTGACTGTATAGATCTAAAAAAAAGATCATTGAACCCCCACAAGGTGTCGTTGACTCTCTGGACTTGTCCCTAGTGGACAATTCGGAGACGATACTTGATCGCCAATACTCGCCTCCCTCCCCTCGAGGCTCTATAGCCCTTGTTTCCTTCTTGCCACGTCGTGAAATCGTCCTCGTGTGTGCTTTGCACATATCCTACTGATGACTATTTTCATTACTGACTGAGAGGGCAGTAAATGGTTTTTTTTCATTTTAAGGATGGGATTCGCCTGTCCTTGACGTAGAGACGAGCCCTGGTGTAGCAAGTTCAATAAGTCGCAGCGGTGCCGTATATTCGTATATTCATCATTGTCCTCCACAAAGTTGTACCCTGCTTGGGCTGCGAACAACCTACGGTACCTGTTCCGTGAAAGTTCTCGACCTGTCCCCCGTCTTGGGCTTGTAGTTATCCACCATGAGATGGCTATCCTGGTCAAACTCGTCTGCAGCAGTCTCGGTTGGAGGCCGGATATTTTTCTTTTCTCGCAAGGCAACCTTGAAGGTTGGCTTCGCCGACTGACTATCTCCACGTTCCAAGGCGAGGGCAGCGCTGTCCTTGGCAGCCTGGCGCTGGTCGTTGAGCTGCATCTCGCCCACCCTGCGGGCGGTCCGATCGACCTCGGACTCGTTGGGGTCGTTGCTGCTTTCAAAGAGGTCGATCTCGATGTCTGGGATGCCGGCCCTCTCCCAGGCGGCCGTCTCGTTGAGTTGGACTTTGACGTAGAGTGCGCGCCGAGCGCACCGCTGCGAGCACCACATCTCGATGTCACGGCGGCGGACAATCTGGTTCGAGGCCGAGATGGTCCACTCGCCACCGGGGCCGCTCTTGCGCCTGGGTCGGCCGCATAGCGTGTAGCCGCACAGGCCGTTGACGTTGCGCTCCTCGATGAGGTCGTCGTAGTCGGAGGGCTGGAAGAGGCGAACATGGGCCTTGAAGTCGGCGACGTCGCGGGGGTCGGGGTTGGCTGGGTCCGTCGTGTGTTGGGGGTACTCGGACAGGAGGATGAGATCGTCAAGGATGCTGGCCTCCATGTCTTTGCGCTGCTGAAGGATGCGGGCGTGCTCAATGGCGACCTGGCGGGCGTCGGGGCGGCGTGGGCTCGGCGTCGTCGAGGCCAGCGACTTGAGGATGCTCCTTGATCCTGGTAGGTTGTCCATGGCGTGGGAGAGGGCTGATTGCTGTCTGTATTTACAGAAGGCTATTGATGTCTGTATCAAAGTTATGCAAAGGTCAAGATTTTGCTGTGGGATGATGCAAAGGGAGCTCGACTTTTGCCGTGGATCTAGTAGGTTTTTTTTTTTCCCTCCCAGAGTCAAAGTTGGATGGATCGTGCACTATCCCTGACGCTTTTACTAAGTGTCAGTCGCTGTTACTAGTGGAGGTTACAGCACCCGCGAGGCCGGTCATGACGTCGCCTACTGATACCTGCCAACAGGCCCGGATCAGCTGTTGGCCATGCTGATCTTTTTTTTTTTTTTTTGCCTTATTATGCTGATGAGGACCGTCCGTAATAGACTGTGCAGAGTATGACTATATTACTCGTACTCAATGTACAACGTACACGGGCCACGGCACCGGAAAACAAGCCCACGTTGCGCAATGGTTGGCGTATGATAGATTCATTGCCCGATACGCCCAGCCACGCGGCGAGGAGGAAAGAAAACCACAGTCAAATTCGGGGCTTCGGAGCTTTGGAAGGCTGTGGCGGTTGGCAACAGATCATGTTACTCGGGGATGAGCTTGTAAAGGAGGGTGGGCTCGGAAATGCATGTGAGACGTTAGATATTCCAGGATGGAAATATCACATTGAACGATACCAGGTGGCAAGGAGGCTGAGCAGCTACGCGGGCAGCTAAGCAGTTAATAGCCGGTGGTAGGTACCAGCAACGACTCAAGAGGCAGAACGGTCGGTTACATGCGTCTGGTCTGGCATGGCGAAACATGATTTCCCCTCCTTGGTTCTGTGGAGAGGCTTTGTAGTTTCACGTCGTAGGATCTGTTTCGTGCCTATTTATTCTCTTGAGTGGATATCAACCATACCAAATATATTCGTAGGTTCACGCGGAAGGTTACGTCGTGGAGCTGTTGGGATATTAAGGACGGTGCCATAGTGATGTTGATGTTATGACGTTTGCGGGGAGGGGGAGAGGATGATGTACTCGTGCGTAGCGGTACGACGTTGAATGCTACTATCCTATCAATACCGCTCGGCGGTCACTCGCAGAAGAATTATATATTTTGTCTCCCATGTTACTGATTGATGGGCCTGAATGTTCCATTATCACTGCATGGTGGTGGTGGCTGCCATACATTCCTACCAATGGCCTTCTCTTAGTATAATAATATCAATAGTATCCGTATTATTATGTAGGTGTTGCCTGCCATTAGGGATACCGTAAAAATGTATCCTCCGTAACGTAACGGTGCTCTTCTTCGTAACGGCGACGGGCAATCCGTCCGTACACGTCTGCCGAGCACCTTTCCGCCTGGAGAGCAGGTAGGTGTCCGAGACTTGGGGGCTGCAGTGCATGGTGGGAGCGTTAGAGAAAGACTGTAGCGGTTTTAATAGCGCAGCTACCGCTAAACTCCACTCCATCCCTCAGCGTATCTTCCCACTCTTCCCACTGGCAAGGTGCCGTCTATCCATCGCTGACGTAGACAGAAGCAGAGCCGTCGATCCGCCTAAACCGTCTTGGCCTCGGTTTGCCTTCCACACAGCCTCTTACTCCATCTTTTCGTTCGCCTGCTCCAACTCTTGCCGTCTTCTACTGACTTTCCTCTCTTTTTTTTTTGGTCCCTTCTTCTTCCTCTTCTCCTTCATGTACGAGACCTACCGTGGGGGAAGACGCTTCTATGAAAAATACCTAATTTCTTCCTCTCACACAGACAGGCCGACAACATAGAAAAGGAGCTTTGACCTCTCTCCTACCCCCCCCCTCCACAGTACATAGCAGGGGCTCCCAGGAGCTGACACAGCATTGCCCCACACTCTCACCTCCCGCCTGCTGTCTCTTGCCTCTTGCGTCTGGCGTCTCCATCTTGTCTTGCTGCTCCTCCATCGACCGACCTTGACTGTCTGGCCCTTGTTCTAGATCTTGCACCGACACTGCCAGCCACTTTCGGAACGAATCCGCCACCGACCGGAGAACAAGTCGAAAGTGGGGAGTGAAGTAGAAAAAGACAGGAGAGGTGTTATCACCCGGCCTCTTGCACACCGACTGCAGCAGCTCTCAGCTTGCCCTGTGCGCGCGCGTGTGTGTGTGTGTGTGTGTGTGGCGCTTAACATCGACGAGTCAACCTCCCCGCACTCAGCATGACTGGCCTCTTCCGCGTCAAGGCCCTCTACGAGTACTCCTCGCCTCATGAGGATGATCTCACATTTTCAGAGGGCCAGGTCATCACTGTTACCGAAGCCGACGAGGAAGATTGGTATACGGGCGAATTTATCGACGACGACGGCGTCAAGAGGGACGGCCTCTTTCCCCGCAACTATGTCGACAAGATAGAACCCGTCGCGCCCCCTCGTCCTGCTCGCCACCGTCCGAAAAAGGACGACGTTAGACAGCCTGCTGTTGAGCAATATACTGCGCCCTCCGAGCCAGAGCCCACTCCCGTCCAGGAGGAGCCCGCACCTGAGCCGGCACCAGTACCTGCGCCCGAGCCTGAGGAGGAACCCGAGGACGAGGAGCCGGCTGCCAGTCCCCCGCCCCCTCAGCCTGCACCGGTCCCTATTCCGGTCGCTTCCGCTGCAAAGCCTGCGGCGCAAACATCTGCGCCTCCGGTTGCTGCCACCAAGGCTAGCGAGCCTAGAGCTACCAGCCCGCCGCCCGTGTCTGAGAAACCAAGTGGCAATTCATTCAAGGACCGTATTGCTGCCTTCAACAAGACCACCGCCCCGCCAATCGCCCCCTTCAAGCCCAGCGGCCTCAACGCTGGTGGTGGTGGTGGTGCCGGCTTCATCAAGAAGCCCTTTGTTGCGCCCCCGCCTAGCCGAAATGCTTACGTTCCGCCCCCGCAGAAAGCTCCCGTCGCCAAGATCTACAAGCGTGAGGAAGACCCAGAAATCAAGACCAAGGAGCAGGAGGACCAAGAGCAGGCTGAAAGGGCCGGCCTCGTCCCCAGCGAGTCTGCCGAGGGTGCCGAGGATGAGGACCAGCCCAAGCCCACCACCCTCAAGGAGCGCATCGCCCTGCTCCAGAAGCAGCAGAGGGAGCAGGCCATGCGCCACGCCGATCCGGGAGCCAAAAAAGAGAAGCCCAAGAAACCGCCCAAGAAGCCTAGCGATGCCGCTCCCCCCCCTGCCCATGCCCCGGCAGAGGAAATCGTCGAAGAACACGACGCTGCTAGCGAGGTGCATGATACTCCGCCCCCGCCTGTCCCTGTACGGAGATCTACCGAAGAAGCCCGGCCAAGGACCTCGGCCGACGACGGCAGCGCCGTCTCCCGCCCCCCTCCGTCTCACAGGCGCAAGTCGTCCAGGGGCCAAACCCTCGAGACCCTTCACGACGGCAACGATGCCGACATGTCAGGCGCTGGCGACACTACAGAGGGACAGGACGACACGACAGAGCGCGAGGACGATGACGACCAGCCTCCCCGTCAAGCCCCCCAGATCCCTCTGCCTATCCCCGGCGCTGCCCCCCCCCCTATCGCTTCGCGACAGCCAGAGGCCGAGGACCAGGCCGAGAAGACTGCCAGCCAAGGGGAGGATGACGACGCTGAAGAGGAGGAGGACGACGACGTCGACCCCGAGGTGAAGCGCAAGGAAGAGCTCAGAGCTCGCATGGCCAAGATGAGTGGCGGCATGGGATTCCACGGCATGTTTGGCGTCCCCGTCCCGGGCGCTGGTGCACCGTCGAAGAAGAAGGCGCCCAAGCCTGAGGCAGCGCCTGTACAGGAGGAAGAAGCGGAGGAGCCGACTGCCCGGGCCCCTCAACCTATCCCAGCCATGATGGCCTTGCCGGGCATGGGCGGGCCCAGGAAGTCTTCCGAGGACGCTGGCAGGAGGTCTGAGGACTCCGTAGCTTCTCAGCATTCGGCGGCATCCCCCGCCACCCGTGCCCCTCCGCCTCCGATCCCCTCTCGCGGGGCCGACCAAGATGACTCCGACCAAGAGGAGGACGAAGATGACGAGACGACGCCTGCTCTCACTCCTGCCCCTAGTAGTGGTATGTCACGCAACCCCCACCACCCCACCACCCCCCTTCAAGATGTAGATTCTGACTCGTGGTCCTGTTGCGTTTAGCGCTCCACCCCCTGCCGGTGCCACCCACTGCTACCAGACCACCTCCGCCACCTGTTCCTTCCGAGTGTAAGCTATATTTGTGCGATAACGATATGGGGTGCCCAGGACTGCTCGTCGCTGACTTGAGATTGTAGCGCGACCGCCGCCGCCTCCGGTTCCGGGCAATGTCCAGTCTCCGACAGAGGGCTCCGCCTCGGACTATGATGAGCCTACGGACAATGCCAGGGACGATGTAACCGACAAGGTTACCCCAGAGGCTCCCCCGCCCCCTGGGCTCCCCCCAACGCTGCCCATCTCGACGCAGACGGCCGATATCCCACTCCGATCCCCACCTATGTCTCCCGTCGCTACCGAGGGCTCGCCGCTGTCTCCGACTAGCAAGCGCAGCAGCCGAGTGCCACCTCCGATTCCCGGAAGCGCCCCGGCACCACCTCCGGCCTCGACGAGGCCCCCTCCTCCCCCGCCGCCCGGACCTGGCGGTCTCAGCCGGCAGTCGACGTCTGACGCTCAGCCGCGAGGTGTCGAGTTGCCCCCGAGACCGCCTCAGGCCGGTGAGGAGAACGATAGCCAGGCGTCTGAATACGAGGGAGACTACGACACGGACATTGCATCGTACGTCCCCCACAAGGATGCACTCAAGGGTCACGCGCGCGCATCTAGCCTCGAGGAAGCCTTGCCGCTTTCCCCGGCAGACGTGCCCCCTTCGGCACCGCCCCCCGTTCCCTCGGCAGCGGCCCCGCGGGCAGTCCCTCCGCCAATCCCGTCGCAGCCCCCGCCGGAGTCGAGGCGGCGATCGGTCGACTTTCCTCGGTCGACCCGGCCGCCTCCGCCCCCAGCTTCCAACCCGATCTCGCCGGCGGTGGGGCAGGACGATTACGACCCGTACAACTACGCCGCACCTGGGCAGAAGACTACACGTATCGACGAGGAGGGCGAGCTGCCCTCGGTGCCCAGCTCGCCTCAGGCCGAACGCAGAGCAGTGCCCGCGGCGCCCACCAGCCGTGGCCGACCGTCGCTCGAGATGGGTCGGCTGAGCATGAGCAACAGGCGGTCGGTGGACATGGCACGCCCCGGTGTCGACTCGAGCTTCATCGCCGAGGACATTGACCTCGGGGTGCAGAGCGGCTGGTGGAAACAGGCCAACCAGGTGCCGCCGGCACTTCAGGGCAGGCGGGACGTGTTCTACGAATGCGACGATGCGACGACGACCAACCAAGGATCGAAGACGGAGATCACGCGAGAGATCTGGGTCCTGTTCCAGGACTACTCGCAGACCATCATCACGGTGCGGTACGACCCGTACGATGCGTCGGATGCGGAGCTCGAGCAGCGCCACGAGCCACCTCCCAGGAGCCTCCGCCAGGACCAGATGGAGGACTTTTACGAGCGCTTCGGGCGCCCCATCTCGGAGGCGGCGGCGGCCAAGAAGGATACGGTAGTGGGCGACGGAACGCCCATGGGCCTAGTGCTGGAGCTCCTCCGGCCGTTCCGGGACGCTCTCAAGCCGGTAGGCACCCGGGCCTTTGGTGCCCTGGTCTACTCCAACATGGGCAACGCGTCGACGCAGCAGCACGACGTGATCCGAGCGGGAGACATCATCTCGATCCGCAACGCGCGCTTCCAGGGCAAGCACGGGCCGATGCACGCCAAGTACTCTGCCGAAGTCGGCAAGCCGGATCATGTGGCGGTGGTGGCAGAGTGGGACGGGACGAAGAAGAAGGTCAGGGCGTGGGAGCAGGGGAGGGAGAGCAAGAAGGTCAAGCAGGAGAGCTTCAAGCTCGACGACCTGCGCAGCGGAGAGGTCAAGATATGGCGCGTCATGCCGAGGAGCTGGGTCGGGTGGAACAGCCTGGCCTAGTGGTGCCGGGCCAGAAGCAGAGGTTCCCTACCGGTAGGAATGGAACGGGACGGATCGTATAGTGATTGATGAATTATTATTTTATCTATGTCTCTCATGTCCCTCTCTAGTCGTTTCGTGTCGTCTTTTCATTTTTAGGTCCTTTTCTTTTTTCCCCCCCATATAGTTCCTTTTTTTTTTTTTACTCAAATTTTTTTTCCCTCGCAGTCTTCTTTCTATCAACTGATTTTGAGAGATCTGCACCCTGTGATTGCCTGTATCTGTAGATCTGGTCAAGGGGAAAGAAAGATGGGCGACGTATGGGGAGGTTGTTGAGTCCCGATACAGCGAAGCGGTTGTGGTAATTATTCTCTACCCTGTACGAGGCGACTCTGTTCATAGAGGTACAGGCTAAGTTGTGTGTGCTATCAATACAAGGACACGTCATTGAGGAGACGATCCAGACAGGCACAGCAAGGGGTTTGATGGATGCCGAGCGTTGAACAAGCCACGACTCGGCATGAAGAAGATAGTCTGGCATCCTCGTACTCGGCACATGGCATTGAAGGAAACGACAGGTGCGGAGCATATGCTGGCTGCATTGAAGACACTGTACACCAAGGCGGCATAAGGAATCATCACACGTGCAGATCAATCATCAGTACGGGGATCACATGCATAGAAACCGTTTCCAAGTCGGTACACGTACGAGTAAGTTGCTACCGCGATGCTTCCCTCTCCCTCTTCGGTCCACGAGTATGCAATCTGTAGGTAACAGCATCTTGTAGGCTGTACGAGATATCATGACGGATCATTACCTGGTATCGATATATTACGTTGCGTGTGGGGGCCAGAGATGAGACAGTTTGAAGGCAGGGGGGTGCCTCATGAGAACGCCCTGACCAGCGTGGAGGCTATGTTAGGGCAAAGCTTTATAGGGCAGACCGTCTTCCCTGTACTAGATCCGTATCGCTCCGTACAGAGTTGAGTAGACATTCCGGACCCGCTCTCATGTACGGGCACATGGCATGATACTCCGTCGGGTAAGGGTCGTTCTCGTATTAATTGCTGTAAGGGTCGTGCGGTGCGGTTTGCGGTTGGGTGTTCGTTCCTGCTTCACGGCCCGGTCGCATAAAGGGTCGGCCTTGCACCGCCGCAACGCTGGGAATGAATTCGACGATTCCGGCTACCGAGCAGGGCTCAGGAACATTCGTATTGATCATTTACCATTGATGATCCATCAATGCAGACTTGCGCAAGATAAGGTCATAGGGGACCCTCTCATCGGCAAGGTCGTTTCGACGCAAACTATCGACACGGACATGATACCACCGCTCTACTATATGATTATACGTGATAATAATACATCATAACACCTGTTACTATTACTATATAACACCCCCGGGCTCGACACATATTAACTATTATGGTCTATCAACTTGCTACGGTCCGGCGTAAATGATAATATATGAGTAACTTGTATGGAGTAAAGGGAGTACCAGGCTCTACCCGTTCGGCGTAATGATACAACCGTATTACAGAGTAAAAAAAGCCAGGTTGTATCAAGATGACATGCTGTCCGTCTTTGAAGGATTGTAGGATTCGCCAATTGCCCGTCTCAAAGGGGAAGACTCCAATCCGACCCCTGCTCCTTCATCCCCCACCTTTCTCTACAGGTAAATAGGTAAATTTCTCGTAACTTGTAACTCATAGGACGGCTGAGACGACCGCCAGGATTCGCACGAGTATGCAGTAATATGTACACAGACACACAGACACAGTCACACACCGTCACACAGACACAGAGAAAGAGAGAG